AACAAAATTTATTTTAGTATTGATATAAAAAATAATCATTATTTATACTTTTGCTAAATGTTCCCGTATATCAAAATTTTAATGAATATTTTTTATTTTTGTATAAATCTATAATTAAAAATTTTTGTGTACTTTTGCCGCCATTTTAAAAAATATGCTGAAATATTATTATTTTTGATTAAACGTTAAAATTTTTACCTAATTTTTTTACTTTGGCCGCCATTTTCTTTATGTTCCCGAAGAGATATCAAAATTTTACTGCATTTTTTTATTCTTGTTTTTGATGCTTTATTCAAATCTATACTTTAAAAAAAATTTCTTAAAATATTTTTTACTTTATTTTGTCCATGTTCCCGATATCAAAATTTTAATGCAACTTTTCAATACATTATTAGTAGTCCTCTAACCGAATCTGAAAAAACAAAAAAATTGCTACACACACACACACACACACACACAAAAAAAGGCTAAATTTTCAATGAATAAATTAWTGAATCTAATACTCTTTGAATAAGTTTAAAAATAAACAAAATATTTATTTTAAGTGTATAATTAAAATATTGGTTTAAACTATTTTTTAATTCAATTTTTTTTGTATAAAAGTTTGTTTATTAATTTGTTGAATTGTAATGTTTTGTAGTTATTTTCTAGTTGTTTGTTAAGACTGTGATGAATGGACTGTTGATGTAGTAGTAGTTGTCACTGATTTGGGGATCAGTATTAATATATAATACTGTTTATAATACAGTATATATTAAATACACATATATTTATATATCAGGGTTGCTAATGATTTTCTATCACAGGGGGTATAGGTAAGTAAAATGGCTTGGGGCTATGGGGGGTACAATTAGAAAATATTAAATTATAAAGTATTTTTATTTAATTAATATTTATATCACATTTTATTAACTTAAATTAATATTAATACAAATCTAATCATTTTTATTCACAATAATTTAGTTAAAATAAACTATTCTTAATATAAAATTATAATAAATATTAATTAGAAATATTTAATGTTAAAATTAATACAATTTTAATTATTTAAATTGCATTTTAGTTGAAAAATTGTAAGGGAATCAATGTTTTCATTATTAACAAAATTTATTTATAATTTTATTGAAAAAGTTTGGAAAAAATTTTTAAAATTTAGATCATAGAGAAAAAATTTCCTAAAAATTTCTACTCATTTTGCTTAACCCTGTTTGTTGTAATAATTTTATAATATGATATTTTTAATTAAATATATTAATTGTAAGTGTAGAAAAAACGTATGCTATTATATATATAAAAAAAATATTAATCAAATTTCATAATGAAGTATTATTATTATCATTATCATTAATAAATTGTTAAATTTTTACAAAATAGTTAAATATTTGTTTATTAATTTTAACGGCAATACTAAAAAAAATGTTTTTAAATCATTTGTTAATATTTGTTATATTTGTTAGTTTTTCGGTGGACGCGTCAAATAATAATAATATTAATATACCTGGATCAATTAAAGAAATTTATTTATCCATTCAAACAATTTTAGAGTCTATGAAGTTTATACCAAAGATGATGATATCGACACTGGATATAGTGATACAAGGATTGACTGAATTGAAAACAGTATTAAATATGTTAAACAATTTTCCAAAATTATTGTTTTCAGATATAATCGACAAAGTAATGGATCCGAACCATATGTTTAACAGCTTTTTTAAATTATTTGTACCCATCAAAGGGATGCCAATTGCTCGCCAATCATCCAATTCAGTAAAGTCCACAATTAGTACAGATTTGATATCAACATTACCACCGTTGATAAACACCGACATGGATCAGATCAATGTGACAACACAGACAACTAAGACAACCCCTACAACTCCTACGTCTCAAACAATTTCTATAAACAAGTTAGAGATACTTCGGACTAAACCTCCGTTAATAAAAATGTATTCAAATGATAACAATATCAGTGATAACAGTAGTGACAGTAATAGTCTGTCCATTAGTAGTAGTAGTAGTAGTAATAGTATTAATGAAGAAGAATCACATTTTTAAATATCTAAAAATTATTTTTACTGTTTGTTAAAATACTATAACTATAACTAATATAATAAATATTTTTTTTACAGATTTTTGTAAATTATTGCATTATATTTAGATAAAATGTCAAATATTTAATTAGACCTTTATAATATGTATTTTATTTAAATACAATTTATTTATTTAATTAAATATTTTATCACGCTTTAACTCTGAATATTAACACTGAATATTATACTGTATATCATATTTGTTATATACTATTGAATATTATAAAAACAAAAAAATATTGTTTAGTAATGTATTATAAGTTATGTGTTTACGTATAATATGCATATTATTTTATTTATCTATTATTTACGATCTATATAAGTAAATATAAACTTGTGAACAAATAAAATGATAAATTCAAATTAAATATAGCATTTAATATCTTAAATTTATATTTTCAAAATTTATTTATTTAATTATTTATGTATAAATTTATACCGAATTAGTCCAGAAATAAACATAAAATATAGCAAAACAATTAAGATTATGAATACAAGATCTGACAATTGATTGCTTTATTATCACAACAATGGTTAAAACTAGTAAAAACTTAAATATAGATAATAGGATCAACCAATAGAGCATATGGAAAAAGGATAAAAGTGGGGAATATAGGGAAATATAAAAATGTAAAATGTATATTAATGATATTATTAATAGTATCAATATATATAAATAAAATGTATAACTTAACATAATATAATTAACGTAATTTATAAATCAAAACATTAGTAATTTTTTTTAATTAAAAAATTACTTAATCGTACATTTTATATATGCATATAAAAATAATTTAAAATCATTTATAGACTTAACTTTTTTTTGACTAAATTACAATTATACTAACAATATATAGATAGTTAAATACTACAAATAATAATAATAATAATACTGTATAATTGTAATTAATTTAACAAACAATATGCTTGAAAAATTAGTTTTAATTTTTACGTTTTTCGGCATATGTTTTGCTGAAAGTAGTATAAGTAATGATCTAATTGTTGGTATTTTGCATTTCGGTGGATATTTGCATACAATAAATGTTGCATTTATTAATGCATTGGGCGGTATCATTGAAGTGCTTAAACAATTACGCGAAATATTGAACACCAGTTATCATTTACCTCATATTGCTATTAAATTTGTCGGTAGGATTGTAGATAAGACACCGCTTAAAGATTGGGCTAACTTTTTCCTATTGAATAACAATATTTAATTATTTTAATCAAATAATAATAATTTGTGTTTTATTCTAAATATGTATGTATAATATACATTGTATATAATATATTTATTTATTTTTATACAATAAATATAATTAAATTAACTGCTATGTTATGTAATCTTTTTAATTTCTATATTTACTGTATTTATTGTAAACTTTAAATTATGATACATTAATAAATTCTTTAAAAAAATTATATCGAGTTTTGTGTAATTTAATTTTTATTATTAATAATTTTGAATATTTTTTAATTTATGTTTCATTAGGGGCTAAATTGTTTTTACCATAATTTTTTGCTTAACTTTGTTTAAACTTTAAAGTAATTATAATATAATATGATATTTATAAGTAAATGAATTAAGTATAAGTGTTGAAAAACATATGTAATATCATATTAAAAATACTGATTTAATTTTTAAATGAAGTATTATTATTATTAATATGTTTTTAAATTACTTTTACTAAATAGTTAAATATTCTAATGTTTATTATTTTTAACGGCAATACTACAAAATGCTTATAAAATATTTGTTAATATTAGTTATATTTATTGCTTTATCTGTGTATGCCTCAAATAATAATAACAATAATATTAATACTAAATCTGTTATTAAAGAAATTTATTTAACTTTTAAATCAATTTTCAAGACTATAATATCTATGCCAAAGATAATGATGTCGGCACTGGAAGTATTGATAAAGGAGTTGAAAGAATTGAAAAATATATTGGATAAGCTTAATAATATTCCCGGTTTGTTGATGGGTCATGTTTTTGATCAATTACAAAACCCTAACCATCCGATCACATTAATTGTCAATTTATTGTCACCCAATAATAAGCCATCCAATAATAAAAGGCTAACCAGAGATAGACAACCATTGAGTTCATTRAATAATACAACTTCAACATCAATAACAACCATAGATGAGATCAATGTGACAACTCTGACAACTCAGACAACTTCAACAACAACTCCGACAACTTTGACGACTAGTATTAAAGAAGATGAACCACACTTTTAAATAACTAAAAAAACAGTTTTTTGTTAGTTAACTATAATTTATAATTTGTAGTTATATTATATTATAAAACAAACCAGTTGTGAATGCTAAGATAGCATTGCCAGAACAAAGTTTGTAAAATTAAATATATAATTGTCTAAATGATTTCAATAAAATAATATTTTATACACCTTCAATTATTAATGATTAATAATAATTCAATGTTTATAAATGCATATAAAATAGTAATTATACATCATTAATGACAGGTATATAAGATAATGTAACTATAAATATATTAATTGTTATATACAAATTTGTATTATCTAATATTACATAATCATTTTTTTTAAATACAATAGAGATATTTATAAATAGTTTGTCATCAATAATCAAATGATTACCAAATGTTAAGTATTATAAACTAATTTTTATATTTATTTATTTAAAGTAAATATCTAAAAACACTTATTTGCTATCAAATCAAGACATTAGTAAATATGTTTTATTATTTTTTTTAATTAAAAAATTAATTAAAAATAATGACTCAGATATTACAGGTACATTGAATTAAGACATTTAAGTCATTAAAGCATTTAAGATATTAATATGAAATTAATTATAAATTTTATATAAAGTAATCGATTATTTATGTACAGTATTTCAGAAACAAACAGTAAATATGGCGAAACAATTAAGATTATCACTACTTGTGTTGACCATCGGTTGGTGTATTATTACAACTATGGCTACAACTACTTCCACCTCATCTGATAATCAGCAATTAATGCTCCCATTTAGTAGTTTAATGCAAACTATGTCGACAATGTTGAACATACCGCGGACATTAAGTCATACGTTGGGCACAATTATCTCTGTGTTGCAAAAGTTTAAGGAAATGCTTGACCATATCCATACACTACCGGATTTGATTAGTCATCAAACTTCTACAATTTTCTTTACTCCTACTCCTACTACTCCAACCACTAGTTCAACCACTAGTCCAACTACTACTCCAACTATTACTCCAACTACTACTCCAACTACTACTCCTACTACTACTCCAACTACTACTACCACTAAAACCATTGTTCGTATTACTTCATATATTAATGATGCAAATGGAGACAACTTTTAAATGTATAACTAATTTATAGGCAATTAAATAAATTTATATTATCATTTATTTTTTTTAATAAAATGTAACTATAATATAATTATACTACTGTATGTAATATATAATTTATACAGAGTATATTTTTAAATGTTAATTATTATATTTAATGTAATTATTAAATGTTTGACAAATTGATATAATGTATTTATTATATGCATTTGAATCTGTCCAATATTGTATATAATGTTATTTATTTATTATTAATTAGTTATTATTATAATTTAATTTATAATGTTTAATTTACTATCAAAAAATAAATAAGTTATAATGTTTTACTTTATTAAACATTTTTATTAGAGTAGTTTTATAATTGTTTAAATTAATATTGCTTTTAATTTAAATGTTTAACTTTTTGTTTGAAGGTAATATTACAACAGTAGTATTTTTATGAAATTTAATCATTAATATATAAGCCTATTTTTATATCTATTGTTATTATAAATATATTAATAAATCTACAGTACTGTATATAATTATTACAATATATATTACATTAGAATTTTTTCTTATGTAATATTTTTTTTAAATGCTAATTGTTTTGTTGTTTAAAGTAATAAATTAAAAAATTTATTTTTCAAATCAAACAATATTTAGTGATTTATATGTTATTTTAGCATTTTTCGTATGAAAAAATTCCTAAAATGTTTTTTATCCATTACATTTTAAAACAGACAACAATTATCTATGCAAATATTAATACAAGATAAATCGTAAATTATAAAATATATATATATTTTTATTGTTAGCCTTCAAAATATTTAGTATAGATGAAGACTGCAATACATTAGTGTATATAAATAAAAATAAGTTTATGTACTGTAATATTTCACTTTCAATTAATGACTTTAACAATAATTTATATGCGAATAGAGAGACTCTGGGACTGGGATAAAATGAAAAAGACTACCCAACCCAACCCTACTATTGTGTGTAATTCAATAATATACTGTATTTTTGAGAACCCACCTACTGTTTGTTGCTGTCATTGTGCAAAAACAACAATAATAATAATCACATCCCTTTACTCTCTCACTCTCACTCACTCTCTCTCTCTCTCTCTCTCTCTCTCTCTCTCTCTCTTCTCACTTCTCTCTCTCTCTCTTTTTCTCTCTCTCTCTCTCTCTCTCTCTCTCTCTCTCTCTCTCTCTCTCTCTCTCTCTCTCTCTCTCTTTTACTCTCTCTCTCTCTCTCTCTCTCTCTCTCTCTCTCTCTCTCTCTCTCTCTCTCTCTCTCTAACCTCTCATTCGTTTATTTTCATAGAATATTCTTCTAACAGTACATAAACTCATGTGTTGTTAGAATTGTCAGATTTGATCACAAATTTTATAAATTGTATGTTTGCTATAACTAAGTGATAACTGTTTGTTGATAATAAAAAAAATGACCGACAAATACAATTCATTTATTCAGTCTAAAAATGGTCAACTTCTTCGGGCCGCTTTTGCCGAGTTTCTCGGCACTGGACTACTGGTCATATTTGCTTGCGGCGCCTGTGTGACCGCCAGCAGTACGTTGACCATAGCTGTCGGKTTTGGTCTAACACTAATGTGTTTGGCCGTCAGTTTTGGGCACATTTCCGGTTGTCACGTAAACCCGGCCGTTACGGTCGGTCTATTGGTCGATGGAAAGGTAGACATAGTTAATGCCATTACTTATTTGATTGGCCAGTTTGTTGGCGCTGTGGTTGGCGCCGCTGTACTAAAGGGCATATTACCCGAGGCTACGTCCAAAATCAGTCTATGCGAGTGCGGTCTCAACGGTGTCGATCCATTTCAGGCCATTATTATAGAAGCCGTCATTACTTTTGTGTTTGTTTTAGTTATCGTTAACGTTGTTGAATCCAATCCAACTTTGGCACCACTGGTTATAGGKCTGGCCCTAACCACTGGACATTTGCTTGCTGTAAGTTAACATTTTTTATAATTTAAAGTTAAATTTATATTAATTTTTTTTAGTAATTACATAATATAATTATTGATAATTTTAATATTTCTTAGAAAATAATAACTAATTAGGATATAGTTTTTTTTAATTATAATGATTTCATATCATTTATTTTTGTTAATAAAATATTATGAATTATTTAATAATTGGCTAATAATAAATATTGAAATAATTATTTCCTTTTAAAATGTTATCAATTAACTCTTAATAATTAATTTCTATTATTTACTATTAAACATTATAATTATTTTGTTTTTATTTATAATTTTAATGCACATGTAGTGCACAATGTGTTATGTGTTTCTAATGTAACATATAATGTTTAAACAATTTGATTTATATTATATAATTATTTAAACATGTTATATGTAATTTAAAATGAATAACATGTTATTATTAAATATTATTTATACAAACACTATTAATTAATTAAATGTTTAGTGATCTAATATTATTTATAGGAAAAAAACTTACATATTTTATTTTTTAAATATTTGATTATTTAGTAATTTTTAATAATATTGATACAGTAACTCAAAACTTAAAAACATTATGTTTTGCTGAAATTTAATTTCAAGATTAGTTTTTTATAAGAAATATTTTCATAGAAGAACATTAAGTAATCATTGATGCAATATATAATTAATTTTATTTTTTTATTATAAAAAATTTTCGGATATAATAAACAACATTTTTATTGTGAATCAATTTGATATATATAAACTAATTATGATTTTATTTTTTGATAAGATTTGCGATAAAGTTATGAAATGCTTTATTATAATGAAATTATAATTATTTTTATTTTCTTATTATTATCATGATTTATATATTATAAAAAACCCAATATTTAAAAGTAACAAAAATATAATAACTTAACATTAATTAATTGAATTATTTAATTAGATTATTTGTGTCTTAATTTTTCATCACTATTGATACTTTGTTTTAGTGTACAATTTGTTTTTTTTAAATAATTATTACCAATGAATTTCCTGTTTTCATATTATTATGTTATAATAGTATTTAAGTTCAATAATAGCAATATTCATCAAAATAATAAGGAAATATTTAATCAAACAATAAAAATAACAATGATATATATTGTATATAATTTATATATATRTATACAAAATTTATTTTGATTATTATTTAATTCTATATTATATTAGAATTATTTATGCAATTGTATCAGTGCTATGAACCCTAATATTTAAGTCAATAATAGAGTATTATTCACTTAATTAATTAGATGATTGACTTAAACTTGTTTATATAACTTGTTGTACAAAAATATATCATATAAGACATATACAATTAATTATCATATATTTTGCATACTTAACAAAATTATATAATAAAATACAGTATAATGTGATTTATTCTAGTTATAGCAGTTATACTGTATAATAGTATTTGCATATTAAAAGCTATTAATATAGTAATGTGACAATAATTTGTTGTTTATACAATAAACATTACTCAATGAATTAATACTATCATAACTATTTTTTCAAATATTTAAATAAATAGTTTGAGTTACAATTTAATAAAAATTATTTTTTAAAACTAAAATTTTTATAATAATTATATTGTTTTGTCTCAATTGGTAAAGTAAACTCTTAATATAAAAATATTTTTTATTATCATAACACGAAACATATTATGATAATATAAAAAAATATTTTTTTTATTGAAAAATAAACCAAGGATTTTATAACAAAAATAAAATTACTAATAAATACATATAAAATAGTAATTATAAATCATTAATGACAGGTACCGCTTACCGGTGCATCAATGAATACGGCCCGTGCTTTTGGACCAGCGCTCATCCGTAACAAATGGGACGCACACTATGTAAGCAATAAATAAATATCTAATATTATTATTATTTATTACTATTATATAATAATATTAATTTCACAATACTTTACAAACAATAGATAATAGTTTAAATTACATTACAATTTAACTTAAATTATAATTTTTTTAAAATAAAATTATTGTCCGTATGTATGTTTGTGTGTATTTTATTTTTACAATAGATGCATACAATTTTATTTTTATTTTATTATAATGACATTGTATATACTGTATATATTTTTAAATCTATAGATATTTTTAAAAAACAAAATGTTTGATTTAAGTAATTTTTTTTATTTAAATAAAGGTTTATTGGGTGGGACCATTGATTGGCGGAACATTGGCTGGTGCTGTCCATCGATTCATATTAATGGACACTTCGGTACCAAATAGGAAATCCTTGGGAAAACCTAAAGGAGACACTCAAGAGGCTACCAATGTTTAGCATATTTTAGTTTTTTTAAATGCCAAGCATTTAATTAAAAATAGTTTTTTATTATTATAAATATTCATTTATTATAGAATTTTAAATTTTTATACATTTTCTATATACATATTTCATAAATTATTCAGTATATGCTATAAAAATATATTATTCATAATATTTTTATTTTATAAAATATCTACAGCATATACTCTATAGTTTAACAATAATTTTTGCATTTAAATTGATTATATAATTTATTAATTGACAACTAGTGTTGATTAATATTTATCATTTTAAAATATTAATTTGTTTAAAAAAATAATCATTAATATTACTATAAAAATAATATCCATCAGAGAATTGCCAATTTTGGAAACAATAAATTATTTGTTTTTAAGGATACATAACACTATTACTTATATATTTGGCAATTCAATGAGGAAACACTATATAATAAAATTGATATTAATAACATTACCGTAATGTGCTTTTAAAAAAACATTTAACTATTGTTTAGCATAATTATACTGTTTTTATATTAATTTTGTCATTTTTAAAGAATATTATTGTCGTTTTCTAACAACAATTTTTATAATAATTACCAATTTTTTATAATGATGTTTTTGTAATATTAATTTGATTTCAATTTTATGYCCAAAATTGTATTTGAAATATTTATTACATTTAATTTTTACAGTTAATATTTTAAATCAATTTCAAGTGTATGTTTTGATAGATTTATTTAATTATCAATAGTCATAATAAATGTTCTCCAAAAAAATTAATTACAATATTTATAATATTGTATTTATTTTTTAATTATCTTATTTTTTAATATTGTCGCTTTAATTCATATAAAATTGTTAACTTTAATTTTCAAATTGTTTTAAACAAATATTTTACATACATTTTGTCATATATTGCATATAATAGTAAATATATCCTTAAAATATTATCTACAATTAAAAAATTGTATTATTAAAAAATAGTTGTAGAAAATTATTTAAAAAAATTCTAAATAATATAAAAATACTGTAATAGATAACTACTGGTAATTTATTATATTTTACTGTAGTATTTTAACAAAAATTAAAATAAATTCTAATTACGATAATCAATTGATAAATTTATCAATATTTAAATAAAAGATATCTAATAAAATATTTAAAATTATTTATGGTACTTTATTAATTTTACTCAAATTCATAATTTACACATATTTATGATAATATTAATTTTATAAATTATAAAATCGCATATTCTATCGGTTGGTATACTAAATATATTCACATCTAAATACAGATAACTCTCTATAATATGAACGCTCTATACTATGAAAAAGCTCTATAATATGAACAAATATTTAATACCAATGACATTATAGTACTTTATAATGTATTACATATTCTATAATATGAAACTCTATATTCTATATTATGAACAAAAACTGTAAATTCAAATAATAATAATAAGTTTTCTATAATATGAAAATTGTAAAAATATACTGTAAAACTGTAACAATTATTATAGACTGCAATCAATGTACAATTAATTGCAATCATTGATAGTCTAAATAAACGTGTTTTTATAATAATTATTGTCAATACAGTATATTGTATTCAAAATTATTGAGTGAAAGTTATTTGTGTCTGCAAAATGGCTAAATCAAGAAAAGATTTAACATTTGGCAATAAAAGTAAACTAATTATTGATTACAAAAATGGGTTAAATCAACGACAACTACAGGAAAAATACAAAATAAGTATCGGTGCCGTCAATAACATCATCAAAAATACTGATTATATTTTAAGTCAAACAAACAAACATAAGAAACGGATCAGACGTACGCCAAATGATAAATTAAATGAATTGGTGCTAAAGTTTGTACAATTGTCTAACGCAAATAAAGTGCCAATTGATGGACCAATTATTAAAGTGTTTGCATCAGATATAGCAATAAGACTTAACTTAAATCATTTTAAAGCATCAGATGGATGGCTATCAAAATTTACAAAAAGACATGAAATTAAGTATCAATCATATAGTGGCGAATCTGCAGATATAAATGATAAAACTGTTGAACAATGGATAGAAAATCTAAAAGATTTACTAAAGGATTACAATATTGAAGACATTTTCAATTTCGATGAAACGGGACTTTTCTATAAATTATTACCAAAAAAGTCGTATCTTTTAAAAGGAGTTAATAAATTTGGTAAAAAAAAATTCAAGCAAAGAGTGACATTAGGTTTGTGTTGTTCATCTGTTGGTGAAAAATTAAAGCCAGTCATCATTGGTACCGCTCGTAAACCTCGATGTTTTAATAATATGAAAACCAGTATCAATTCATTAGGAATACATTATTATAATAATTCAAGTGCATGGATGACACAAACTATATTTATTGATTGGTTGCAAACAATTAATAAACATTTTAAGCAAAATAATCGCAAAATATTGTTATTTGTTGATAACTGTTCGGCACATAAAATACCAGATGATTTGAATTTTTCAAATATTAAGATTCAATATTTTCCGGCTAACACTACATCACGTCTTCAACCACTGGATCAGGGAATCATCAGATCATTTAAAGCTAAATATCGAAGTTATTTAATAAGACATTTGACTAATAATATGCATGATTTATACCAATCAACTGTTAATAACAATAATATTGAATTTGGTATTGAATTGAAAAACATGATTAAAAGTATTGATTTAAGATCATGTATTGAGTGGACATTGATTGCATGGACTGATGTAAAATGTGATACAATTATTAATTGTTATAAACATTCAGGATTTGAAATTCAGACCAACAGTGACACTATTGTCGAAGAAGTGGTCGCCGATTCATTTGAAACATTTCAGTCATGTATTGGCGAAAATCTTATGACATTTGAAGAGATTGATAATTTTGAAGACTCTTTACAATTGCATAGTAATGACTTTAAAAACGATTTGCTTGAAGAAGCTATTAATGATAATATCGACAATAATGATACCGATATTGAAATTATGACATCAAATGAGTTGCCATTAAATGATTTTGTTATCAATAATAATAGTCTTACAGTTAATGATGGCTTAGAAATGGTGACAAAACTTGAGACATTAATTATCTCTGAATTACCTGAAGTATTGATACATTTAAATAAAATTAAACATTCATTAATTGATTTAAAGCTTAAGAAACAAAGTCTCAAACAAACATCAATTACTGATTACTTTAAGTGAATTAAACTTAATTAATATACTCTTTATTTTGTAATATTTTTCATTAAATTTAAAATAAAAGATTTTTATTAATTCCAATTCTATAATATGAAAAATTTTAATATAAATATTATTTTCATATTACAGAACTTTTTCTTTAATATGAAACTTTCTATATTGTGAAATAATTTTTATTCCCAAACTATGTTCATATTATAGAGAGTTATCTGTATATGATACAATTTAAAACATTATATGAAATATATTTTAATTTAAAATTAATAGCTCTCTTATTATTATTATTTGTTGCTAATAATAATAAAATATAAAAAATTAATAAATGAATATTCAATATTAAATTTTTTTAATCAAATCAATAAAAATAATTTATGATTTACTTTATAATCACAATTTTTAAAACAAGTTTTGTTAACTTATAATTACGGTACTACTAAACGACTCGTTTACAGACAATAAATAATTTACGGTTTAATGAAAATTGTATAATTTTAATATTGCTTTAATTATAATTACGGTAACTACCAATTATAATCAAGTGTTTAATGATTTAAAAAAAACATATTTATAATATTCATAATTATAAATTCAAAAATGATTAGAAAAAAAATTAACACACAAATAATAATCTATTGGTAATAAACATATCAAACTACTGTATATCAGTTATTAACATAATATATGTATAGAAGTTTTTTTATCAATATTTTATCAATGAAATAAACAATAGTCATTTTAATTAGTTTTATGAATTTTTTTAAATAAAAATTATTAAAAATTAAATGAACACCGAAAACAATTAGTGTATATTTATAGAGATTGTTATGCAAATGAGGAAAATATATATATAAACAAAAAATATTGAAAAGATAGCGTTAAAAAACACACAAATGTATTGATGGCAGATATGACGGTATGACAGTCATGTCGTCGATAGACTCTCTCTCTCTCTCTTTCTGTCCTCTTCTATGTTTTATTGGCCACTCGTCGGAGCAAAATATAGATCTTTTCTTTGACCCATTCCTTGCCGTACGGCGCGTATGTATTAGTGTTTCGCTGAAACCTATTTGCAATTAATAAATATAAATCAAATAAAGAAATTTTAGTTATTATTAAAATAATAATTATATTACTATTAATAATACTATATATTATATATTAATAACAATTTCAAACTATATTAACAATAATTAAAACAAGTAAAACAATTATTGGTAACAAATATTAACAAAACAATTGACAAAAGAGTTAAATATAATCGGGATTCAAGTGTCCACTCGGAGATAGAGTGGTCAACACATACACTAAGCAACTCAAGTCAGCCAATTGGTCGATGAAATCAAATAACTGCGAGATATCGTATGTAATGGACGGCATGTCGGGGTTTGTTCGCTTCAAGTGCTGTTCATAGATATGACACACACCTATTGAAAGAGAAAAATGCACACAATTAGTACTGATGGCCACAAATGACAACCGATATCATGGGTTCGGTGACCATACCTTCCATGGCATCGTTGACCGACTCAAAGTCACTATAGGTTCGGGTGTCGGCTTTGCCCGTCTGTATCAATAGTATAGAGTGAGACATACTCTATGTTTAAGACTAATGTAGTGACTAAATGTCTGGATAAACAAACTCAAAATTGACCGCTAATTAGTGGTTACCGATCGGGAGTTAAATTTGTTTTTAACACAAAATGTTTTTAAACAACAAAACAAATGTGAATTCAATATTGAAATCAAAATAAAATATTAAAACAATTGACTCATGGCTTCACTGCACTACACTTTACATATACTCTACTGTATTCACAAACAAATAATGTCATCAAATAATTTTCAGACAAAATAAAACTTTTAAAAATAATGTATATTTTTTAAACCAAAATTTATCCAAAAAAAAAGTGACTGACCATGGTCATTATTAATAAACAAAAAACACAATTTAATTTTAAACTATTTTTTGTTTGTTTGTTAATAACCAAAACAATTAACTATTAATTGTTGATAATATTTTATTTAAGTTATAATAATATACAGTATATCTAAAAAATTTATTGAAAAAATTATTATTACACTTAAAATATGATATTTACTGTAGTAAAAAATGTTAGTATTTTTCTATAGTATTACACAATAGTAAACATAGCAACCATTGAATAATGTTTTTATTATTATTTAATTTATAAATTATAACCAAAATTAAGATATCAATTGATATATTGAATGATAAATTGTATTAATTTGTAGTCATTTTGATTGATTGATTCAAATTACATGTATTGTTATCATCGGTAAAGAGTATGATTAGTGACCGACATTTTTCGCGCGACTCATTTGACCGCTTCGGCGACGACTTGTGTCAGCTATTGTTGTCGCGGCTGTCAATTGGCGACCGGTTTCACATGCGATGCGTTTCGCGCCAATGGTTTGCACTCGTATTCAACACGTGCACAGAGCTCAGCATCGATTGGGCGACCGGTGACCAATTGGTGACAGTTTTCCGGGCATTGCTGGCCAATTGCCCGCATATTAGCAAAATAACGTGCACTTTATTGAACAGCAATACCCGTGAACTGTTGGACTACTGTACGGCGCACGTGACCACCGGTCAGATTGTAACATTTGTCTGTAAAATTACCGATAACGGCGACGGATACCGTAGAGCTGCAAACATTGAAAGTTTATCAGTTTTTTTCAGCAAATTTGCCAACGAATTGAAAGTGATTGACCTCCGAGTTACGGGTGACAACCCGTCGGTCATCGCTTGTTTGCGTCGATGTTTAGACACCTGTCATACGTTGACAGATCTGAACTTTGCGACCGAACTCTTTACCCGCCGATCGTTGCCTTTCGACGCCGAATCACAACTCGTTTATCCAAAACTACGAAAATTAAAGTTTCACTATTTTGGTGAAGATGTGACACTTTGGCGCCGATTTGTGACCAACTGTGCTCAGAGAATGCGTTCACTGAATATCACGATTGACCAGTTGTGTTCATTGACAGCAATTGGCGCATTGATGGCCAGTTTAAAACAAATGCGGTCACTGGTTGTCTTGCATTTAACACCCAGACATTTAAATGCCGCTAATGTTAATCATTTTAGAGATTATTTGGCTGAAATCGGGAGTCATTGTGTATCTTTACGGCGATTGTCCATCAATTTGGTGGAGAACTCGGCCCAAGTTTGTGACCAATTATTGCAGTGTATTAACCGTGTGTTTCCGCGTTTACAATATTTACAATTTGGCGGCACTTTTGCCACCGATTTCACACTTAAATCGGAAACACTGAGCGGTTTGCGCGGTCTGACACACATCCGATTGCACTCAAATCAATTCTACACTTTTGATGACCACTTTCTCGATGGAATCGACAAGAGTTTACCGAATCTAATGTATATATGGTTGTCCAATGTTGGTGTCAGTGACGATACACTCGTACAGTTGTCATCGTTGTCTAAGTTGCAATCACTGGAACTCATCACATATAAGTACCCGTATTTGTCTCAGTCGACGATTGACCAATTGATTGAGTCGTGTCCTAAATTGCGGTGCTGTAAGATTAATCACATCAACTATTTGTAATACCCGTGCAATAATTGAAAATATAATTACCGGTTGTAATTTTAATTTATTGAAATCATATATTTTTAAGATATTTTGCGTTAAATAATTTAATATATTTTATGGTAAATTTAATTTTAGATAATATAACTTAATATTAATAAAGTAAGGATTTTAAAAATACTGAATGATACAGTAATTTTAATAATTCATTTAATTGTATTATAAACTCATATTTAATACAAATATTATTTATTAAATTTATTAAGTTTTATATAATGATTGACAAAAAAAACAAACTGGAAAAATAATGTACGAAAAATTTTTTTAATTTATATCAATGTGTTAATGAAAGTCAAAAAAAGTTACATTAGATTTAGTGACAAAAATTATAAAATACATCGTTATATCCGTCGTTTGGCGGGTCCTCTCACGCCTCCTCCTCCACCGCCTCGAGCTCCTCTTCCGCGTCCCCGACCTCTGCCTCGGGCGGCATTCGATCGGGAGGCCAGAGCGTCGCGTTTTTTGGCCTTAGCTTTGGGCGTATCGTCGACCAGTAGGGTCTCGAGCGGCAAAGCATCCGGTAATATAAAATATCGGATATTATTTCCGCGAATCGACAGCGAATCCATCGCCTGAGTTGAACCCGATTTGTTCAACAGTTTAACTGATTTCAGATGTGTATTCATCGCAACGTCTACGCCAGCTATCGTACCGCTGACCTGTCATTTAGCGGACAAAAAAAACAACAATTAGACAACAAGTTTATGACAATAGGTTTATCGGGTGTCATAATCACATACCACTGTTCCGTTCTTGAGCTCAACGGTCACTGTTTCGTGACTTAACTTCATTAGAAAACTGTGTGATTATAATAAATGAAATAAAAAACAAATTAATTAAATAAAAGTAATTCAATTGAAAAATAAATATTATTTTAGTTTTTTTGTTTTAAAATAAATTTACTAATCATTATTAACTCCCCAACACTTACCGCACTAATTTCATTGTGTATTGTTGTTGTTGTTGTCGCACGTGTGACACGTGTATAGCGTTTATCAATAAAAAAAAATTAAATCAATTTAAATATGTATTAAATTTAATAACAAAAAAAACGATTCAATTGTTTTGTTTTGCTATTAATGTCGAGACAACCGGTGTGTCTAATAATAATCGGTTCGAACTGCGCATGCGTTACATATATAATATATTTATACATAAATAATGTGTACTTTTTTTATAATAAAAATCTAAATATATATAAAATTTGTTAACAAATAATAACAAAAACAAATAATAATTTTAATATTTTAAAAAAATAAGATTCAAATATATATTGTTTTTAATTACAATCTATTAAATATCTATAAACTATATAATTGTAGTTTAATTTGTTAATTAATTTTAAAGTTAGCATTTATGATGTTATTTATTGTCTATTTTTTTTTGAATGTAAAATCCAAAACAGTAACAATAATTGTAGACAATTTCCTAAGTTTATACAATGCATTTGATCAACAAAATAGTTTTGAAAAAATTTATTTGAATTTTGCGGCAAATTATTTATCAAACAATAAATTATATAACGATTTGTTTTATTTGTTTGAAAACATAAATCAATTGTTTGTTTGTTTGAATCCCCGAATCGGTGGCCATATCAAAGAGCGACAAAATAATGGCCAACAAGTTGTCCGACGAGGATATTACTGATCTATTGAAAGAGATCTTCAGTATAACCGTAGGCAGAGAACAGTTGTCGAAACCGACCAAAGATTTTGTGGTCAATATTTACGCCCGATTTTTGGCCGAATTTGGCGTCGAAAATGTATCGCAACCGGACATCGTGGCCACAACCGGTATGGACAACATTGACCGCTACGAGACCAACTTGTTGTTGTGGAACATCTTCAAGAGTGTGGCCAACATTGTGGCCAACGACGGCATACCGGACATGACGTTCGCCGACGTCTGTCAACCGACTCGTGTCCGCACCAATCGGATATTGTCGTCATTATGTAAACTATTGATCCGTTTGACACAAATCGAGCAACGCTTTCATCAGATGCAACAAAAGTGTGTCGATCTTCCCATCCGTCGACAGGCCGTTGAACAACGTATTCGGGAACTGAAGCGCCAAATGGAGGACAAATCGACGTATTTGTCGAGCAATAAGTCCCGCATTCAGGCCAACAGTCAAGAGTTGAAAGAATTGGCCGAAACTTTCGAGAAAAAGAAGACGGCATCGGATTTACTCAGCGATGAGACCAAACAAATCAAGTCTTCAATATTTCATCAAAGGGTCAGTAATTATAAAAAAAAATTTTTATTTTATTTTATTAAATAATTTTATTTGATTTTGTTATTTCAGGAGAAACTCAGTGAATTGGACATCGAATTGAGCCAAATTCGGGAACAGATTCAAGATTTGGATCAAAAGATTGTTAAAAGTCCAGAACGAATACAAGCGGATACTGACGATAAAGAAGAAGAATTGGAGACCAAACGAAACGAGAAGAAGAAGTTAGAGAAACAATATATGGAACTCATTAAAAGTATTGATCACTTGAAGGAGATCTCCAAAACATTGAAGCCATCGTTGGAAGCTTTCATCGAAGCGTTCAAAGATATTGAAGCCATTCGTACCGAATGCCAGAAGTTATCGGACATTAAAGCGACTTTCGGTAACAGAGAAGAAAAGATGAAATCATTGAAAGTTCAGATTAAAGAACAGGAAAAAAGTTGTCAAACTTTAAGACAACAAAGTGTTAACAATAGTAAACAGTTTCAGCAACAGTACGACACTTTAAAACAGATAACAGACGGCATGAAAATGAATTTGGAGACCAAATTGAAGAATCAATCGGAGTTCAAGAAACAGTGTGTTGAAGAACGACTACGACTAGAGTCCCGTTTGGATGCTCTCGACGGTCAACATCAGGTGTTCATCGAAACCTACGAACGACTGTCGAAACAAATGGAAGAACGTCTTARAAATTGTCAGACATCTCTGATGGCACACATGAATGAARTTAAAGCCATGAGAACAGCTAACGACAGTAAAAATATTTAAAAAATAAGTGTCTATTTTAAGCACATTTTATATTTAATTTTTATATTCATTATATTCATTAATTATTGAATTTATATTTTATTAATTTTACAATATTTTAATTAATATTTTTTTAAATATACAATTTTTAAGTGTCTTCACGGTAATGTATAAATATATATTGATAATAATAGTAAAGTAAATTTTGCATTTACTTACCAATAATCGATTATATTTCATAAATTATAATAATAATAAAATATATATATATATATTTAATAAACTGTTTGTTAATAAACTAGGAAATAGTAGATATGTATAAAAATAAATGTTTGACTTGAATAATATGCTAACTTTCAACAAAAAATATAAATTTTTGTCATCGAATGGCAAAATGATTGAGTTATTTATTTTTATGATTATAAAGCGTTAAATATAACCTTATTTAAAATTTAAATTATTAAAACTAATAAAATCAAACTAATTTATCATATTTTATTGTTTTTATGTTGACTTTAATATTACTTATATAGTTCATCAAATTGAAATTAGGGTTATTCTCTATTAAAACTACTGTTTTCTTTCATAAATAACATTATTAAATTTAAATAAAACTATAATAATATCAACTATTAATAATTATTATTTAGTTAGTTATTTAAATCAAGTTTTAGTTAGGTTAGATATATTCAAAATTATTAGGAAAAAAGTAAATTTTATATTACAGGAAAATTATTAATTTCTAAAAAAATATTTTATAATGTAATAATATTTTATAAAGGATTAATTTAGCTTTATTATTTAATTTCAATTGATAATTAATTTAATTTATTATTACATCTATTAATTATCACTAATTAGTTATTTGGAGTTAATAATGTACAATACAGTAGTTTATTAAAGTGTCACAATCATAGACTTCCTTAAGATGACTTACCTCAGAGAGCAGAGTTACATAATATAAATATTTTTTTTAATAAATAGATTTTATTTATTTTTATTTATGTTTTTAAGAAATAAAGTCAATTCACTTTATAATTAATATGAATGACTTGACATTTATCAACGGGAAGAGTGGGTATATATAAATTTGATGTCAAACTTAAAAATAATAAGATTTACTTTTACTTAATTTATTTGAAAAGTCGATACACTTTTCCTATGATTTCTAATATATTATTATTATTACTACTATTTTTGAAAAATGTTATATAGTATTAATTATAAATTTATATACTTAGTGTTTGCAATAAACTTTTTGGCAATTATTGTTAGCGCTACTAACTATAACTATTATAATGGTTATTACGGTTCATATGAGACGAGCACCCGTAGGCCGCCGCCAATCCGAAGGACAACTACCACAAAAAGAACGGCAAAGACAACGACAAAGCCGTATCGTTATACACGACCGCCTCCGACATCGGGACCGGGAGGTCAGACAACATCACATCCGGCACCCGAACCATACAAATTTGAATACGATATCAATGTTGGATCACCGGATCCGACAGGACATATATCTCAGTCGGAATCTGGCGATGCAAACGGTGTGGTCACTGGAATGGTTAGCAAATTTATATTTACAATTAATTTTTTATTAATTTATTTAAAATATTATCTGTATTTATAGTACTCGTTAAGAGATCCGGATGGCAGACAGCGTACCGTTATTTATAAGGCCGATAGCAATGGCTTTCGGGCCACTATAGAGACAAATGAATTACCGTAAGATTTATTGTTTATTATTATTTGTTTTAAATAATGGTTTTTTTGATCGCATGTTTATCTAGACCTGATGTCCCCAATCCGGCTGATGTCACAATTATAGGAACAGGTGTTGCAAACAGTGATAACTCAGAGTCAAACGATTCATCATAATTTATATCACATCTACCAATAGACTCAAGTTATCGGTTAAATTTATTTTTTTAAATCACTTACATTTAAATATGATTAACATTTATTTTAATATTTTGACTAATTATTTCAAAAATAAATAATTAATAATTTATTTTGTAGATATTTTATAAATATAGAAAAATTATAATTGTTTTATTGCAATTAGTTGTTGATCTAAATTTTTATAGTAAATCACGTAATCATATAAATTATTAAATTTCAACATTTATTAAATATTAATATTAATAAAAACAAAATGATATTTGATTTTTAGTCATATTTTTATTGACCTAAAATGTATTATTATGTATTTAGTTCTATAAATAATTGTATTGTATTACATAATATAAAATATTTTTTTTAATAAATAATTTAGAAAAATAAATATAAATTTTATTTTTTTAAAATATTATTTGCTTTAATTGAATTGCAACTATCTAATTAATTTTATGTATTGTTTTGATGTTAGAATATGATTACCGGTAATTGTTATTTAGTTTTAAATTAAAAATAATTATATTTGATATTATTTTAAAAATAATCTCCTTTATTATATATTTTATAAAATATAATAATAAACAAAAATAAAAAAAAACAAAATTAATTTTTTTTAAAAATTAAAAAGGTATGGCAAACGGCCAGTTTCTGTGCTTATTTATGCCAAATTGAGTCCATGTGTTGTTCCTCCAGTCTCTGTTCAGGTCATTGATGGCCTTAACCTCACTGTCTGTCAAATTGAAGTTAAATAAATCAATGTTTGCGATGATTCGCTCTTTGGTCGCACTCTTAGGTATAACACTGACACCTCTCTGTGTTTGCCATTTGATACAAATAGCGGCCGCACTCACGCCATACTTGGAGGCCAATTGTTTGATGACCGGTATGTCCAACGGTGAAGTTGTATTCTTTTCTTCGACAGTACCACTCCTGGCCAGCGGTGAGTATGCGGTCAGTTTGATGCCACGCGACTCACACCAGTTCAACAATTTCTCTTGACTTAGATATGGGTGACACTCGACCTGATTGACCACTGGAACAGTTGACGAGTTTTTAATCAAGTCTTCAATTTGTTGTGAATTGAAATTTGAGACACCAATAGATCGGGTCAGACCTATAGTAAATAACAAAAACAAATTGATTATAATTTGTTAAAATTTTCTATATATTAAAAATAGATACACAAATTGGAAAATTAATTATCGGGTAATTATTTTGTTTGTTGTTAATATCAATAATTGTAATATAAATATAAAATTCATTAGTTATAGATTTTTGTTGTTAATCATTATTCTTATCATTGATTCTGAAAAACATTGATATTTAACAAAATAAATCAATTTTGGAAATATATTTTGATTAATACTATCATAATTTATAACTTTTTAGTAAAAATTAAATAAATAAATTAACATATTTAAAAATATATATATAATGCACCATAGAATAATATATCTAAATAGTTTATAAATGTATTAATGACCATGGGTATTTAATAAAAATCAAATAAATCAATTGATACCATCTTTTTTTATTTGTTCGAATTCCTTCCAGACATCGATCAGTTCAATGGTGTTGTCAAACAATGCCTGTCCCGTGGCATCAGTGGGATAGAAGTTGTCGTCAACTTGTTTGAGTGGTGTCGGCCAATGTATAAGCAACAGATCAACGTAGGGTAGGCCCAGATTTTTGAGACTACGTTTAGCGCTCAGTGTTGGTCTACCTTTTCCGTGCCAATTGGGCCACACTTTTGTTGTAATGAACAGTTCGTCCCGTTTGACTTTGCCATCTCGTATGGCATCTCTGATGGCTTGACCGACTTCGTGCTCATTCTCATAAAAGTCGGCGCAATCAAAGTGTCGATAGCCGGCATCGATGGCAACCCGAACAACATTTTCAACGACACCGGGCGGTGCCTCATAAGTGCCTAAACCTATAATTGGCATCCGATTGCCATCGTTTAGCGTAAGGAACGGGACTTTGGTGGCGATTCCGGACATTGTTTTTAAGTGTTTAATGAACTAAATCTTTTTAAAAACTTAAGAGAAGTGAAGACAACTGCTATGTCACTAATGGACAGTCAGCTCAGTTAACTTCTTTTATATGTTGTATTGCATGTCTATATAATCAATTGGGTTTTGAATGATACCAGATCTTCGTGTATAACGGTTGCGCGATATTATAGTTAATACTACTATATATATATTTTTTATTTTAAATTATTTGTATATACTGTACATTACGGTATATACACTTACAGTAATATACTGTAATGTATGTGTAAAGGGAATTGATAATGAATGACTGAATGAATGAAAGAATAATAATAATAATAATCAATGAAAACTGATTATTGAAATACAATGTCAAGGCTACCGGTGCGCTATATACTGGAGTAAGTGTACTATCTATGGGTATTGAAAGTACCTATTTATACACACATTCAATAACTTGGATATGTAGTGTAATAGTGATCTAATTTAAAAGTGTGTGGAGACTCCTTGTGCCCCACATCTAACAGTGACGGTAGCCTTGAATGCTTAGGAGTTCAGCGTTTGAACCACACATTGGCCTCGAAATGGTATAAAATGCTTTCAATGTCACCATTTATTGACTATCGTGTCATTGAATATACTTTCTAATGCCATACCGTTTCCTTCAATTCTATATATATAACTATTTTATATGCTATCGTAAGGTTATATTATATATATTGTATATGTATATACGGTAAGAGAGTCGGTATACGATATACTAATGTATTGAACAATACCAATATATTTGTAGGTAATATTTAACATATATCATTAACACATATATCTATTTTTCTCAATGACCTAACCTATTAAGTCTATAGTAGACTAGTCGGGTACACCTGATATCTTATTAGTATTGAAAATATAAAATATTAATATAATTTTTTATTACTAAAGACAAAGTTGTTTGTTAAATATAAATATTAATTACTAAATTATTAATATAATATATATAAATTATATATATATATACATAATATACATATATGTATATAACATAAACATATTATATATATACAGTACAGTATATAGAAAGAGTATATACGAGTATATATAACATAAAATAGTATCATACAGTATTGTATATAATGCTCTAAGTTCACTGGTGCAAATCGCCAGGGTTCATTATGTTATATAAATTATAATTATTGATATAAACTAATGATTAGATTAAACTAATTTTTAAAAGATTTATTTTCTTAAATAATTTTGCCAAAAAACAAACTTGTTTGTTTAGTATAATCGCAAGATAAATAAAATCAGATACTTTTTAATAAAACATACAAACAAACACACATACATATTACATACATATTACACACACACACACACACACACACACACACACACACACACACACACACACACACACACACACACACACACACACACACACACACACACACACACACACACACACACACACACACACACACACACACACACACACACACACACACACACACACACACACACACACACACACACACACACACACACACACACACACACACACACACACACACACACACACAATAAATTATTTATTAATAAGACAAGAATTATTTTTTAAAAATCAAAATATACAGTACTGTATTAAATTCTAACTGTAAAATGCAAAACTAAATAATATACTAAATTATTATTTTAATAATAATATTATACCAGTAATTATGCACAAATTATTTAATAAAATAAATATTTATAATGTGTATCACAAAATGTAAATTTCATTGCAGTATTTATTTTATAAAATAAGATAAATATATTTTGTTAGTTATTCTAAACAATGGACTCGTCTAGACATTTATCATTATATACTTTCAACAAATGCACCGGTATTTTACATATGGAATCGTCTAAAATAAATTACCGGTACATTGAAATAAATTTACAGCAAATTAGTTGATTAACTTTACAATAAACAAAATATATTATTCTAACTATAGTATTATTTTTTAATTTTTACTAATTTGTTCCAATTTTAAACTCAATTCAAAATTTAGAGTAAATAAATTATTAAAAAAAAATTATTTCCAGAGATTCAGTTAACGGTAAAAATTTTTGATTCAAACATAATGGGTATAAAAATATATAATAAAATCCCAAATTAAATAACAAGTGTCTCCAAGTTTTATAGTTTAAAAAAATCTTTTAATGAGAAATACAATCAAAAAAAAAACAAATGACAAAAAAGATAAGTTGTCTAATAGTGTGTTATATTATAAATAAAGTCCTTCAGGAGTTCCTTCTTTCTTGCGGTAGAGTACGTGCTCTTTGGCTTTCTTGAAGTCGTCGCCCAACACTTTCATACGGCGCTCGCGTAAGGCTAATAGACCGGCCTCTGTACAGATGGCTTTAATGTCGGCGCCGGACAGTTCATCTTTGGCCAGAACAAGGTCTTCGAAGTCAACATCATCGGCCAGAGTCATGCGTTGTGTGTGAATGTTAAATATACGACGTTTTGTCTTTTCGTCGGGCATCGGGAACTCAATTTTACGATCAATACGACCGGGTCTGATTAGGGCCGGATCTAATGTTTCAATTCTATTGGTGGCCATTATTACTTTAACATCACCGCGACTGTCGAAACCGTCCAATTGGTTCAACAACTCTAACATTGTTCGTTGAATTTCTCGTTCGCCGCCAGAATTGGAGTCATAACTATTAAAAAAAACAAAATAAAATATTAGACTAAAACATATTCACAATATGACATCAAATATTGACTGACCGTTTGGTACCGACGGCGTCAATCTCGTCGATAAACACAATGGCCGGCGCGTGTTCTTCGGCCACACGAAATAATTCGCGTACGAGTTTCGGTCCGTCACCCAAATACTTCTGAATGAGTTCGGAACCGACTACTCGCAAGAAGGTTGCAGATGTTTGATTGGCCACTGCTTTAGCTAACAGTGTTTTGCCTGTGCCGGGCGGGCCGTACAGAATAACACCTTTGGGCGGTTTGATACCCATTTCTTCGTAATATTCGGGATGAGTTAGCGGCAGTTCAACACTCTCTTTGATCTCTTGAATTTGTGTGTCGAGACCGCCAATATCGGCGTAGGTTTCTTGAGGCGCTTTCTCCAGTTTCATCACATTGACCATCGGATCCACATCATCGCTGAGAACACCGACAACGGCGTGCACTTTATGGTTCAATAAGACACAACAGTTAGGCTCTAACTGTTCCTTATCGACAAAAGATAAGATCGAGACATAATGCTCGGAGCCGACAGAAGTCGACACAATAGCGTGATTATCATCGATAATCTCTTCGAGGTTTCCCACAGACATCGGTGTCCCTAAAGTGGTAATCGACAGAAAATAAAATAATCAATCAATAAATTTATCGATAACTTCAAAGTCAAGTCGTCATCAAAACCTCTCAGATCATCCACTTTATTGCGTTCTTCATCAATATTATCTTCTTTATCTGCCTTAGCATTGATGGTTGCGTTACAATTCTTGAGGAACTCTTCCTCCATAAGCAGCCAATCTTGGATGCGCTCCAACTTCAGAAGTTTAAGCCTACATCGTGTGTGTGGCGTAACCGCCGGCAACTTGGATGCACTGTCCGGTCCTTTACCACCCTTACGACGGCGACCGCGTATTGTCGGTACCGGCGGCGGTGCCGAGCGTTCCTTTTTCTGACCCTTCTTGTCCTTATCGCCGCCCGAACCGCCAGTTCCCGATCCACCCGAATGATGCTGACCCTACATATCAATGGACACACAATTTAATATCAGTTTTTAATTTCTTTTTCACCACAAGTTTGACAAATCATTGTCTGTTTGTTTGTATGTAATTCAATGAATGATAAAATTACAAATAGCTTACCATTGTTTGCAATAACAATAACTTCGGGAAACAGTCTTTTGTTTTGGTGTTGACCTCTCAGTAAGTGTCCGTAAATTCGGGTAAAAATTCAAACAATTGTTTATAAAAATTAGTTTTTGCTGTGAATTGAAGTCAAATAACAAAATCACTGAATCATTGCTCAAATCATTCAATTGTTTTCGTATATATTTATACATAAATTACGTCAAAAACTCATTTTTAAACAAAACTTTAATAAAAAAAGTATTTATTATACTTTTATACTGTAATTAATTTAAAATTAATTTAAACAATTTGTTTATTTATGTATTGAAAATTAAGCACAATTTTTATTAAAAATAAAACTTATAATATTTTTTTGTTATTATTGTATTTAAGTTATAAAAATGTTGTAAAAAATATTGTTATAAATAAAATTATAGTTTGATTTGGGGTATGATTTGTTTGTTTTGTTTTTTCTAAATATATGACTTTTATTTAAAAAAATACAATTGAATTTCAATAGTCTCCTAAATTAAATAAACAAAATGCTATTTTCCTTACAATTTTATTAAATATATTAATTGTTTAAAATATAATTTAGACATAAATTTATTATTACTTACTTTTTACATTAGATTAGATTAATGTAAACGTATTATTTGAATACATAATAATAAGAGATATGTTTTGTGTGTATTATATTAATATACTGTATATTTAGTGAGTGTTTGTATTGTTTGTTATTATATGTACTGTAAATGCAATGAAAAAGTAATTATTAAATACTTGTCATCAAAACAAACACATAATGAAAGTGTCGGCAAATTTCTGGACATTTGGACTACAATTAGCGGCAATACTATGTGTTATGCAATGTATTGTACGATGCGATGARTCGGCTTCGGGACAGTCTTCTTCGGCCACWARTGACCAGACAKTGGGCTCAGAAAAGAAAGTAAAGAAACTGCAGATCGGTGTCAAAAAACGGGTCGAAAACTGTGACCGCCGGACATCTAAGGGTGACATTGTTCACATACATTATAAGGTACGGCAGCCAACACCCGCTCATTGGCCACTTGATGGTCACTAATGATTTGGTTTTATTGTATTTTATATATTTAAAGGGCACTCTCTACGATACCGGTGCCGAGTTTGACAGCTCATACAAGAGAGGCCAGCCGTTGACATTTACGCTGGGWATGGGTCAGGTTATTGCCGGTTGGGATCAGGGACTACTGGGTATGTGTGCCGGCGAAAAACGCAAACTGGTTATACCGTCCGATTTGGCATACGGTGCGGCCGGTGCGCCGCCAACCATACCGGCCAATGCRGCCCTAGTATTTGAAGTCGAGTGCGTTAAGATTGAAAGCCGACGCAATGATCTGTGACCACTGTATGACAGGCCATTTGACTACTTTCCCCAATAAATACCGCAATTTTGTCCCATTTATTATAATAATACCTGTCATTTAAAATTTCACATTTTTTTAACTTTTATATTTATAGCTCAGAATATTTATTATGAAATTATAAACAATTTTTTAGTCATTAATAATAATATAATTATTATATTTATGTTTAAATGTGATTTAATTGTCATTAAAGTGTTTTGTATTTTTAAATTTTATTTTTCAAATTAATTTTTTTTATATCTAAATTCATGTTTTGTGATTTAATTGATATTATTTATAATTAAAATTATTTTTTTCTTGTAATAAATTATTGTTTTTAAGTACACTTTGATAATCATTAATTTTAATCAGATTTTATTAATTTATAAATATTTTATTAAACATGATTATTATACAACAAATTTTGATAGACTGAATCTATGCAAAACTAATTTTTAGTTAAAATTTTATTTGACACTAACTAGTATTTACATTAAATGAAAAATAATACAAAAAAATAATTTAAAAAATATCTATTAATTCTAATTAGAGATTACCGTAATTGAAAAAATTTAAAATTAATTTGGATTGTATTAAATATTTTTTTGGATTGTTTTTTGTTATTTTTAATATTGTAAAAAATGTTTTTTTTATATTTTTGGCGAATTATTATTATTACTACTATTAATAATCTCAGTATTACTACTAATATTATTAGTGTTATTACTATTATTTTCTGCGTTTTTGTCTGTTTTTTCGGGCTTTTCCGTTACGACCGCTGGACACGTATTGGGAGGACAAGTGGTTTCGGCAGGTAGTGCGACAACAGTATAATTGAGTGCATTGTTGCCTATGATTGTCGTGGCATTAGGTGTGACGGGATAGTAGACAAACTTATAGCCAGAGCACATGCCTATGAGGAATATTAACCCGAATATAACAAACGCGGCACTGGCTATGCCGGCCAACACTAATGCACTGACACTTAGATAGACACTGACGAACGTCTTTAACAGGAATCGAGACAAACACCATAGGGTTGCGCTTATGATGAACAGGGATGGGATGATTAGTAGACCGTAATTGAATATCGAGTCAATTGTCTCATTGCTGGCAAACGTATCGACCACTTCCACCCGTACCGGACTGTTCGGGTGTTGGCGATTGTGCTCCTCTTCAATACGTTTTGCCTGATCATCGTTTCGCCACCAGCTCAGGGAGTCCCACGGGTCACGCAATGGCCGATCGTCCTGTAAAATAACTGGCTGTACCCCATATTTAATTTAAATCAATTAATAATTTTTAAAAATTATTAAAATAATGTTTTATAATGCTATATAAGCTATTACAGATAGATATTGATTACATATTTATATCACAAAACTTATATCAAATAATTATTATAAATTAAATTATTATATTGTAGTTCAATGAACCAAAACAATTGATAAATAATTGATTTGTTTTTTAAAAAATCAATAAATTTTCTAATTTACTAATAAGTTTTATACAATATATGTATTAAAATTATAAACAAGCAATATCTAAACATTATATAAACAAATTTTAAATAAGATATCATTAAAAATAAATTATACTTCCGGAATATTCTATAGAGAATATTCTTTATTGTATAATATATAATAAGCAATACATAACGTATTATTCTATATACTATATAATATTAGATTACCATTTTAATAGTATGCTCCGTCATCATATAGATAATTAAATTATAAAAATGGCAATTATGACAATTGTCAAAAAATTATTAGTTGTAAATTAATAAATTAAATAATTTCATAAAAATCGCTGTTTTGTGCATTATTTAGACAACTATTTGGCCAAATATATAAACAAAATTGTTAAAAACATGATATTATTAAATAATAATATAAGGTTTATAGTAATCAATAACTATGTCTAGTGAATGGTGTCGTCAATTGGATGCCAACACAGACTCTGAGCTGATAGAGAGTGAGAGAAGTATTTTATCGATTAATTTCATTAAATCCCATTCCCATAGATCCCATAGGTTTCTATAGTAACGGACACATTCATAAAAATGTGATGGTGATGCTCAAATTTGAAATTTTTTTGTTGTTGAATACCAGTTGGCAATGCTAAACAAACATTTTTCAAAATTATATTCAATTTGATTAAATTGCATCAGATGTTATTATATTTTTTTTATTTATCTATTTATCTTTGTATTTCTATAACAAATAAATACTATAAAACTATTGAATTTTACAAAAAAACAAAACATTATATATTATAATATACTATATAAAATACGTTTATTACATCTAATAAATTAAAATTAATAAGTTTGTTTGAACAATATTTAAAAATTATATATTTGTATAAATTATTTAAGTAACACATTAGTTTATTATCAATATAACAATAATATATTTGATACATTAATCATGATTGCAAATTTATCTAAATATTAGATGAAATATTAGTCCTAAATGTAATACATAGTAAAACAATTTTTCAAAAAACACTTCAATAGCTATCAATATAAAGTATAATTAGCTGTTTATATATGTCAAACATTTGCATATTAATATTTTCCAGTATTGAATTACTATCTCTTTATATATATATATGTGTAAATAAAGTTTTTATTAAAATTTATGATTGCTTATATTGTAATTTTTATTATTATAGTTATTTATTGTGTGCTAAGCTAATGAATCAATATAAGTAAAATATAACAAAATAAATATTTTCTATGTCAACATTTCTATAAATATCGATGACAGCAATTTTTTTAATTATTTTTTAAAGTAATATACAAAACAATACAAAATCATTTGAAAAGTAATACAATTTATAAGAAATACTAAACATTTTTTTTAAATGTCAGTAATAGATACTAATAAACTTTAGAATTACATTTATTGTCATATAATTTAAGTAAAGATAATAAATATTTTTAAAGTATAAAGTTATAAATGCAATTTGATATAATTTACAAAATTACATTATTAAAAAATACATTTATATTTATCTCTACAAATAAATCTCGGGTATCTCCATCTAAGACTTTTGTATTCATACGTTATTGTTAGTCTCAATGACTATAAGACAGAGTATTTTTAACCAATATTTTATGATTATAAAGTGTTTTCTCAACTAAAGTAAGTTTTTATTTAAAATTATTAAATTATTATTCATAGAATATTAAGTTAACTAAATTTATTAATTATATTAATCTCAATAGCAGTTAATAATGTTTTGCAATACACCAATATGGGTAAATAAATTTTAGTATATGTTTATTTCTATATTTAAGTATATAWGTAAATATTTTAATAATATTTAATATTGATAAAGAATAATAATAATGAGTTTAATCAATTTTCAATTTTTAGAACCAGAGTATGACATGGGATAGTAATGTTCCCCAATTGACACAATGTTTCCAACAAACTATACTACCTATCATACCAATGATCATAATGTTATTTTTATTGCCATACGATTGGTATATTATAAATAAATCATTTAATCATTTTAAACCATTTAGCTATCATTGGAAATATATATTGCATTTGGTATTTAAAATTTAATTATTAGTAGTTAATTACAGTATTTAAAAAAAATTATTCAATTACTAATTTATAATTTTTATTATTTAATAGATAAGCTGTTGTTTGCTAAGTATTTTAACAATTATGAAACTTTCACATTATTTATATCTAAGTAATTACAACGAAATATTAATAAGTGATATGTTTGCAAATGTGATTCAATTGATCACATATTGTTTGGTTGGATATCATGTTATTGTGTTTCATCGATACGGATATCGACATCCGATTACAATACCTCTAATATGGTTGACCTCTCTATTATGTTCATTGATTAGTTTCTATCATTTATTTATTAACAATAATTATAAAATTCAAAATTATTTGCTAATTGTAAACTGTATGGAAGTATACTTTACATTTCAAGCACTAGTAATCTCATGTATGAACCAACCGTCCACCGAATTTGAACAGTTGGAGAGCGACTGTCACTTCAAATGTCCAATGAATGACTTCAATATATTTTCCCGTATATTCAGGATTTGGATGAGAAAGTTATTGAAAATTGGATATAAAACTGATACGGATTTAAAACAATATTTGCTACCACTTTGTGATTATGTTAGTTCTCGTGGTTCATATGAAGTATTTGAAAAAGCTAATCAAAAATATAATACAAATTCATTAGCAAATATAAGATTATTGCCATTGATTTTCTGGACGGCGTGGTTACCATACATTATATCAGCACTATTAAGAATGTTATGCATTGCCTCTAACTATAGTCAACCCTATATTTTAGGGAAACTCATTGATTATATWTCATATCGGGACAGTCAGTTATGGCACGGTATCTATTATGCTGTTATCTATTGTTTCTTCACATTATGCAGTCGCCTATCCTGGTCTCACAGTTTTAACTATTCAAGTCTAGCCTACTATAGAGTACAATCGGCTCTTACTTGTGCTCTCTATAATAAAATGCTTAGACTTAGTCCTATGTCTCGCAGAGAATACACAACTGGTATTTAAAAAATTATTATATTTAAGTATTTAATTATATTTAATGATTGATTGTTTAATATTTAGGTGATATCAATAACTTGATGGGTGTCGATGTATCAGAAATCTGTAGTTTCCTAAACATTATGACTAATTTATATGCCATTCCCATCAGCTTTAGTATAGGTATCTTTTTATTATGGCAACAATTGGGTCCGTCATCGATGACAATCATTGTGGTTATGCTGTTTGTCTGTCCATTTACAACATATGCTATGCGACGATACAGTTGTCTCCAGAAAGAGCAGATGTCATTGAAAGACAAACGAATGGCACAAATAAGTGAAATATTGAATAACATTAAATTATTGAAACTATTTGGTTGGGAAAAGCCATTTATGGAAAGATTGTCAAAAGTCCGGCGCCAAGAGTTATGGAAATTAGTTAAGGGAAAGGTATGGGACTGTTCAATATATGTGACATTTCTATCGCTTCCAATGTTTATCGCTGGCATAAGCTTTACGATGTTTACATTGGTTTCTGGACAACAATTTAATGCTAAAAATGCTTTCGTATCGCTTGCTGTTTATAATCTATTAAGAGGACCGCTAACTATGTAAGCAATTATTAAATTTATAAGTTTTGATAGTTATCTAAATATTAAATTTATTTCTGACATTATTTGTATACTTCAATATAGGTTTCCAATAACCATAACATATCTGTTGAAAGCAATTGTTTCATTCAGAAGAATCAGAAAGTTTTTGAGTTCTGAAGAATTAGATAATTATAATAACTGTAATGATAATTGTGTCGATAGTATTCATGACAATGAATGTGTGGTTTCTATACATAATAGTTCATTTGGTTGGAGTAGTGATGACGAACCCATACTTAAAGATATTCAAATTAATATTAAAAAGGGATCATTGGTTGCAATTGTTGGGAGAGTGGGAGCCGGAAAGTCATCACTACTATCATCACTGATGGGTGATATGTATTGTATGAGTGGTAACCAACCAAAAATAAATGGATCCGTTGCTTATGTGCCACAAACGGCATGGATTCAAAACATGACTTTAAGAAATAATATAGTGTTTGTCTCTGAATTTGAATCGACAAAATATGAGAGAGTAATCACTGCCTGTGCTCTCAAAACAGATTTTGATTTATTACCGGCGCGTGATTTGTCTGAAATCGGAGAAAAGGGAATCAATTTAAGTGGCGGACAAAAACATAGAGTGAGTTTAGCCCGAGCTGTATATCAGGACACAGATGTGTATCTATTGGACGACCCATTGGCCGCTGTGGACGCACACGTGGCTCAACACTTATTCCAACACGTGATCGGACCAAAAGGATTGTTGAGACGAAAAACTCGACTTTTGGCTACACATAACATACACTTTCTCAAAGATACTGATTATATAATAGTTATGAGCGACGGACGTATTCTGGATTCCGGCACTTATGATGAGTTGTCCGATAGAAGTATGCTTTCGGAACAGATTCTCAAGAATAGTGACGACAATAAATCAATTACTAGTGAGGATCGTGTGTCACAAATAAGTTCTTCAAAAGTTAAAAGAAAGTTATCGAAACAGACTTCTAATATAAGYCATATATCTAGTGATATAAATGATAATAAAGAACCCATCGGTCAAAACCTTATCGATGAAGAGTACCAACAGTTTGGTAGTGTTAAACATACCGTTTATTTGGATTACATTTTTCGCTGTGGTTTATGGCTATCACTACTTGAATGTATATTATGTTTGCTATACAATGTCGCACAAGTTGGTGGTAACTATTGGTTAACCATTTGGACATCAAATAACTCTACAGAAATTGAGACAACATCTGATAAAACCTATTATCTGTCTATTTATTTGACATTTTTCTTGTTAAACGCTCTGTTTGTTACCTGTTCACAGTTAACAGTCACACTATGTAACTATAAATCGTCGACAATCCTCCACAAAGACATACTGTTCTGTGTATTGAGGACTCCGTTGTCTTTCTTCGACACCACACCTTTGGGTCGGATTATCAATCGTTTTAATCGTGACTTAGATATGATTGACGATAGAATACCCAACTGTTTACAAGAATTTATTCATCAATCGTTATATAATATTTTGATTTTGATTATCATTATCTATTCAAATGCTTATATGATTATATTGATTGCAATAATTATGTTGGTTTATTTTTTCTTATACGTAAGTAATAATAATAATAATAAATTTCCATTTGATTTTTTTGTTGTTGATATTTATTTTAATAATATCAATATTTTTTAAAAAGCGATTATATCTGTGGACATCGCGACAATTGAATCGTTTGAATTCAATCACCCGATCGCCGATTTATAGTCATTTTAATGAAAGCATTTCGGGTGCCGTTTCTATACGTGTCTATCGCGTCCAACAATTGTTTGTCAAAAGACTGCAAAAACTAATTGATATAAACATTAACGTCGAGCGACACAAATATTCAGCACAGATGTGGTATAAAATTTAAAACAACAAAATTTAAAACTGATTTCAAATTTATTTATTTTCATATAATTTTTATAGGATTGAAATCTGGATAGCAATCATTGGTATTGCTATTACATTTTCGACAGCACTGTTGATTGTCTTACAAAAAGACAACATATCTCCCGGTTTGGCAGGTTTTGTGCTTATGTATACATTTACTATGGTTAACAACATTTCATGGTTTCTCAAAATGACCGCTGAATTGGAAACACAAATGGTTTCTGTTGAAAGAGTCAGAGAGTATTCACAATTGAATAGTGAAAGTGAATGGGAATCAAGTGATAGTAACAAACCTTTGGATAACTGGCCCACAAAAGCTTGGATTGAATTCATAGACTATTCGGCTTCGTATAGACCAGAGTTGGAACCGGTACTCAAAAATATCAATTTTCGAGTGGAGTCGGGAGAGAAAGTAGGAATAGTTGGCCGAACCGGTGCCGGGAAATCATCGATAACTTTGGCACTGTTTAGAATAATTGAACCGAAAACCGGTCAAATTATAATCGATGGAATTGATATCACAAAAATAGGATTACATGATTTGCGATCCAAACTAACAATTATACCACAAGAACCAAATCTATTTGCTGGAACTCTTAGACTTAATTTGGATCCATTTGAAGAATATTCAGACCAACAAATGTGGACAGCATTGGAAAGGTCACACTTAAAGGTAGGATTAGTTCTTATAATATTAAATAATAATAATTATTATTTATGTTTAAATTTTTAGGAATTTATATCTCAATCAAGTGATGGTTTATTGTATGAGATAGAAGAAGGCGGTAACAACTTGAGTGCCGGTCAGAGACAACTCGTATGTCTGGCCAGAGCTCTGTTACGTAACACTCGTATCTTAATCCTCGACGAAGCGACCGCTGCCTGCGATCTGGAGACCGATCTATTGATACAATCGACTATTAAGGAAGAGTTCAGCGATTCAACAGTACTGACAATCGCTCATCGATTGAATACAGTATTGGATTACAATAAGATTATAGTATTGGATAACGGGATGATTAAGGAAATGGATTCACCAGACAATCTGCTCCGGGATTCCGATTCACTATTCTATAGTTTAGCCAAAGAATTTGGAATCGTTTGATTTAATTATAATTAATAATAATTTGTTAAAATTTACATTTAATTGAATGAACTTCAATATCTGTATCGCATTTATTTTAATAATAGTTGTAATTTTACGCGCAATTAAATTTGCAGTTAAAATAGTTGAAAATAAGACCAATTACTGCCTTTAATCTCTACACTCTCTTTATACTAATCTTAATAAAATAAATCTATTAAAAATTTATAGTTAATAATAGTATTGTTTACATAATATTTTACTATTAAAATAATATTGTATAATGTTATTTTAATTTAACATACTGTAACATTATATTTTTATCATATTATGATTTTTATTTACATTATTTATTACATTTATTTCTTATTTTTAACTCAAATAAAATATTAAAAACTGTTTATTAAATATAATTATAAATAAAACAAGAAATAATTAAAACGTTTTTGCTTTATCTATACTTMAAATAATTTTTTGTTAATATAGCTGTTTGTTTGTATTATATTCGTATTCATTGCGATTTTTTAAAAAAAACTTTAATTTGGTAATTTTTGATAAATAATAAGCTCATATAAATTCAGGGTTAAACCAATATATTATAGAATAATAATATTTATTACTTATAGATTAGACAAAAATTTATTTTAGTATATATAAATAGTTGTATTAAAGTTGAGAAAAGTTGAAATAAATCTTTTTAAAATACAATATTAAAAATTAAAACTTCAATGTTATATAAAATAGATAATACCTTAAAGATAATTCAAGGTTAATAAAGTACATTCACTTATTATACATTAATTATAAATTTATAATTGTGAGTTATATCAATTATATTTGGATGAATTTAGGTAAAATTGTATATAATATAATACATTCAATACACAGTACTGTAAATCAGTTATAATATAATTTTACAGTAAATGATTATTTATAATTAAAATAATAATAGTCTTAATTAATTTACATTCAATAAATTTTTTACAAATTTTAATTTTTAAATATTTTAGTTATTTATTTATAGATAATATGATAAGTTAAATTTATTTACTATACACTAATTCTATTGCAATTTTTGTAAATATTAGATGAAATGGTTAGTGCATAACATTAAATAAAATTTTTTATTCCGATAAAATTTTAATTGGTATTCAGTTTATACAGTATATTTATATAAAGCTGTGTAAATAATAAATAATTATTAATATTTATATATATTTGTTAACTTATAAAACATAAGTTATAATGCTATACGAAAATATAATATATGTTAATTTTTATACGATAGTGACAATCATTTTGTATATAAATAGGAATTAAGTATATAAATATTGTTTTTTAGTAACAATTTCATAAATACATTATACAATAATACTATATATRTATACTGTATAATAAAAGAGATTTTTATATTAATATAAATTTTTTATTAAATACATTATTATCAACATCTTATTAATTAATATATTATTGAAATTGATCTTGGTTCAAAAATGTTTTGCAATACACCAATTTGGGTATTACTAATAATATTTCTAAAAAAAACTTTTATTATAATTTAATTAATGACATATAAATTATTTACAGAATCAGAGTATGACATGGGATACTAATGTTCCCCAATTGACACAGTGTTTCATACAAACCATAATACCTGTCTTACCAATGATCATAATGTTATCTCTATTGCCATATGACTTATACACTGTCAACAAATCATTTAAATATTATAAACCAGTAAAAAATCACTGGAAATATATATTTTATTTAGTAAATATGTTTTATAATAGTTTCAAATAATTTATTAATTAAAACTMTTTAATTATCATTTAATTACAGACAACCTGTTATTTACTAATCATTTGTTCAATTAGTAAACTATCACATAATATATTTTTATTGGATAACAAAAACATATTAATAAGTGATTTATTTGCAAATGTAATTCAATTAGTCAAACATAGTTTTGTTACAATTTTTATGATTGTATTTCATCGATACGGATATCGACATCCGATATCAATACCCGTCCAATGGTTGACTAGTCTATTGTGTGCAACAATTAGTTTATATCATTTGTTTGTTAACAAAAATTATAATAACTATTTGTTTATAACAATTATAAACTGTGTTGAAATTGAACTAACAGTTCAAGCATTGATCATATCGTGTCTAAACCAACCGTCCAATGAGTTTCAACCATTGGATAACAACGAGTGTTATTTAAAGTGTTCAATGAATGACTTCAATGTATTTTCACGTATATTCAGGATTTGGATGAGAAAGTTATTGAAAGTTGGATATAAATCTGATGTCGATTTAAAAGACTATTTACTACCACTTTGTGATTATATAACTACTAAGAGATCATATGAAATATATGAATCTATAAATGAAAAATATAATCAAAAATCAAGATTATTACCAGAAATGCGTTTATTACCAATGATTTGGGGGATGGCGTGGTTGCCGTACATCATGTCTGCTGTCTTAAGATTATTAAGTATTTTCTCTAATTTTATTCAACCTTACATTTTGGGAAAACTTATTGATTTACTGTCCGATCGGAATAGTTATGTATGGCATGGCGTATGTTATTCAATAATTTATAGTATATTTACATTAATTGGTAAATTATGTATAGCACATAGCAATAACTATGCAAATCTAGTCTATTATAAAGTTCAATCGGCACTTACCTGTGCTTTATATAACAAAGTGTTTAAACTTAGTCCCGGCTCTCGCAGAGTATACACAACTGGTAATACATTAATAGTTAATTAATAGTTAATAGATTTTAATTAATAAATTGCTTAAATCATAGGTGAGATCAATAACTTATTAGGTGGTGATGTGACAGAGATTTGCAGATATTTTTATGCATTGACTAATTTATATGCAATACCAATAAGTTTTCTAATTGCTATTTATCTATTGTGGCAACAATTGGGTCCGTCATCGATGACACTCATTGCTATTATGCTATTTGTCGGTCCATTTACAACATATGTCGTGAAAAATATGAGTAATATTCATAAAGAAAAGATGTCATTGAAAGACAAACGAATGGCACAAATCAGTGAAATGTTAAATAATATTAAATTATTGAAACTATTTGGTTGGGAAAAGCCATTCATTGAGAGAGTTAGTAAAGTCCGGAGACAGGAGTTATGGAAATTAGTTTATTTAAATGTTTGGAACTGTATTATGTATATCACATTTAATTCACTTCCTATGATTATCGCTGGCCTAACCTTTACAGTCTATACATTAGCATCGGGACAGACATTAAGTGCAAAAAGTGCTTTTGTAACTCTCTCTGTATATAATCTATTGAGAAACCCATTGTCTGTGTATGTGATTGTATTATAAACATTGAAGTATTAGATAAATTAATTTTAGTTTATTTTGTCTTTGAATACTAGGTTTCCAAGAAGTATAACGTCTTCGATCAGAACTATTGTTTCATTCAGAAGAATCAGAAAGTTTTTGAGTTCTGAAGAATTGGATACTTCTAATGAATTTTATGATAATTGTATTAATAGTAATAATGACAAACAATTTGTGGTTTCATTAAATAACAGTTCATTTGGTTGGAATAGAGATGACGAACCCATTCTTAAAGATATTCAAATTAATATTAAAAAGGGATCATTGGTTGCAATTGTTGGGAGAGTTGGAGCAGGAAAGTCATCACTACTATCAGCACTGATGGGTGATATGTATTGTATGAGTGGTAATCAACCAAAAATGAATGGAACCGTTGCTTATGTGCCACAAACGGCATGGATTCAAAACATGACTTTAAGAGATAATATAGTTTTTGTCTCTGAATATGAATCGACAAAATATGAGAGAGTAGTTACTGCCTGTGCTCTCAAAACAGATTTTGATTTATTACCGGCGCGTGATTTGTCTGAAATCGGAGAAAAGGGAATCAATTTAAGTGGCGGACAAAAACATAGAGTGAGTTTAGCCCGAGCTGTATATCAGGACACAGATGTGTATCTATTGGACGACCCATTGGCTGCTGTGGACGCACACGTGGCTCAACACTTATTCCAACACGTGATCGGACCAAAAGGATTGTTGAGACGAAAAACTCGACTTTTGGCTACACATAACATACACTTTCTCAAAGATACTGATTATATAATAGTTGTGAGCGACGGACGTATTCTGGATTCCGGAACTTATGAAGAGTTGTCCGATAGAGAAATGCTTTCTGAAGAGATCTTTAAAACTAATGACAGTGTTGACAATAAATCACTTTCAACTGAAGATCGATTGTCACGAATGGGTTCTTCGGATCTCAAGAGAAGAGTATCCCGACAGACATCTATTTTAAGTAATATTTCTGGCGATAAAAATATTGAAAATAATGAAAAAATCGGTAATAATAAACTGATTGAAGAAGAAGAGCAACAGTTTGGTAGTATTAAGATAAGAGATTATTGGGATTATATTAATCGTTGTGGTCTATGGTTAACAATATTGTTATTAACATTTTGTTTCATATTTGATGGCACAGAATTTGGTGGCAGTTATTGGCTAACAATATGGACTTCACATAACACAACACAACTAAACACATCAATCTCTGATAATACCTATTATCTGTCCATTTATTTTGTTATTTTATTGATGAACACACTATTAATAAGTTGTGCACAATTAACAATAACAATATGTCGTTATAAGGCTTCAACTGTTTTCCATAGAGATCTGTTATATAGTGTATTGAGAACTCCGTTATCCTTCTTCGACACCACACCTTTGGGTCGAATTCTTAATCGGTTTAACAACGACTTCGATATGATTGACATCGATATACCCTATTGTTTGCAAGAATTTCTTATTGAATTTCTATATTGTTCGTTAATTTTGATTATTATTGCAATCATTAATCCTTATATGATTATATTAATGACAATTGCTTTTTTGATTTATGTTTACATATATGTAAGTACAGGACATTTTTAAATACATAATGTAATACTAAAAATACGTAATACTATTAATTAACTAAATTTCAATAGCGATTATTTTTGTGGACATCGCGACAATTGACTCGTTTGACTTCAATCACCCGATCGCCGATTTATAGTCATTTCAATGAATGCATTTCAGGTGCCGTTTCCATACGTGTCTATCGCGTCCAACAAATGTTTACCGAAAAACTGCAAAAACTAATTGATCTCAACATTAATGTTGAGAGACACGAGTTGTCATCAATTATGTGGTCTGTAAATAATAATATTTATATATATTATTTAATATTTATTTACAGTAAAATTTATATAAAAATTTATATATATTGAAATACAGGGTTGAAATTTGGGTCACAATTATCGGTATTCTGATTACATTTTTTACATCAATAATAATTGTTTTTAAAAAAGAGGACATAAATCCAAATTTGGCTGCTTTTGTATTGATGTATGCGTTTGATATCATTAATCACATCACTTGGGTTTTAAGGATAACAGCAGAATTAGAAACAGAAATGGTTTCCATTGAAAGAGTCAGAGAATATTCACAATTGAATAGTGAAAGTGAATGGGAATCAAGTGATAGTTACAAACCTATTAATAATTGGCCCACAAATGCATGGATTGAATTCGTAGACTATTCGACTTCGTATAGACCAGAGTTGGAACCGGTGCTCAAAAATATCAATTTTCGAGTTGAGTCGGGAGAGAAAGTAGGAATAGTTGGCCGAACCGGTGCCGGAAAATCATCGATAACTTTGGCACTATTTAGAATAATTGAACCGAAAACCGGTCAAATTATAATTGATGGCATTGATATCACACAAATAGGATTACATGATTTGCGATCTAAACTAACAATTATACCACAAGAACCCAATCTATTTGCTGGAACTCTTAGACTTAATTTGGATCCATTAGATGAMTATTCAGACCAACAATTGTGGACAGCATTGGAAAGGTCGCACTTGAAGGTAGGCTCCTATAATATTAACAGTAAACAATTACTGTATTATATTAATTTATTTTTAAATTAATAGGACTATATATCGCAATCAAGTGATGGTTTATTGTATGAGATAGAAGAAGGCGGTAATAACTTGAGTGCCGGTCAGAGACAACTCGTATGTCTGGCCAGAGCTCTGTTACGTAACACTCGTATCCTAATCCTCGACGAAGCGACCGCTGCCTGCGATCTGGAGACCGATCTATTGATTCAATCGACWATTAAGGAAGAGTTCAGYGATTCAACAGTACTGACAATCGCTCATCGATTGAATACAGTATTGGATTACAATAAGATTATAGTATTGGATAACGGGATGATTAAGGAAATGGATTCACCAGACAATCTGCTCCGGGATTCCGGTTCTATATTTTATAGTTTAGCCAAAGAATTTGGAATTGTTTGAATTGTTGTCAATTTATTAAATACTTTTTTTTGTTATTTTGTTTTTATTAAATAAATATATTTTTATCATTGAATTTTAGTAATTTAAATCTACTATAACTAAATTATAAAATAAAATAATTAAATTGAATTTTTTAAATATTATTTTCTATTTATTTTATATTAATTTAATATCAATTATATTAATTGCTAATTTTTCAAATCTATTTAATGTATATCTACTGTATACTACTATATAATTTGGTAATGCTTGTGTATATTACTTTTAATGTGTCGCGAGATTATTAATTTATTAAATAAAAACATATACAGTATACAGTATATACTGTTTATAATAAACTATTATTAAAACATGGATCTAAATAGTTAATTTATAAAACATAATTCAAGGTTAATAAAGTACATTCACGTTATATTTCAAGTTATATTGATTATCTTATGTATAATACGGTATTATGTAATACATATTATACTATACATTTACAGTAGTTTTAAATTCATAATTTATTACCATATAAGGAAATTATTTTTAGAACATAATACTAAATATTAGCATGATACATTTATTATTAAAGCAGGTGTATATAATTTTTGACATTAATAACATGACTAATCAATAAATTATTATATAAATAATCATTAATTTATAGTAATATACTTTTAATTTAATTTAATTAGAATTAATTTATATTAACTTTAATTTAAAAATCATATTATGAAAAATTGCGCTCAATTTTGAATTTGAAAAATTTTATTTAACCATATATGGTAATATGATAATTTAAGTTTTTATTTCGTATTTATATTACATGTTTTGTAAATATTAGATGAAATATTTACTGCATCATTAGATAAGCAATTTTCCAATACATCTAATTGATATTCAGTGTACTATATATATAAAGCTGTGTAAATTATAAACATTTATTAATAAATTATCATTATTTACTTATAGTATTTACTATAAAATTTTATTTTTAATGTATATTGCAATGATTTAATTATTATTATAGTTTTTTTTATCGTTTTCAATATATTTAGTAAATAGTAATAAATATTTAATGTCAAACATTTTATACTGTATAGTATATAACTACAAATCAAGTTTATTCAATATTCATTAATAAGTTGTCAATACTGTACAATAATACTTGTATGCTGTATAGTAGTGTACACTAAAAAATATTTTTAATTTTAAACTTTTAAGTGTCTAACTTTATTGCAATATCTTATTAAGTATTTTTTTTGTATTAAAGTTGTTCTTGGTGAAAAATGTTTTGCAATACACCAATTTGGGTATTATTATTATTAATAATTATATTTATTTGAAAATTTTCTACTAATAATTTGATTAATATTATATTTATATAAAATTATTATTTTTGTAGAATCAGAGTATGACATGGGATACTAATGTTCCTCAATTGACACAATGTTTCATACAAACCATACTACCTGTCCTACCAATGATCATAATTTTAACTCTATTGCCATTTGATATCTATACCATTAACAATTCATTTAAAACATCTAGGCCATTTAATAAAAATTGGAAATATGTTATGCATTTGGTATACTTTTTGTTTATTCACATAAATTATATTTTTCATTATAATAATAATAATGTTTTTTTTGGTTTGTTTTAGATTACTTGTTGGCTGTTAATTATTACTTCAATTATCAAACTTTCGGACAATATTTATCAAAATAATAACAATAAAGTTTTATTGATGAGTGAAATATTTGCAAATATTATAAAATTAGTCACTTATTGTTTAGTACTAACTCTTGTGCTTATATTTCGTCGATATGGTTATCGACACCCGATTACAATACCTGTGCAATGGTTGACAAGTTTATTGTGTGCATCAATTAGTTTATATCATATGTTTTATAATAATGAAAAAATTTATGAGTTTGCATTCATCATAATTTGTATTGAAGTTTATCTCAACTTTCAAGGAKTAATCATATCGTGTCTAAACCAACCGTCCGCCGAATTTGAACTATTGGACAGCGATTGTCAATTAAAGTGTCCAATGAATGACTTCAATATATTTTCCCGTATATTCAGAATTTGGATGAGAAAGTTGTTGAAAGTTGGATACAAAACTGATGTCGACTTAAAACAATATTTGCTACCACTTTGTGATTATATAACCTCCCGGAGCGCATTTCATAAATATGAAACTGAACATAAAAATTATAATCCAAACACAAGATTAGTACCAGTAATCAAATTATTGCCATTAATTTGGTGGACGGCGTGGATGCCATACATTATGTCATCAGTTTTAATGTTATTTAGTATTGGAGCCGCTTTTATTCAACCCTATATTTTGGGGAAACTTATTGAGTTTGTTTCCAATGAGGAAAGTCAACTATGGCACGGCATATATTATGCTATTATCTATTGTTTCTTTACATTAATCGGACGATTATGCAGTTCTCATAGCTTTAACTATTTAAGTATTGCCTATTATAGAGTTCAATCGGCACTTACCTGTGCTTTATATAAAAAAATGCTTAAACTTAGTTCCGACTCACGTAGAAAATACACAACTGGTAATAAATATAACTAATAATTAAAATTATATAAAAAAATAAAATTAATTTTTAGGTGATATCAATAATCTAATGGGTGTCGACGTATCAGAGATTTGCAGATTTTTTCACGTTATGACTGAATTATATTCAATTCCTATAAGTCTTTCAATTGGACTCTACATATTATGGCAACAATTGGGTCCGTCATCGATGACAATCATTGGGATTATGCTAATTGTCGGTCCATTCACAACGTATGTCATGAGACAAGTTAGTGATCTCCAGAAAAATCAGATGTCAATGAAAGACAAACGAATGGCACAAATCAGTGAAATGTTAAATAATATTAAACTATTGAAACTATTTGGTTGGGAAAAGCCATTCATTGATAGAGTTAGTAAAGTCCGGAGACAGGAGTTATACAAATTAGTTAAAGGAAATGTATGGAGTTGTGCGATGTATATCACATTTAACTCACTTCCTATGATTATCGCTGGCCTAACCTTTACAGTCTATACATTGACTTCAGGACAAAGATTTACAGCAAAAAATGCTTTTGTATCGCTCTCTGTATATAACCTATTAAGAGTACCATTGACTACGTAAGTCAATAATATATAATCATTTAATTAACTTTTATTTAGAAAATTAAATAAATAAAAATATGATATAATATTACGGTAAATAATTTATTTTAATTTGTAAACAGCTTTCCGATGTCAATCATATTATTAATCAGAGCTATTGTTTCATTCAGAAGAATCAGAAAATTTTTGAGTTCTGAAGAATTAGAGAAATACAATGAATGTAATTGTTTTGATAGTATTGATGAAAATGAATGTGTGGTTTCATTAAATAATAGTTCATTTGGTTGGAATAGAGATAGTGAACCCATACTTAAAGATATTCAAATTAATATTAAAAAGGGATCATTGGTTGCAATTGTTGGGAGAGTGGGAGCAGGAAAGTCATCACTACTATCAGCATTGATGGGTGATATGTATTGTATGAGTGGTAATCAACCAAAAATAAATGGAACCGTTGCTTATGTGCCACAAACGGCATGGATTCAAAACATGACTTTAAGAGATAATATAGTGTTTGTCTCCGACTACAGGCAATCAAAATATGAGAGAGTAATCACTGCCTGTGCTCTCAAAACAGATTTTGATTTATTACCGGCGCGTGATTTGTCTGAAATCGGAGAAAAGGGAATCAATTTAAGTGGCGGACAAAAACATAGAGTGAGTTTAGCCCGAGCTGTATATCAGGACACAGATGTGTATCTATTGGACGACCCGTTGGCTGCTGTGGACGCACACGTAGCTCAACATCTGTTTGAACACGTGATCGGACCAAAAGGAATATTAAGACGAAAGACACGTTTATTAGCCACACATAACATACACTTTCTTAAAGATATGGATTCTATTATTATTGTAAGCGATGGACATATTCTGGATTCCGGTACTTATGACGAGTTGTCCGATAGGGGTATGCTTTCTGAACATATGATAAGTAATGTTAATAATGACGATCGCGTATCGGAAATGAATTTACAAAATATTAAAAGACAAACTTCGCGTCAAATATCAACTTTAAGTCGCACTTCTGGTGATAAAATTGATGACAAATTAAATGATGAATTGGATTCATCTAATAATAATCTCATCGATGAAGAACATCAACAGTTTGGAAGTGTTAGACTTACAGTTTATTTAGATTACTTGCGTCGCTGTAGTCTATGGTTATCACTATTACTGGTTATCTTTTGTCTATTATATGACGGAACAGAAATCGGTGGTACCTATTGGTTAAGTTTGTGGGCTTCAAATAATTCATCACAAATAAACACAGAGACCGACAATAAAACTTATTATTTGACAGTTTATTTGGTACTATTCCTCTTTAACGCMCTGTTTATAATGGGAGGACAGTTGACGATCACGTTTTGTTCATATAGAGCCTCAACAGTCCTGCATAAAGATATGTTGTATAGTGTATTGAGAACTCCGTTATCCTTCTTCGATACCACACCTTTGGGTCGAATTCTTAATCGCTTTAATCACGACTTCGATATGATTGACGATATGATACCCTATTTTTTGTTTGATTTTCTCAAAGAATTTATTTACTTTCTATTGATTTTTATTATTATTGTTTATATCAACGCTTATATGACTGTATTGATGGCAATTGTTTTAGTGACTTATTTTTTTCTATACGTAAGTATTAGTAAGGTTTTAAATTATAAATTATAATATTAATTTCATAGCGACTATATCTGTGGACATCACGACAATTAAATCGTTTGATATCAATTACCCGATCGCCGATTTATAGTCATTTTAATGAAAGCATTTCGGGTGCAGTTTCTATACGAGTCTATGAAGTCCAACAAATGTTTGTCGAGAGACTGCAAAGACTAATTGATCTTAACATTAATGTCGAGCGACACAAATATTCAGCTGTCATGTGGTCTGTTAATTAAATAAATAAATTAGTAGTAATTCAATTGTATTATTAATTTTGATGTAATATTTTGTAACTTAGGATAGAAATCTGGACATCAGTTATAGGTATTATTATAACATTTTCAACGGCAATGATAATAGCATTCAAAAGAAACGAAATTAGTTCGGGTTTTGCCGGCTTTGTACTCATGTATTCATTTGATGTCATTAATCACATCTCATGGGTCTTAAGAGTTACGGCAGAATTAGAGACACATATGGTATCTGTTGAAAGAGTCAGAGAGTATTCACAATTGAATAGTGAAAGTGAATGGGAATCAAATGATAGTAACAAACCTTTGGATAACTGGCCCACAAAAGCTAAGATTGAATTCATAGACTATTCGGCTTCGTATAGACCAGAGTTGGAACCGGTACTTAAAAATATAAATTTTCGAGTGGAGTCGGGAGAGAAAGTAGGAATAGTTGGCCGAACCGGTGCCGGAAAATCATCGATAACTTTGGCACTGTTTAGAATAATTGAACCGAAAGCCGGTCAAATTATAATCGATGGAATTGATATCACAAAAATTGGATTACATGACTTGCGATCTAAACTAACAATTATACCACAAGAACCCAATCTATTTGCCGGAACTCTTAGACTTAATTTGGATCCATTAGATGACTATTTAGACCAACAATTGTGGACAGCATTGGAAAGGTCGCACTTAAAGGTAGACTCCTATAATATTAGGAGTAAACAATTACAGTATTATATTAATTTGTTTTTAAATTAATAGGACTTTATATCGCAATCAAGTGATGGTTTATTGTATGAGATAGAAGAAGGCGGTAATAACTTGAGTGCCGGTCAGAGACAACTTGTATGTCTGGCCAGAGCTCTGTTACGTAACACTCGTATCCTAATCCTCGACGAAGCGACCGCTGCCTGCGATCTGGAGACCGATCTATTGATTCAATCGACTATTAAGGAAGAGTTCAGCGATTCAACAGTACTGACAATCGCTCATCGATTGAATACAGTATTGGATTACAATAAGATTATAGTATTGGATAACGGGATGATTAAGGAAATGGATTCACCAGACAATCTGCTCCGGGATTCCGGTTCTATATTTTATAGTTTAGCCAAAGAATTCGGAATCGTTTGATTAACTATTTAATTCATTATATAAATTATAATAAGTAAATTATAGCATAATAATGTCTGATTTATATATACAATATTGTAATATATACAATAAATATTTATGTACCGGTATTTATAATTATGTAAAATAAATGTTTTTTCTGAAATAAGTAACAATACTTTATATTTATTTATTTTTATTTAATTTAATAACAAAATAGAATTCTTCAAAAAGTCTTCAAATATATAACAATTGATAAATATATCTAATTATAAATACAAAAATACTAATTTTAATCAATCGTCAATTTTTAAACTATTCCGAATTCTTTGGCTAAACTATAGAATAGTGAACCGGAATCCCGGAGCAGATTGTCTGGTGAATCCATTTCCTTAATCATCCCGTTATCCAATACTATAATCTTATTGTAATCCAATACTGTATTCAATCGATGAGCGATTGTCAGTACTGTTGAATCGCTGAACTCTTCTTTAATTGTCGATTGAATCAATAGATCGGTCTCCAGATCGCAGGCAGCGGTCGCTTCGTCGAGGATTAGGATACGAGTGTTACGTAACATAGCTCTGGCCAGACATACGAGTTGTCTCTGACCGGCACTCAAGTTGTCACCGCCTTCTGCTATCTCATACAATAAACCATCACTTGATTGAGATATAAAATCCTAATAATTTAAACATAAAATATTATAATAATTATTTAATACTATATGAACTAATTCCACCTTTAAGTGCGACCTTTCCAGTGCTGTCCACAACTGTTGGTCTGAATATTCCTCCAATGGATCCAAATTAAGTCTAAGAGTTCCAGCAAATAGATTTGGTTCTTGTGGTATAATTGTTAGTTTGGATCGCAAATCATGTAATCCTATTTGTGTGATATCGATGTCATCGATTACAATTTGACCAGTTTTCGGTTCAATTATTCTAAACAGTGCCAAAGTTATCGATGATTTTCCGGCACCGGTTCGGCCAACTATTCCCACTTTCTCTCCCGACTCCACTCGAAAATTGATATTTTTAAGCACTGGTGCTAACTCTGATCTATATGAAGCCGAATAGTCTATAAAATTTATTTGTGCTTTTGCGGGCCAGTTATCATTTGGTTTCTTATCTAGAGTTGATTCCCAATTACATTCCTGTTTTACTTGTGAGTACTCCCTGACCCTCTCGACGGCAACCATTTCTGTTTCGAGATCTGCGGCCATTCTCAATGAAAATGTGACGCCCCATACAATCTCAACCGAATAAATAAGTAGAAACCCGGCCACACCCGGGGATATACTTTTACCGTAATTTACTACTAACATAGCAGTCGACAGTATAATAATTGATGCAATAAGTGCACACCATATTTCAATCCTAAATTAAGATTTAGTTAACTTTTTTAATTATATTTACTTATAAGTTATAACAAACCCGATTAAACTAACCAAAGTGCTGCTGAAACCATATGTCTGTGTATATTGATGTTGATATCCATTAGTCTATATAGTCTATCGATGAAAATTTGTTGGACTCGATAGACACGTATGGAAACGGCACCCGAAATACTTTCATTGAAATGACTATAAACTGGTGATCGAGTGATTGAATTTAAACGGTTCAACTGTCTGGCCGTCCATAAAAAATATTTCTATAATTATATACAATATAAAAATCATTTTTATAATCAACAAATCTTAAGTATAGTCTATACTCACGTAACATAAAACAAATAGTATAATCACAATCACTATAAATATAATCATATATGCATTGGTGTAGACAATGATAGCCATAATTATTATAAACCAAAATGTAGTCTTTGTTGTATCCATTATATAAAACGGTATTTCTGTGTCAATCAATTCAAAGTCTTGATTGAATCGATTGATAATACGACCCAAAGGAGTGGTATCAAAGAAGGACAGTGGTGTACGAAGTATACTGTATAGCATATCGCTGTGCAATACACGGGACGCCCTGATGGCACAGTATCTTAAAGCTAACTGTGCAAATAGGATAAACACGGCAACTAGTAGTATAGCAGTCCAATAGTAAGTTACAAATGTTTTACGAGAAACGTTATCCACTTCTGTAGTGTTTTTTGATGTCCACAAACTGACCCAATAGTTACTGCCGACATCACAAACATTAAACAAAAATACAAATACCATTGAAGTGATAACAAGCCATAGTCCACATCGACTTAAATAATCCAAATAAACTGTATATTCAATACTTCCAAACTGTTGGTGCTCTTCATCAATAAGTTTAGCATTTTTTGCCTCCCTTTCTAACCGTTCCTTTAGTGTCTCTATTTTATTATCAATTTCTGATTCACTTCTCTGTGATAGTTGTCGTGATGTCTGTTTTGATAGTCGTCTCGATAACTGTCTATTTGTATTCATTCGTATAGATTGTAGCGATGTTTGATCTTCACTATCAATTGACATCTCATCTGATTTATTGTCCAACATTTGTTCCGAAAGCATACCCCTATCGGACAACTCTTCATAAGTACCTAAATCCTGAATACGTCCGCCACTCATAAGAATAATACAATCCATTTCTTTAAGAAAATATATGTTATGTGTGGCCAATAAACGTGTTTTTTGTCTTAACAGTCCTTTAGGTCCGATCACGTGTTCAAACAGATGTTGAGCCACGTGTGCGTCCACAGCGGCCAACGGGTCGTCCAATAGATACACATCTGTGTCCTGATATACAGCTCGGGCTAAACTCACTCTATGTTTTTGTCCGCCACTTAAATTGATTCCCTTTTCTCCGATTTCAGACAAATCACGCGCCGGTAATAAATCAAAGTCTGTTTTGAGAGCACAAGCATTGACTACTCTCTCATATTTTGTCGATTCATATTCAGAGACAAACACTATATTATCTCTTAAAGTCATGTTTTGAATCCATGCCGTTTGTGGCACATATGACACACTTCCGGCAATTGTTGATCTCTGTCCTCCTGTTTGATACATATCTCCCAAAATTGCTGAAAACAAAGACGACTTTCCTGAACCAACTCGTCCGACAATAGCCACCAATGAACCTCTTTTTATATTTAAAGTGATATCTTTCAAAATTGGTTCTTCATTTATATTCCACGCAAATATACAGTTTCTAAGAGATATAGCATATCTATGATGACTGACATCGTCTATAATTCCCAAACTTTCATCCAATTCCTCAGCACTTAAATACTTTTGTATTCGTCTAAATGAAACGATAGCTCGCGCTAAATGACTCAATACATTGGGAAGTCTAGTAAACAAAATTAAATTATTTATTCAATAGATATATTGATTTAAATAAATATATAATTAATTGAATACCTGGCCATTGGTGATCTAATCATATTTAATACAAATAACGATACAAATGCTTTTTTGGCACTAAACGGTTCAATTGATGTCAACGTATAGATAGTGAATGATATGCCGGCAATAATCATTGGTACTGAAGTCCACATAATATCAATACATATTCTCCAATAGTTAACATTATTTAGTGCCCGGAGCTCACGGTTTCTTGTTTTGGTTATTCTATCCATGAATGGCTTCTCCCAACCAAACAGTTTCAACAGTTTTATATTATTCAAGACTTCACTAATTTGATGCATACGTTTGTCTTTGAACTCCATCTGTTTGGTCTGCAATTTGTCGATACGTCTCATAGCATATGTGGTAAATGGTCCGGCAATCAGCATAACAGCCACCAATGACAACGATGCCGATCCTAATTGTAACCACAATATGTATAGACCGATACCAATACACAGTGGAAAGCCGTATAAGTTTGACATTTGATGAAAAAACATACAAATCTCAGACACGTCGACACCCATTATGTTATTGATCTCACCTTTAAATTAACTTTTAGTTTTAAAAAAATATATATTCTCATTACCCACCAAACACACCCCTATTATTTACCAGTTGTATATTGACGACGAGCACCGGGACTAAGTCGAAGCATTTTACAGTATAGTGCACTGGTAAGTGATGCCTGAACACGATAATAGGCGATACTAGTAAACCAAAAGTTATGGTCATCCAACACACGGGCACAAACAATAAAGAAACAGTAGCTTATGGCATAAAATATGCCGTGCCATAGATGGTTGTCATTGTTTGATATGAAGTCAATGAGTGCTGAGAGAACATAAGGTGCCGTAAAATCTGAAGCAATAAATGCCAAATCAAATATCGCCGATATTATGAATGCATTGCATGTCGTGCACCAAATCAGTGGCAATAGTCTAATCTTAGGCAGTAATTTAGGATTATATTTTTTATTAGCCAATTCAAATGCATTGTGTGAGGTACGGGAGGTTATGTAATCGCAATTTGGTAATAAATGTGGTCGAAGATCGGCATTGCTTTTGTAGCCATACTTCATAATAGTGACCATCCAAGTGAAGAATATACGTGAAAACACATTGAATTCATTCATTGGACAATAGGGTTGACTCTCGGAGTCTATTGTCTCGAAATCTGAAATCTTTTGTGTCAAACACGAGACAATCAATGCTTGAAATGTGAGATAAACTTCTAGACAACTGATTATAACATCAAATACAGTAATATTTGTGTTGTTATTGTATTTAATAAAAACATGATATAAATTGATTGAAACACACAATAAACTCGTTAACCACTGAACAGGTATTGATGTCGGCTGTCGGTAACCGTACCGACGGAATATAAAAACTAAAATTGTGACCAAAGTATAAGTCAACGATTTTACCAAATGTGAAAATACTTCACTTAAAAATATTAAGTTATTATTTTTAAAGTATTTCCACAAAGTTTTTGATAAATTACTTGTCGATACAATTATTAATGATATTATTGTTATCTAATATATATAGTAAAGTTAAATAATAAAAAAATAATAATTAATAATAAAAAATAAAATATAATACCAAATGTGTAATATTTTTCCATTGATAAGGAATTGACACAACTTTCTGATATGACTTTCGGACAGTATATACATCATAGATAAGTAACGCTAACAGGACTATCACTGGAAATACGGGTAACAATGTATGTATAAAACATTCAGTGAGCTCAGGGATATCAGAATCCCACGTAAGGGTCCGGTTCTGGATATTATTATTATTACAAGAAAAAATATAATTATTTTTATTTAGTTAAAAAATTAAATATTTTTTTTTACAAAAACTTACAAAAAGTGCTGTCTTACAAAAACCCATTGTTTTAAATGTTGTTAATAATTATCGTAAATATTGTAAAACATTTATCAAAATTATTCCATATTAAAAAAAATTATTTATGCAAATATAATCAAAATACCTAAAAATAAAATTATAAAAATAAAATTGTTATTTATAAAATAGCAATATTTAGATAAAATTTAAAAAAAAATAAAATTCAGTGATGCTTGTATTTATAATATTTATGTCAAAAATTATTTTGTTTATACAGTAAATCAATATTATTACGACATTCAAGGCAATTGCGATAATATAAATTGAAAGTCAATTTGTATGAATACTTTACAAATATTTATACTGTAGTTCAAACTTATTAGAGGCGCGCTATTAATTAGTATTACTACTATCTGTATAAATATTAGTTATAAAAAAATATAAGATATATAATAATAAATTATAGAAAAAAATTATGATTAGTCTAATAAATTCAATATTTCAATCGTTTGTCAAACGTTTTTTAAATTATATAATATTTCATTTAGAGTCTATCAATAGATTACACTTATGTAGAAAATAATTTAGTTTTTAATATGTGAGCAGGGTTGTTAAAAACAACAAAATTTTGCCTGAATTGTACATCAATTCATCACTAACTTTCCTATTCACATATAGTGATCACTTACCCATTTACACAAATATAAATTAAGTTTGTTGTATAAAAATTAAATAAACAATTTATATATATATATAGAAAAATTAATATATTAGTTTATTTTTTTAGCCAATAGTACAGTTTAAAATAAAAAATTTTAATATAAATAATGTACAATGTATACAATGTATAAATAACTTTATAAAAATATAAAATAATTACGGTAATTGTTATTTCTTTGCTATTGTTATCCAAATATAATGTCCAATAAATAAGAGATAATTTAGAGCCAAGTCATACAACAGTCATGAGATCCACTTCTATCTCTGACCTGAAGATCACAAAATTATTAAAATAATAACAAAAACAGTATTTCATTGATTAATTCAAATAATATAAAACAATAAAATTTAACAAATATTTCTTTTTATTAAATTTTCAACAATTGAAAACACAGATCTAATAATAAATACAAAAATGTAACAGTTTTTTCATACAATTCCAAATTCTTTGGCTAAACTATAAAATATAGAACCGGAATCCCGGAGCAGATTGTCTGGTGAATCCATTTCCTTAATCATCCCGTTATCCAATACTATAATCTTATTGTAATCCAATACTGTATTCAATCGATGAGCGATTGTCAGTACTGTTGAATCGCTGAACTCTTCCTTAATAGTCGATTGAATCAATAGATCGGTCTCCAGATCGCAGGCAGCGGTCGCTTCGTCGAGGATTAGGATACGAGTGTTACGTAACAGAGCTCTGGCCAGACATACGAGTTGTCTCTGACCGGCACTCAAGTTATTACCGCCTTCTTCTATCTCATACAATAAACCATCACTTGATTGAGATATAAAATCCTAATAATTTAAACATTATTTAAATATTGTTATAATAATTATTTAATATTATAAGAACTAATTCCACCTTCAAGTGCGACCTTTCCAATGCTGTCCATAATTGTTGATCTGAATATTCATCTAATGGATCCAAATTAAGTCTAAGAGTTCCAGCAAATAGATTTGGTTCTTGTGGTATAATTGTTAGTTTTGATCGCAAGTCATGTAATCCAATTTTTGTGATATCTATCCCATCAATTATAATGCAACCTAATGTTGGCTCAACAATACGGAAGAGTGCCAAAGTCATTGACGATTTCCCGGCACCGGTTCGGCCAACTATTCCCACTTTCTCTCCCGACTCCACTCGGAAATTGATATTTTTAAGAACCGGTTCCAATCCCGGTCTGTAAGAAGTTGTATAATTTATAAATTCAATTCTTGCATTTGTTGGCCAATCATCTTTCGGTTTGTTTTCTAATGTYGAATCCCAATCGGATTCCTCTTGTAATTCAGAGTACTCTCTAACCCTTTCGACGCAAACCATTTCAGTTTCGAGTTCGGCGGCCATCCTAAGTGACCACGCGATACCCCAAACTATCTCTACAGAGTATATCAGCACAAAAGCGGACACTCCCGGTGAAACGTGATCCCGTTCAAAAACAATCAACAATGCAGTTGAAAATGCAATTATTGAAGCTATTATACAACTCCATATTTCAATCCTAAAGTTATCAATTTTGGTATTAATAAATCAAAAAACGTTTATAAATTAATTGTTTTACCACATAGTTGTTGAATACATGTGTCGCTTGATATTAATATTAATATCAATTAGTTTTTGCAATCTTTCTATAAATATTTGTTGGACGCGATAAACACGTATAGAAACGGCACCCGAAATGCTTTCATTAAAATGACTATAAATCGGCGATCGGGTGATTGAATCCAAACGATTCAATTGTCGCGATGTCCACAAAAATAATCGCTATTGAAATTTAGTAAATAAAAAATAATAATATTAAGATAAATACAGACTATTTAAATAAAAATCTATCTATACTTACGTAACAATAGATAAACAATAAGGAAACAATTAATATAAATATAATCATATATGCATTCGTAAATATAATTATTCCCAGAATCAATATAAACCAAAATACTGTGGAAATTGTTTCGGCATAAAAAAACGGTATTTCTGTGTCAATCATCTCTAAGTCGTGATTGAATCGATTGATAATACGTCCCAAAGGAGTGACATCAAAGAAGGAAAGTGGTGTACGAAGTATACGTTCTAACATATCGTTATGCAATACACGTGATGCCCTAATGGCACCTTTTCTCAGACCCAACTGTGCAAATAAAACAAACAGTGCGTCCAATACCATAGCTGTCAAATAAAATGTAAGGAATTCGTCTCGAGCTTTGGTAGTATCGGTTTCAGTGGTATTTTTTGATGTCCAATAACTGACCCAATAGTTTCCGCCAACTTCGGAAGCATTGAACATGAATGTACTGACAAATCCCATAATAAAAAACCAGAGCCCACATCGGCGCAGATAATCCAAATAAATAGTATATTTAATACTTCCAAACTCCTGGTGCTCTTCATCAATAAGCTGACAATTTTCAGCCTCTCTTTCTAACCTTTCTTTTAGTGTCTCTTTTTTATTCTCAATCTGTGATTCACTTCTCTGTGATAGTTGTCGTGAAGTCTGTTTTGACAATTGTCTCGATATCTGTATATTTGTATCATTTGAAAGCATTCGTGATGTTTGACGTGATGTCTGACGGGATGTTTGATCTTCACTATTAACTGATTTGTCATCTGATTCAGTAGTGAACAACTGTTCCGAAAGCATTCCTCTATCAGACAACTCTTCATATGAACCCGAATCCAGAATACGTCCGTCGCTCATAACTATTATATAATCAGTATCTTTAAGAAAGTGTATGTTATGTGTAGCCAATATACGAGTCTTTCGTCTTAACAGTCCTTTTGGTCCGATTACGTGTTCAAACAGATGTTGAGCTACGTGTGCGTCCACAGCCGCTAAAGGGTCGTCCAATAAATACACATCTGTGTCCTGATATACAGCTCGGGCTAAACTCACTCTATGTTTTTGTCCGCCACTTAAATTGATTCCCTTTTCTCCGATTTCAGACAAATCACGCGCCGGTAATAAAACAAAGTCTGTTTTGAGAGCACAGGCAGTGATTACTCTCTCATATTTTGTCGATTCATATTCAGAGACAAAAACTATATTATTTCTTAAACTCATGTTTTGAATCCATGCTGATTGAGGAACATATGACACACTACCGGTAATTGCTTTTCGCTTTCCTACAGTTTGATACATATCCCCCATAATTGCTGAAAAAAGTGATGATTTACCGGACCCAACCCGTCCGACTATAGCTACCAGTGAACCCTTTCTTACTTTTAAACTAAAATCTTTCAAAATTGGTTCTTCATTTAGATTCCAAGCAAATGAACAATTATTTAACGAAACTGCATGTCTTTCATCGTTGATATCTTCTCTAAAGTCATCAACATTTCCTAAACTTTGGTCTAATTCTTCGGCACTCAAATACTTCCGGATTCGCTTAAATGAAACGATAGCTCGCACTAAATGACTCAATACATTGGGAATCCTAGAAATATATATATTTATTATTTTATGGGTTAGCGGTAAGTGTTTCTAAAAAAACTTTATATTATTATTAATTACCGGCCCATCGGTCCTCTTAAGAGATTTAATACAGAAAGAGTTACAAATGCCTTCTTTGCGCTAAATGGTTCACCAGATGTTAGGGTATAGATTGTGAATGACAGGCCAGCGATGACCATTGGTATACATGTCCACAGAATATCAATACATATCCACCAATAGTTAGATGTGTTTAATGTTTTTAGTTCCTGATTCCTGGTTTCTGCCACTCTTTTAATGAAAGGTTTCTCCCAACCAAACAGTTTCAATAGTTTAATATTATTCAAGATTTCACTCATTTGTTCCATACGTTTGTCTTTAAACTCCATCTGTTGTGTCTGTAGATTGTCTATACGTTTCATCACAAATGTGGTAAACGGTCCGACAAATAGCAGTGCGACCACCAAAGTCATCGATGCCGGACCCAACTGTTGCCAAACAATGTATAGTCCAATTCCCAGACTGATGGGAACGCAATATAAATTTGACATTTCATGAAAGAAACCGCAAATCTCGGTCACGTCGACACCCAAAATATTATTGATTTCACCTATAAATAAATCAGTTTTTATTAACATATATTTAATAACTATCAAACCGTTAATTACCAGTAGTATATTCACGGCGAGCACTGGGACTTAGACGAAGCATTTTGGCATACAGTGACTGAATAAGCGATGATTGTACCCTATAGTATGCCAAACTAGAAAACCAATAGCTATGATTGTCAAATACACGGGCGAAGATAAGGGCCAAACTATAGCAAATAGCAAAGAACACTCCGTGCCATAGATGTTCATCTTTATTAGAGATAAAGTCGATGAGATACTCAAGAATATATGGCTGAACAAAATTGAAGGCAATTAATCCAATCTGAAGAACGGCTGATATTATATACGAAGACCACGCTGTCCACCAAATCAGTGGCAATAGTCTAATCTCTGAAACTAGTTTTGCGTTTGGATTGTATTTTTTGTTAACCGATTGAAACGTTTTGAATGAGCTCCGGGAGGTAACGTAATCACATAATGCCAGTAAATACTGTTTCAGATCTGCATTTGTTTTGTAACCCGCTTTCAAAATCTTTAGCATCCATGTGATGAACACACGGGAAAATACATTAAAATCATTCATTGGACAATAATGTTGGCCATCAGTATCCAGTGTCTCGAAATCAGATATTTTTTGTGTCAAACATGATATAACCAATGCTTGGATTGAGAGGTAAACTTCTAGACAACTGATTGTGGCATCAAATGTAGGACTATTGGTGTTATTATTATATTTTACAAAAACATGATATAAATTAGTTAAGACACACGAAACTCCTGCCAACCAATGGACAGGTATTGATGACGGATGTCGATAACCATACCGACGGAATATAAACACCAAAATTGTGACCAAACTATAAGTAAGTAATTTTACTAAATATGCCAACACTTCACTCGCAGGTAAATTGATTTCATTTTTAAAGTATTGCCACAAATTTTTTGATAAATTTATAATCGATATAATTGTCAGACATATGATTGTAAGCTGTTATTAAAATTTATTTTTAACACAAAAAAATTAATAAAATAGTAAATAATTTTTATGTAAATACATACTAAATGTGTAATATTTTTCCATTGATAAGGAATTGGCGGTACTTTTTGATATGATTTACGAACAACATATACATCATATGGAAGTATCACTAATAGTATTGTGAGTGGAAATATCGGTAATACTGTATGCATGAAACATGTGGTCAGCTCAGGGATATCGGTATCCCAGGTTAGTGTCCAGTTCTGTATTTTATATATTTGATTAAAAATTAATATCATAATTTAAAAATAAATAAATAATTATTACATAATATAACTTTTAATTTTAATAAAAAAAAACTCACCAAAAAGGGTGTATTACAAAATTCCATAATAAACTTAATAATTTTTAATAATTTTATTTATTTATAAAAAAATTTGTTTAAATTAATAACACAAATATAAAGATTTTATAATTAAAAAAAATAAATGCCTAAAATATATCTAGTTTGTTGCCATTGTTTATTAAACAAACAATTTATATAATTTTATTTAAAAAAAATAAGTTAATTAAACATTTTTAAAGACTTAATAATCAAAATATAATACTAAATTGATGAGTATTTTAGCAAAATTTTTGTTGTATTTGTTGAATCAAATTGCATGGATTTATATACATTTGTATAAGTGATACAAAATAAAATTTGTTGCACTTTTGCTAAAAATATTTGCAACACTTGTAATATTAATACTAATAATTTCGTTTTGTTGTCAAATATTATTATTATTAATAAAAAAATTATTGCTTATTTTTAATACACAATCTAAACCAATAATATTTTTTTAGAAAAATAAATATAAACAATTTATTTGATGACAATAATGATTTAAATAATAATTTTAAAAATCTTATTAAATGTTAAACGTTTAATGTTAAAAAAAACACAATTATTTTATCGCACAGTAATATAAATGTTACGTTAAATTAGATAACATGTTATAATACTAAATATTATATTTTATATTAATAATAATAATAATATCACTTTCGATAATAATTTATTTAACATTATTTTTTTTAAAAAAAGTTGTAATACAATGAAATTTTTTTATGTATTAATTATCAATCTGGATAATGATATAGATATTATTATTGACTAAACTATAGTTTATTTTGTTATATTATTGGATGAGTATATAAATTATGTATTAATAGTGCATTTAAGGTTACATTTACTTTTGTATTTTTATCTGAAAATTTATTTTTATAATTTATTAATATTAATAACAATTATTCGCTTAGTTATTATACGCTGAGTGATACTGTATATACAATTCATTTATTAAAAAATTAATAAATAAGTAAATTATTTTTAATATAACAAATATTCATAGATTGTATGTTAAATACAACTTATTATTTATGATATACTATCGTATATCATGTAAGAAATTAATAATAAAATCAATAGATATTTAATAAATAGTTATAATATTCAGTATTTAAATGTATAAATTGGCCGAAAACTTAATACACGATTTTTTATGTATAATAATTATATTATTATTACATTAAGAAGTCATTCACTGAATATGTGTTTACCGTTTAAATGTTTCAATCAATTGATCAATTGGTTTGTCATAACAGTGTAATCAACAGTTTTTGTTGGCCTAACGTTTGCCAAACGATTGATTAGTTGATGTATAATATGTTATAATAAGAGAGAAAGAGAGAGAAAGAAAGAGAGAACACATAATACATGATTGATATTACATTGCATTTCATAATAATCATAACAACAACAACACTGTCTACTAGTTATCTGTGATTATGTAATATAAAAGTATTTACAGTACTATTAATATACAGTACATGTGTTGTTGTTGTTGTTGTCTGACAACCGGTAAGTTTATAGCGTATATTAAATTATAATAATATACAGTATATTCATAGTAAACGTCTTAAATTTATTTTTTAAAAATAATTACAGTATATGATATAAATTGTATAAATTATTAGCTTATTGTAAACTTAACTAATAAAGTTAGATATATATTAATTAATGGGTGTGTGTTTTCAATTTATATTAAAATATTTTTGTTTCTCAACACATTTTTACTCTACCATTATATGTAATAAAACAATTACTTTTAATTTTTATAGTTTTATTWTTATCAACGTTATTAAAACAAATATAACTTACCAGTAAATAATACAAAACTGGTAAATATAATAATAATAATCAGCTTAACCTTTGATTTTTGAAACCACTTGAAATAATAAATATGTCTAGAAAGGTATATCATATAATATTATTGGTATCTTTATACTGTATTTACTTATATTTAATAATAAAAATTTAATTAAATTATATCTTAACTTTAATTATTAGATTAATAAAAAAAAATCTTTTATATTTAATAATGTATAATACAATATACGGTACTGTATTACCGTAAATAATTTATAAAAAAAATAAATAGCAGCAATTTAATAAATAAATTTTATACATTTAAATAAATTAAACAAAGTAGAAATATTTTATAAAAGTTTTAACTAATATACAGCATTACTACACTACTAATACTACTTCTATGGTAATAGTAATACAATTTAGTTACAGTAATATTATTTTGTTGTAAATAATTTTCATAAAACTTTGATAATTATTTTTTATGTCTTTTAAACAATTCTGAGATTTTCTTCGACGATTCGGATGCCATACGAATGGGCTCTCGAGGACTGTTAAGACCTCGCAATCGTGTCTTTGTTAACGATTTGTTTACTATTATTAATAAAAATTGAATTAATATATAAATATTATTACAATAAACATAAAATAATAATAATAAGTATAAATGTTTACCTAAACAATTGGTAGCGCTTTTGGACAAATTTGAGTCATCAGATAACTGATTGTCAGAAATATTAGTTTTCAATGATAACGACAACTCATTATCGCTATTTTCTGTACAATTTTTATCGGCCATCACATCGTCGGCCAATTCGAGGAAGTCATTGACATTGAAATCTTTGTCCGAATCGATAATTTCGCGTTTGATTTCAATGGTTCGGTGAATTCCATCTTGAAATTCGTTGATAATTTTGTCGATGTTTTCGGTCAAATGTTGTTGTTTATGATCATTAAATATGAGTAAATCTGTGCACTCATAGCCACAATCCGGGACATCGCAGACAAAATTCTGACCACAATTACCGATAGTCTGTTGCTCGACGTTGTTATCAATAAGAGAAAACTTTTTGTCCAACGATTGCTGATAACACAGTCTCTTGTGGATAACAATTGATTTATTGTCAAAATTAGAAAATTTACAAAATGGACAAACAATTCTCTGTAACCGTAACTGTCCTTTTGGTTTCGGACCGATTTTGCTTTTCGTATGCAATTTTGGCAAATTTGTGTTATAGTTATTATCAATATTGTCATCAAAATCAATAGTTGATTGAGAGTCACATTCAGATTTGATTTGAATTTTGCTCAATAAATCTTTTCCTAAAAATGATATTTTATGAAAAACAAAATAAATGCTTAATTATCATCATTTTAAGTGTTTTTAAATTACCATAAATAAAATTGTTGTCACTTTCATTGTTACTGAGATTATCATCCATAAAGTCATTTTCATCGTCTTTATCATCATTAATGTTAACACTTATCGGTTGATTATCACTATTGTCTAAATCGTATCGCAAATCATTAATTTTTAGATTTGATTTTCTTTTCAAACATTTCTCGGTGGATGTCGTCGGTATTATCTCATGTATTTCATCATTTGATTCTTTAGCATCTAATTGATGGTCAGGTATTTGTAAATCTGGTTCTTGTGTTTTGTCATTATCTGAAACATTATTCTTGGAAACCAAATCTTCAGCTCTATTTAATCCCGAAGAGCTATTATGTTGTTGTTTATGCATTTCGTAAGTATTTAAGTCACTAAACTCTTTAAAACAGACACTACAGAATAAGACAGTATTATTGCAATCATTGGCCATCAAATGGTCGACCAGTGTGTCAGCCGACACGAAACAGGTCTCACATTTGTCACATTTCAATGCATGCATTTTTCGGGTGTGATTTAAAAATGTATTTTTACTGGTGGTATAGTAATTACAATTGGGTCGATCACATTTATAACAATATTTATATTTATATATTTTATCTGCATTTCTATTTTGTCTAAAATATGGAACTGTTTTCTTATTCATGATTCTCTTATTGATAACCAATTCGTAATCACCAATAATATGTGTGCCCACTGTTGGGGTTGCCGTTTGCACTGAACCGGTTGGCTTATTAGATTGCATCAAATTTACTAATAGACTTCCTATTTAAAAAAATAAATAAATAAAATTAAAGTAATGTTACCGTAAATTTAAAATAAAAAATTACCAAAAAAATACGCTATTGAATAAATAAATATTTAAAAAAAATAAATTACCAAAAATAAATTTATCATCAGGTCTTGTGTCTTCATCGCTACTACTTAATAGTTGTTGTTGTTGTTGTTGTTGATTGTGTTTTTGTTGTCTATTATGCAAACTATGTTGTCTTATTTGTTGTGCGATAATCTGATCCATTCGTTCATCAAACTTATCAACTAATGATGTGTCCGACGATTCGGACAACATTTGGTGACAATCGGTTGTTAAAACATTATCTGTTGGTTCATCAGTTAAATCAATACATTGATTTGTGGTCGTCTGTACAGTTGATCCGTAATTAAGTGATTTAATGTCACGCAAATACATTTCTCTTTTCGATGAAAAACAAATGGGAGACAACATATGTCCCGTCACCTTCCTGTGCTCAGTTATCAATCTCAGCTCATTGGTTACGTAATCACATCTACTGGCCGTACATTTGAAGTACTCGACTGAAGTATTATGGATATCCTTCATATGAATCATAGCGTACCTCACTTTCATATAATCTTTACCACACAGTTCGCAGCTAAATGGCATACATTTTAAATACTTATTGAATCCCAAATGTTGGTCAAATATATGGCGGACAGTGATCCACGGATAGCGGTTAATGAACTGACAATCACTGTATTGACATTTGAAGTATTCGGTCTTGTCTTGGATGGACTTTTCAACTGTTTTTTTAAATATAAAATATAAACACAATCAAGAAATTACAACAGTATTGGTACCCAAAAAATCTGCGATTAATTAAATAAACTTACGTTCATTAAGTGTCTTCATATAATGCATTCTATGGACATGACTTAATAAATGACATCTTTTAGACAACGAATTACCACATTTTGGACACAAGAAAGACTCATCAGTTGGTGTTATATCTGAAGCTGTAATCAATAGAGAAAAATCAATTAATTAATTTCACCGATAAATGAAACCCAATTGGCGTATAAACTATAAACTCATACACTGTTTGTCAACAGTTGTATCGTCTTCATAGTCACTGTCGTCGTCGTCGACAATCATAACTTCTTTATCATCGGTGGTGACAAATGTTGAAAAAATAACCAAAATATTAGATCAACACTTTCTGGTCAGACTATTACCATATATAAGAGATATGATATAATACCAACCGTTGTCATTGTCGTCGATTTCGTATTTGTTTTGATGATATTCGCGGACAATGGACTCGTAGTCTTCATCGAGTGTTTTATATCTGTTTCGTTGTCTTTCCGTTTCATTGCATTTGCAGTTTCGGTGAAACTCTTGCAAAGTTTGCCGAAACTCGTCGGACATCGTGAAGAACTTGTCTAAAATGAGTGTCAACTTCAAGATCTGTGTCTCTTTGGCCTCCAATTCGTCCACAATGTCTGACAGACGACGACGATCATCGCCGTCATCACTATCGGTGTTAATTAGCGGTTCCCGCGCTGACAATTGCTGGCCATCGAGATCTTCGGCTAGCAATAGGTCGTCGATTGCGGGCTGCGGTTCGGTAGTCGTCGACGAGTTCATCGGTCACACACTAAAAAAGTGACGTCAATCCAGTTATTTGCGCGAAATTGTGGATCAAATGCAGTGATAATTGCAGTCATCAATGGATAAAATAAATATCACTTCAATATTAAACTCCAAACAAAATAAATAATAATATTATTTATTATATTAAGTAAACAAACAATTGTATACATAAATAACGTCACGTTTAAAAAATTGTATAATTTTTAAAAAAATACAGTAGTTTTTAAACAAAATTCAATTAAATATATGAAAATTGAATTATATTTTAATACTTAATATACTGTATTAATATTGTATAATATTTTTTTAATATATCTTTCTTTCTAATTATTATAAAAGGATTTTTGTTATTATAATTTATTCAACAATTATTGTACAGTATTTATACATATAAATTGTAATATACTGTATATATTTATACATTTTTAAAACTTTGCATAAAAACTTAATTAGCAAATACTGTATATATCATATTATACCTGTAATATAATATAATTAAGTTAACTTGAAGCTAATGAGATAATATAATTTTTAGTGCAATTAAATAATTTCGATTTTTCCGACATTATTAAAATTATAAGATAATCAAATTGTATATATATTTATACATTTAAAATATTTTTAAAACTAATCATATTAATACAGTATAATAATATACAGTAATAAATAATAAAAAATAACAATTGGGAACATTTGATTATAATGGAAGTATTATATCTCATTATTATACGAGATTAGTATATACCGTATATTTAATATTCAGTAATATTATACTGAATTTATATTACAATTAAACAATATAATAATTACAATAGTAATTATTCATTTAAATAGCGCCCATCGGGATAGGGTGGYGGCGCCGTATTATCCTTGACCAGTGTCCAACTCCACCGGTAATCAGTGATTGCAACGTCGGCACTGTAGCGAGCTTTACCCGAAAAGCCTACCCCAGAACCCGCTTGACTGATCAGTTTATAGCCATTTGAAATTAATTTTCCTATAAATTAAAAAAATCATTACAACTGATGTTATTATTATAAAAAAAATTATATTTAAAATTATTAAAATTATTATTATTGATAGCACCCACCCATAACAGTGGCGGGTGGCAAATTAGTGGACCAAACTTTTTCTTTAACCATACGTGCGTTAATACATTTGTATAATTGTGATTCATCTGGCGGTATACCCACCTGATCCCTGGCTATATATGTTGGACCAGTGAGTAGGCCATCGAAGCCAATGTGATCATTAAGTTCTGTGGCACTGACCGACGTCCAGATACGACCCGTCAATAGTATAACGACTGACATTGTATTATATTTATTAAATTTATTTATTTATACCACTTATTTTTCTACAAAAAAAAATAAAATGTTAGAAATTAGTAAATTTATTCAATCAATATTGATATTAGTTTCTATGAACATAAAAATTATATATTGATCTTTTAAAAAAAACATTTGTTTTTAAAATTCTTACATAAAATCAATAAAGTAGTTATATTTTTGAGATTCAAATTTTATTCAAATAAAAATTCAACAATAATAATAATAATAATAATAATAACAGTCCTAACTCTAAATATAATATAATTATATTGAATTATTTATTATATTAGTTATTTAATATAATTTATGTGATTATACTTAACGAACCGATAACTAAATATTAAATTTCTTATTGAATAATAAATGAATATCAGATTAAAGAAAAATATTTTATTATACAATTTTGTTGAAATAATACAATTTCTAATATTGTTTTCAGATGTTTATACCGTATATTCAAATAACAAGCAAATTGATATTACAGTATTTTCTGCTAACATATAAATTTAAAAATTTATAACATTTTACATTAATATAACAAATATTTCTATCATCAACATAAGTAATAAAAAATGTATTTTACATTATCTTTAATAATGTAATATTTATTCAATAATATTATTATATTTTATTAAAGGTTTGAACTTTGAAAAACTAAAAAACACAAAAAAATTATAACAAACAATAAAATTTAGAAAATTAATGTTTATTTGTTTTCTAAATTTTTTCTGAGACAACTTTTTTCTTTTTTAACATTTGAATATTTAACAATTTTAATAATAATAATAATAATAACAATAATAATATTGTAATACAATAAATTGGATAAATTTAAATGTCTTCTCTTAAAGCAAATAAATCTCTTATATTTTTATGTTTGCAAAATGCCATCTAATCATTAAACCACTTCAAAACAGTATTGATCCGTTTTCTGACTTTCCCTAAAAACTGTTACAACAGTGTGTGTGTGTGTGTAAACAAATGCCTTACTGAGCCATAATCTATACATATCTATCAGTCACTACTCGCATACAGAATATTCTGTGATCCTTATAGTCATCTAACGAATTATATTTCAAACATAAACATATACTGTATACAGTATCAAATAATATATATAYATATATATACTAATATATATACAGTTATAACTATAGTATTATTATTAATATAAAATTTATATCAAAGTGAATCAATACAAATGTTTTAGGACTTACCGGTAAATACAAAAGCTATGGTGGTCTAGATTATGTACTTAACTAATAGATACATCAATTGATACAATTATTTGATTTCAATTAAGGTTTCAATAAATTCAATAAAAGATTTATTATTTTTTTTAATAATGTACAGGTTTTGAACTGTTTGTTAACAGTATTATGGAAGAAACACTCCAAGCACTGGGAATTCATGCGCACCGATACCATAGGATTAAAGGGACGGACAGATAGATAGACAATCGACAGATAGTATTAACAACAAATCTACTCATAATATAACTTATAAACAGTAAATATAAAGATAACTATATTATGATATATATATATACAGTATATACAGGTATAACGGATTTTTACATTAAAAGTTAGTAATCTTTATTTATTTGAAGCACACGATTGACTGATCAATTTATCAGTAACTTTTAATTTAAAAAAAACTAATACTCATTTTTTATTAAATTAAATTTTCCACTCTAATAATTTACCAAAAAAAAATTAATTTCAATAAATGTAAATTTTACGACAAATTACTTTATTATAATGATTTTAATAGGTTATTATTTTTTTAATTTCTAAAATCTTATTATTGTATAATAATCGTTTTATATTCAAGATTATAAAAATGTTAACTTTTTAATTAGATATGAAGTATTATTTCTAATATAGTTTATTGTTTATTTTTTGGAGGAAAACAAATTTACTTATTTGTACAAAATTTTTAGACAAATATTTCTATATTAAAAATAGAAACAATTATAAATAAGCAATAATTTATATACATTATATACAAATTACATACACTATAATAATATTTAATAAAATTATATAATTAATCAAATTTATATAATTGCTATTCATAAGAATAACAAATTTTATAGTAAATAAATGAAACTTAATTTGAAAATGTATTATTTGTTTTATATAAAATCAAAATATATTATATAAACAAATAAATTGTTTGATTGTTACTTATTTGATATTTAATTAACTATGATTTATTATCGGTTAATAATAGTGTTTGGAGCTATTATATTGATTATAATTTTCTAATTGTATTATTTATAAATGACACACAATTAACACCAATTGCATTATATTATATAACAAATTAATGTTAGCATCATTGCTCCTAAATCTAATGTCTATTGTTCAATATAGTCCTGTCCATTGAACACATTCATCCATCTAAATGTGATGGTTTGCCAATAACGCCATCCTCTATCCTGTATACTACTCTAAATAAATTATCGAAAAAAATAATACTCAATCATTATATTAATTTATTTGAGTTGTGATACAATTAATCAATTAGACTAATACTTTGTACATTATATTTTACGCCAAAATAAATTATATATACAATAGTAAACGTATTGATATATTATATATTGCTTCATCAATACACAAACACTTACAAATACATATACAGTAAACTTAATCTAATATTACTTATTAAATTAATTGTTTTAATCACCAATGTTATTTTGATTATTACGATTAGATGTCACAATCGTTTATAATTTACACTTTGCTATTCAAAAAATTAAATAAAATTATGTATAAATTGTGAAATGAATTATAATTGGTAAAAATTATAAAAATATGTATCTAATTAGCATTATATAAATACATATATAATTTATTGATAAGTTTAATCGTAGTCAATAAAAAAGTTTACATTTATAAGACAACTTTATTTTTTGTATATTTGCGCAAAAACTCCGGATATTTATACATCACTTACAGTATATTTACTAAAAAGTTTAAAGCATTTCATTAAAACACAATAAATTTGTTATTGATTTTACGTTTGGATTTTTAAAGTTAATGAATTTATAACTTTTTTCCAAGTAGTCCTATTAAAATAAAAGTTTAATTTAATTTTTAGATAAAATATTACGACATTAAAATTGAGTTTTTAAAATTGATTTATCTAGTTTATAATTTAACACACAGACACACACACATACATACATATACACAGAGACAAGTAAAAGTAGGAAATGAAACATTTTCAGGATAAGAGCCAAATCTATACCATAGATAGCAATATATATTCAAAAACAACAACAAAAACAATGCTTTAAATTCAATATTATCAATATTTTAAATGTTAAAAGTTAAAACTAAATTTACGGTTTACGAACAAAAAATCTTTTTTTTAGGTAAAACACTCTAACATACGTAAGCTTATAGTTTTTAAATTATTAATTTTAATAGATTGACAGTTAACTAAACCACACATTACATCAAAAGTGTATTAACAGTTTTTTTATGAAACCAAACATTTAAAGTACATAATGTAATCCCACGCACCGTTTTTTTTATTAAAGTAGTTGTTAATTTTTTGACATTAAGTCACTAAATATTTACACAATATCAAAATAAATTTAGTTTATAAATTTTAAATACATTTTTTTCTAAATATTAACATTTAGCTATTTTTAAATTACTTTATTTAATAAACTTTACTATAGAATCACTTATTTTATATATTAATATTATATATTGTAATTTGAAAAAATATTCAATAAATTATTTATTTTATTCTTTATAAATTTATTACCTTTTAATAATATAAATATAAAATTTTATTAAATAATTTAAAATAAATATATTCAATTTTATCACATTCTAGAAACAAAAAAAAAGTTTAATGATTTTTTTTGAAAACTTTTTAACAAATATAAAGCTTATTGTATACTTTAATAATAAATGTAAAGACAGACAAAATATAATCAATATAATATAGTACAGTATATTATAATAAATACATGACATACACTAGACATATATTTAAATTATTTTTTTGACTAATATATTATTATTATTATTATTATTATAAAATAATTTCGTATAGTATGTCATTGAAATTGTCACATAATAAGCACACATTTTTTTGTGTCTAAATAATAATAATAATATAAAATATTTCAAATAGCAAATCATAACAACAAATAAGTTTTCTAACAATTTTTTTGGACGTCAATATACAAACACAAAATTGCTAGAAATCAATAACTAGAAAATAAATTAGAGTTTAAACTTATTATTATTTCTAAATGTCATGTAATTTATATATATACAAAATTAGTCAATAGTAAAGTATTTAAGTTTATAATATAATAATAATATAATTAAAAAATATTTTTGTTTTTACAGAATTTAATTTACAAAACCTGTGGAGTTACAAATTGTAATATAATAAATAACTTAAAAATTTCATTAATTTTCAATTAGATAATTTAATAGTAATAATAATAATAAATTAACAAAAAATAGTTTGATAATTTTTGCTAAATAAATTTTTCATTTATTAACAAATATGATATAATTTGAATTAGCAAAATTTGATTACAAAAATATAATATAAATTTTTCTTAAATGTTAATTTATGCCTTCAATTCAATGCCATTATCCGAGTGTTGAACAGCCCTATAGTTGGTTCGGGAAATGCATTGTTTTAATGCCTGGACACACAATACCATCATAACACACAACACAACTATTAACGATAATAGACCTAATATTTCAATTGAATACATGATTAAATTTTTTAATCAAATCAGCAAATATTAAATATTAGTAAATAATATAAAAACTTTATTATATACATTAAATAAAATATATATTCATTTAGTACAAAACATGTTTCAATCAAATTATGACACAATGTTTATTTAAATATGCAGTTTCATCAAATAATTATATTAAAAAAAGTATGAAAATTTTTTATTAAATTTTATTACCCGTCAAAAACAAAGCACTTAATTTACACAAATTATAATTTATTTAAATATTATAAAAATTATTATTTTTTTATTTGAATAAACAAAATAGCACACAAAATAGCATATATACAGTAAAAGATTTATATTAATAATACTTACTGAACAAAATGAATTCCTAATACATAATTATATCAATTGCTTAATCAAATAATTATTACAAAACAAAGTATACAATACATGTTATACTAATGAACTAATTGGTGATCACATCACACAATTGATAAGACAAGAAAACATACGATGCATATCAATACAGTAGATCACAATACTGTTATATATCAAACCTATAAACTTAGTATTAGACAGCAATTTATATCATACAATATATTTCATAACCTATATATAACATTAATCTATTATATGATCAATTTTATTATTTGAAAATATTATAAAGATGTTTACTAAAAAATAATATAAATATAATAAAAATTGAAAGCGACATTAATACAAAGGTAATATTTTTTTATTAAAAATTTAATTTTAAAATTAAATTTAATACATTATTAAATAATAGATTATTGATTTAAGATATATAATTCAAAAATAAATAACTTTATATTTTATATTTTATAGTTTACTATTTTTACTTATCACATATACCTTAAACACAATTAATATTTATAACAAACTTTTCTTTTGTTAATTTATTAAACTATAATATCTATATTCTTATCATTTAATAATTTCAACAAACTTTTTAAATATATGGTTCAAACTAATATTATTAATTTATATTATTAGTATAAGTAGTAGTTGTATTATTATAGTGTTTACTCAATTTTATATTAAATATAACACACTATTAAATATTATAAGTATACAAATAGAAACATATATATATATATATATATATATATATATATTAAATTTTATATTATAATAGTAAATTATATACAATTACAAATGAAACTATCAAAATATTAATAYATTTAATGTGTAATGTTATATACATTATATGGCCATATTATATGGATAATTAAATGAATTAATAGTTGTAATAAAACTGTGAAATAATGTCCATAAAATTGATGGTCTGATTCATGAATGATGATCAACGGGGATAACCATTAATGTTATGGGGAATGGGATTATAGGCTTGAATTAACGTTAGATCCGTTGCTCAGAGTAATCAATGGACTTAGACGTCGGTTTCGTTTGAGTTTCTTTGCCGACTTAACTATAAGCTTATGGTTAGTCTTTAGTATACATGTATTGCGACGAGACTCGAGATCGCCAAACATCGGCGGCAATACATTTTCGGCAAATTTGTTGGACACGTTTCCCGGCGGTATGTAATTGGCAACTATTATTAGTTTACCATTACGTGTACGGGCCTTACCGATGCCAAAATATTTACAACTTTTCCATATTAGTTGTGTAAAATGATCTGAAATATTACCAAAAAAAAAGATTTTTATAAAACAGTATATAAAACTTTATAAAAAATAATAATTAATACTATATATTATTATTAGTTATTCATTATAAGTAAAAACATTTTAGATTAATCTATAGCATACTATATAATTAAGTTGTAGCTTATATTATAAGAAAATGACTTTATAATTAATTATATTGCATATATTATACAGTGAATATTAAATTGCCAATATTAGTTTTTTTTTGGATAAATATTTAATAAATATTTTGCTAAAATGTAATAATCATAAAAATTAATTATTTAACATGATATCATTTTTATTATAATCATTATTTTTTACTGAAATATTGTATGATTTTATTGTAAATGATGAATAAAATTGATAAAATAAATAATAAAAATAATTTACGTGTCTAAAATTAAAGTAAGTTTGTACTATGTATACAAAAAAAATATTAGTCTATGATATAAATCAGTAAATATTTTAAATAATATTTTGTATTTAATTTGTCGACAGACAGTTGTCACACATGTTTTATATATAATTATATTTGAAGACAACATTAAGCATTTGGTTTATTATTGAATTTTATATACAAAATAAAAATTTAATATCTGCCAAAATGCTTTTATAATATAAACACAAATAAAAATTTATTACTATATTTGTGGTCTATTTAGTAGTAAAGTCTATAAATTATTTTTAATATTTTTTGCGTGATTTATATGAGTCTCACGTTGTCCGACATAACAAATTAAACAAAAATATTTATAATAATAATAACACATAGAGTACTATACTACTAGATATTATTATTGTTATATAAATTATTATATAAGTATATAATAATATAATATTATCCTACAGTACTATATATATCAGCATTTAATATTATTGTCTACAATATATTAATAAAGTCAAATGATTATATCACATCCACTGTATAGATATAATCAAATATTTATTGCATTTTTATTGTAAAAGTATGCAATTTTTACTGTTTCTCATTTCATAACATATACTATTTAGTAGTGTCATCACAAATAATATAGTACTGCAATAGAAATATAAAAATAATTGATATTTATTAATTGTGTAGTAAATTACAACAATATAAGTATCATAATATGAATTGAATTTTTAAAAATTTATTTCCTCAAAATAACTATATTTCTGAAAAAAACATGTTAAGTGAAAATAACTACTTAACAGTCAATTTATTCAATAATAAAGTAATGCATTAATATAAAACTAAAATAATAATACCATATAAAATATAATATTATTTTTTAATAAGTATATTCATAACGAATCTAAGCATTGCAAGTATAATATAATTAATATGTAAATTACATAATTCAAAATACATTAAAATGATTTTTATCACACATATGAATAATATGAATAATTGTTTATTTTATATGTTAATTGTATAGTATTAGTTGATAGTTTTCTCGGAAAAAAGAGTATATTATGCATTATATATATGATTAATAAGAAACCATATATTTTACATTTAGAAAACTTATGATAACATAAATAATGAAAGTTAACAAAAATAAAGACAAAAAACTCAATTTAGCTGATTATACGATATTTTTCAAAACATCAAAAGTCAAATTATAGTCATAACATTATAGGATTCACTTTTTAAAGGTTTCCATATAATAACAATTTTCATACATTAATTAGTAGTACTATGACTATAGTCTATGAGTTGTTACGTTAGAAATTTTATTAGAAATAAAAATAAAAATATTAGTATTTATAAAGAAAAAAACTTTGTAATTGCTTTTTTCTGGTCAATAAGTAATGTTTGTTAACATAATTAACATAAATAAAAACATTAATGAATACATAAAAATTAATTTTATATAAAGTTTATACTGTTTGTACAATAATATTATACTACAGTATACTCACTGGACTGAGTATGTAGGAGATGGGGCTCAAGTGAAAAATCATATGAATCGATGTAATTATACCAATATTTGCAAACATCTTCAGCTAAAATATAATATAAATATTATTTAAAATTAATTTATTATAATTAAAGTATAAATTATATTAAATTATAGATATTTCAAAAGTTTTATATTAATAATTTATAATAAATAGAAAAACAAACATTTATAAAATAAAGTATTTTGCTTATCTACTATTAAATAATAATAATAATATAATTTTAAGTCAATAACTAAAAACAAATATTGTTTTATTTTTGTAACAATTTAATCAATATGTGGATTAAAGCAAACATTGAATACAAATTTTATTATTTGTTGTTTCTAAACAACATTAGAAAACTTTTATATAATTATCTTTAAATTCAAATGTAATGCTTAACGCTCTGAAGTCATTCAAATTTAGCTATTTTTACCTTAAGTGACCAGATTGTTATGGCGCGTGTTATTAAATTAATTTTAGACCAATCAAAATTTAATCTATTATTAAGTTTTCAACGGTTTTAGAATAATTACAAATATTTTAACATATACTAGCCAAACCTATAAATGTATGATTATATCGTATAATGGTAATATTTACTGAAGAAGTTGAGGAATAGGTCATATTATCATATAATGGTAATATTTACTGAAGAAGTTGAGGAATAGGTCATATTATCATATAATGGTAATATTTACTGAAGAAGTTGAGGAATAGGTCATATTATCATATAATGGTAATATTTACTGATGAAGTTAGGAATATGTCAAATATTTCATTTATTTTTCAGTCATTTTTACCATTAGATGATAATTGGATCTAATTATCACAATCTTCAGCCATTTTTACCATTAGATGATAATTGGATCTAATTATCACAATCTTCAGCCATTTTTACCATTAGATGATAAAAGCCACTATATGTGAGCATCACTTATTATAAGACATACATAAATTTAATTTTTAATAACTTATAGATAAAATTAAAATTCAATAATATTTAATTTTTTGTTCGATTCATTTTGATTGGTCAATAGGCTCTGTGCCGATGGCACTGTTTTGTCACCAAAGTAAAACATCGATTTGTGCCGATGGCACACGTTTGTTGTCAGCGCGTTAAACAGTAAAAAATATTCAGAGAAATTTGTAAAAAGGGAAAACAAATAATATAACAAATTTAAATAATTTCAAATATGTTTGATTTAAATGACAAATAAGAACATAATAATTAACATAAAAACAAAAAGTATTAAACATATTCAATAATAATATAAATTTTTATTTTTGCATAATATATAACTTATTTAATAACAAAATAAATAATAGATTTTCCGTGAAATCATAAGTATTGAAAAACACGTAAATCTGTAATAATAATGAATTTCAAAAGAATATTCTCTGAATATTTTACATTTTTATATAATATATTATATTAATAAAATGCGATTTATAATTCAATAACAAAATTTAATATTAAATAAAAAAATAAGTGAGAAAAATATGCATATAAAAGGCTATATGACTTTATTATAAAAAAAATTATAAAATAAAATAATAATAATAATAATACGCAGTAATAATAATTTTAATATAAAAATAATGATTATATTATACATATTTCTGCAAATCATACGAAAACTCAAACAGAGAGAGAGATTAGTAATATTTTGTCATTAAATGGGTATTAAAAGTTTGTTTGCACTCATATTTTTAATTAAGTAAAACTATATGTTTATATCATATTACCTGACGGATCAAATTCGGAATAATAAGTCCATTTGGACATCAAATTCTGGCCGATCTCCGGGTCGTTCATATGATAGAATGTATCGGTATGTGAGAGATGGTTGGCCCAGAACTGGGCCTTTTGGCACAACTCTAGTGACAGCATCAAAGGTGTCACTCCGTGGTGTGACCTAACAATGTTATGCCATTGAAGTGCGTGTAAAACAAACTCACTCTTGGAGTACGTGGCACTTCTCACGGCGTCTTGATATCGGAACTGTTCCGACCGTTTCACTATATGCTACATAAGCAGTCAAATAAAACAGTTTATAGCTATTATTATATGGATACTAAGCTGACATTTGATAAATTATTATATTAAGCTATTATATAACTAAATACTGTATACTGTAATGTTTATCAACAAAGCTTCTTCAATATCCTTAACATTTGCTTTCATTGCCATATTCTCTAAAATAAGTTTTTTACTTTATCTAAAAATTACTTAAAATTTTAACATTTTGACAAAATATTCAAGAATCACAAGATTACTATCTAAATAAAAACAAAAACATTCATTTTTATATAGTGTTTTTAAAAAAAAAAATTAATCATATTTATGTATCAGTATATTATATTTAATATAAAAATCATAAAGTGTACTTTGTCATAAAGCTGTATAAAAGTGCATTTATTATATTATTAAAAATTAACAATTTTATATATCACTGTCACAAACATACACACTATAAAATAGTTGGTTAAGTAGAGAATTATTTTCTAAAACTATTACTTTCAAACTTTAATTTTATTAAAAAATACTATTATATAATTAAAATAAACTAAATAATTAATTTAAATTATTTAAAATAAAGACAAATGCAATATTTAATTAAATTCACAAATGACTACAAAACAATAAAATATTTATATTCTGAATTAACGTATAATAATATGATTATATATATTTATGTTTTTAGTTTTAAATTGATAAATTAAGTATATTATATATATAATAAATATAATAAATATTTTTATATAAAAATTAAATATTACCAGTTTTTATACGGTATAAAAATACTGTTTAGTACAATATATATTGTAGCTTATAATAAAGTTTATAATAATGATTATTTTATATTTAACTATTATGCATATTTTGTTTGAATAACAAAATATTTATTATTATTAAACACATACTTTTATTCTAGTATAAAATAAACAAATAATAATATAATAATGTTTTACTAGATTAAATAAGATTATTTTTTAAGCTAAAAAGAAAAATGTATTTATATTGAAGTTTTAATGGTTTTTTTTAAAAAAAATAATATAAACGTGTCAACCACAATACATTTAAATTTATATATTAGTAAATAAACTGTATTATACTTTTTAATAGAAAAATATATATATTATTTATAATTTTTCTGTGTGTATGTGTTTTTGTGATAATGTTTTTTGTGTTTTGTCATTAAAAATATTATGTTTTTTATATTCTAAAAAAATTTATTTATAATAATGTCGACTAAAATACTGTATTATTATACTGTATTAGTTTTTAACAATTATTTTACAATTTAGTTTTGCTCGAAGTTATTATATTTTATGTTAGTATTAAAGAAGTTACAGTTTGGTATATTTTATTAAATTTATTATTACAATAATTTTATTATAAAATACGTTTTTATGTAAATAATTTATAATTTTAGACTACAGTATATACGGTAAGCTAAATAATAATAAAACAAATAACATTTGAATAATGACATCTATTTTTATAACTAAATCTCATTATATTTAAGTACTTCTGATAATATTAGTTAAAATATTACATTAAATATTTGTTATATTTTCATAATAAAAATATATTTATTAAAAATTCATAAAAATAATTGTATTATAAGTAAGCTAATGAGTTTATTGACTTTTCTAATTGTTAAGTCAATTCATACTAAATAAATGTATATATAATACAGAAAAACAAATTCTGACAGAATATTCTAATATTATTGAATAAATTCTGTTATATAATACATAATATATAATTAAAAAAAACATATTCAATATTTATTACACATCGATATTTATAGCACACATAATATATAAAACAGAAATAACTTATATTCAAACAATTCAAATTTAATGTAAATATACTGTATTTATACATATAATGTATATTATTAAAAATTGTTGTTACGTTAAAAGTGATAAATAATATGTTTTAATAAGATACCAAAACAAACTGTACTACTGATATATATATATATATATACTCAAGTGTTATAAAAATAGCACGACTTGTTTATTAGTAAATATAACATATTTTATTGATATTTATTTAGTATTTTTATAAAAATTTCATGAATCACTTCAAGTACAGTATAACCAAATAACTATAAATCAATCAGTTATCTGATAAACACTCACAAGTCATTCATATAATTCAATCAAATTTATAAATACAGTACCAAAAAATAAATAAATAAATATTTAATCAATCATTTGGATGGAAACATACCTGTTTTCCTAATAGAGAAACTATACTATTTTCTGTACTGCCATTGGAACTGACATTACTCTGAACTTCCTCCTCGCTCTTAGAACAGGTGGGTAACGACAATATGTCCTCACTTTCACCGCACGGGTCTCCAGTTTCACGACTCAAACTATTTAGCGGTACGTCTTCGTCCTGTTTCGATGTATCGGAACTATTGGTAGCCGTCGAGTGTTTGTCGTGATTGTTATTATTGTTATTATGGATAAGTATTCTCAAGTTGTTAAGCTTTTTATGTATGTAATCCATGGTAGGACTTACTCACATTTAATAGTCAATTAGATATATTATAGTAATATATATTTATATATATATTATTATTATAAATAAATTATATGCTATTGAATTTCTATCAATAAAATTTTGTTAAATATTTGATGGCTTCGATGCATATAATAAATCATAACATTTCTATTAAAAAACAACTGACAGTTATATCGTCCGCAAGTCAATAGACTAAGAAAGCGAATGACATGAATGAATGAAAACTACTGGTTCTCTACGATACTGTCGGTGCCGTACAGTAGTCCATATGATCTCATCTCTGTCTACTTACGGCACTGTTATTAAAACGCATAGTCATTGAACTCCAGCTGCACTTAAATCTAATGGATAGCTGTAAGCTATTGTCGGAGACATTTATTGTATGGTATGTAGTGACTGATTGAATAGACGGGTGAATCAGTTATATTAAACAATGWGAGAGAGAGAGAGAGAGAGAGAGAGAGAGAGAGAGATGATAAAGATAATAGAAGATATCGTTGTACTGTAATAATAATAATGGATTAGTATTACATCTTGTATTGCGTTTTTCATTAGACATATAAGTAAAACAATACAAAAAAACAAACCGTTTTACTATTTTCTTATAATTTAATTTTCAATGACATAGACAGTCAACTTTCTCTTCCTTTTTATTTATCAATATATATAATAAATACTGTATATACAGTACAACTAAATATATATATTATTGATTGCTATGTCTTAGTATTATAAGTTAAAAAATATATATACACAGAAGTAGATATAGTATATACTACCAAAAAAACAAAACAAAACACAAAGTTTTTGAACTCTCGGATGTTTTTATAACGTTATAATATAATAATGTGTGTATTATTTTTGTCGGCAAATAGTCTACAAACACGACATAAAAGCTGAAAACAGAAAAATAGAGGAATAAAGAGGAATAAACTTTTTAATGTTTGTGTCGTTAGCTTACATTCACAGCACATAACAAATATAACAGTTTCTCTCATGTGTTTTCCTAAAACACATACAACTTATATACCAATGGAAATCCCTTTGCTTTTTCTATGGCATTATCAGCGCAAACACACTAACGATACCAATGTATACTATTTATACAGTATATAATATAATATACTGTATATACACACACATATATATAAGTATTATATATATACATTTATATATATACTGTATATATATTTATAAGTTATACATTGTGTGAGTATGTACTGTACTGTATATACTGTATATATATATGTAAATACATTTATAAATATTTTTTATATATATATTTAAATCCAAGAATATTCTTTATAAATAATATTATAAATGTTCTGATATGTAGCTTATGTGTGGTATAGTTTTTATAAAATATATTATATTATGTAATATTGTGAAACGCTTATCATATCTAAAACGTATTATACGTATAAATATAATTTATGAATATATATATATATATGTAAGGGGAAAAAGATATTATAAATAAAATTTCATAAAATAATTTATCAAATATCCATTCGATAGACAAACAGACAGATAGGCAGTCAGCCCACACTTATATAAATCATTATTAGTTTCAAAATAGGTATAAAACCTTTCAATCATACGCCTATGATTTTAATCAGATATCATAAAAATGTTTTATAAAAAACAGTATATTATATATAAATAGCTTTTTAAAAATTTTCCACTAAATATTTGTCTTATTATAAAATTGTTGAAAAATAAATATTTTAATACAATACTATTTATTATTTTCCAACTGTTTGTGGGATTCTCATTAGTAATGAAAATGTATTTTTTCAACAAAAAATTATTCTATATATTATAATACTATATTTTTTGTAATAAAGAGCATAATTTATACTGAAATACAATATATTATTTAATAATAAAAAATAAAAAAGTTAATCATTAAATCTGTAATATTAATATTATATTTTTATGAATAATATTTAAAATACTATATAATAAAATTGTGTTATTTGATAGCAAACAAAAATTATTTTAGTCATATTAGAAATATTATATGACTTTATTAAACATATAATAGAGTATTAAAAAATATAAACCAATGTTAAAATAACTTATTTAAAAATTTATAATAATAAATAAATAATTATTTTTTGTATATACAAAAATTATGTTGTATTTAATTTTACAACTATTTTTCTATTTTTTATATTCAACAAACATATGTTTTTGAAAACACAACGTAAACAAGTTGTAAGTTAGTTATGACTTGAAAAATCATATCTTATATACGAAAAAATAAAATAAAAACAATTTTATTGACAATTAATACCCAGAAGTGTTGCGCTAAATATATGTAAGACTACAATATAATGTTATGATAGCTTGATTACAGTTTATTGCGTGGCATAACTTTTATTGTGGGGACAGTTAGTATATTACATGGAAAAGCAATTTAAACAAACAAACAATATATATGACTCCCTATTGAATAATCGATGATCGGTTTGATTATGAATTGGTAAACAATTTAAGAAAAAAACAATTCTGTATGGAATACATATGTATTGAAAAATAATAATATAATACAATAATAAATTATAATACAATATAAAATACTAATAACAAAAATAATAATAATTATTATTTTGAATTAATTATAATAACACTTTATGTATGCATTTCTTTATCTTTTTACTCCAGTAAACATTACTGTATATTATTTTAAAACTGAATACTAAACTTTTATATGAATTATTTTAGATTAAAATAATATATAGTAATTAAATTTAAAGTAAAAAATATAAATATTTGCTAACTATATATATATATATATGACTAACATATTTGATGACAAAACACGAAACCTATTAATGTTTTTTAATTAAATAGACTGTATGTTTCACACATCATGTCTTCATAATTTGCATATTTTTTCAATAATATTATGTATTTTTTCTTATATTTTAAATTAATTTAAAAAAATAACAAAAAATGTATTCATTTATGTAATAAAAATCAGTTTAGTAAAATTTTATTAAAATCATTAAAAAAAATTTGAAATTATAAATATATATATATATATATATATATATATAATATCATATTTTGTAATTCTCTACATGTTTTTGCGTGTATATGTGTTTCGAAATATATTGTTTTTAAATCAATTTAATTCTAGAAAAAAAACTTTTATATCATATTTTGATTTATCAAACCCTAGTTAACTATTTATATATATGTTATATCAAATAATTTAATATAAAATAGCCATGGTTCATTATTGGCTAATTTAAAAAATAAAATATTTTATATTTAACATTTTATAATATAGTGTATTTGTAGTTTTTTTGGCTCATTAGTTTCAATCATACTATACATTTATAATATTTATATAAAATATTTTGAATGTTCAATAAAATAGTTGGATTGATATTGATTTTTAACAATATCTTATAGAATATCTATACGATTATATAATTTATTGGTATCTTTTTTTTATTTTATAGCCAATAATTCGTAATAACCAAAAGTTTTGTTGAATAACATACAATATTTCTAAATAAAATACTATCCATAGATTTATGACCTAGTTTAAATTATGATAGATGATAAATATAAAATCTAATAAAATTGTTCCAGTATTATATAAAAATAAATCGATATTTTTGCTATTATGTTTTGACAAATCTAAATATTTTTTTAAAAAAATAAATTTAATTTAGTATCAAATATTTATTATTCTATTGTATACTGATATTTTATATTCAATATATATGTATAAAATATTTTTTTAGTAAACCATATTTCAAATTTTCAAAATAACATTAACAATCTAAAAATTTATAAATTATAAATACATTTCAATTTTTTTCTAAATTATTTTTTTTCAAGAGACCAACAGTTTATTTGCAAAAAAATAACATAAAAAATAAAAACAAAATAAAAAGCTGTTTTTCAACAAACTTATCAGGGTTAATAACAACAACAACAGCAATAACAAAGATACTCAAATATATGTTGCATTATATAATATAACATACACTACTTATTATTAGGTTCAAAAAAATAAGGTTAAGTAATCGACAAATATATATCATAAAATAAACACTTTAATTCAATTAGAAAATGTTATTATACAACAAAAAATATTATCAAATATATATATATATATACAATATGTAGAGCAAGAAATAGAGATATATTTTTTGTGACAACAAAACACTTTTGCTTTTTATTTTCTAAGTGAAGATCTATTACTTTGACCTGAATTTTAAAGTACAGTACTGTGTATATACATGTTTATTGTATAGTTAATACAGTATTGAAGTAAAGTATGTAATAATATTATTTTTTATATACAGTATTATAGAGTTTACATTAAAGTAGCAAACAATATATATAATAAAAGTTTATCCTAAAATTAAATTAAACCGAAAATAAACTATAATCATTTTTTATATATATAAAAACAAGTAAATAAGTGTTGCTATTGTTTAATATAAATGTTTTTCAATAAATATATTTATTATTTTTATTATTAGCTATTAAATTGTATTAAAAATTGAAAGCAAATGTTTGCTGAAAACAAACTTAAATTAAATAAAGTATATTATAGTTCTAACAAAAAAATATTAATAATTTTATGTCACTAACATAACTGGACAGTAATAAACTTATGGATACAATAAATGTCAGTTTATGGTGAAAAGTTTTAGGATAAATATTTAAAAATATTAATATAATCCTAATATTTTTAATTAAATTTAATGAATTTATTCGTTCACATATTCATCTCTCTCTCTCTATATATATATATATATATATATCTATCTATCTATCTATCTCTGACAATGTATGTACAGTATATATCAATCACTTTATCTTCTCTGTATTTAATTATTCATACAGATTTACATATTGTTCACATTATATTACATAATATACACAATTTGCTTAATTTTGAAAGCCCGGATGCCTTTCAATATAAAATTTAATTATATTAGCTATACAATAGTCAAATAACTGTATTTATAGTTAAGGAGAAAAATAATAAAAACTAAATAATAATAATAATAATAAGTAAAACTTTTTTGTGTTACTCAACAATATTCGGCTATTTTGTTGTTGTTGTTATGCTTTACTATAAATGCAAACAATATACAGTACTAATGCATTTCAATGATACTATAATACTATAAAAGTTTATTTTTCATTATATTACTTTGGACTCAATAATCATAAAAGTATTGACTTGACTTTTACGTAAAATTAAATGACAAACAAAACGTTAATGTATTTTGTAATATACTTTACTGTATAGTATATACTATTGAGAAAACATTTTGATAGATCTAATAAAATCACATTTAATTAGAAAATAAATCTTTTATTTGCTAAATAACAGGTCTGCAAATTAATAGTATATTGTATTTATTGTATTAATTGTATATATTATATACAGTATATGTTAATATATAATTTAGCTAGCAAGATAAAATATTTTACATTTATATATCAGTACGAAAATATTTTTTTTAATACTAAACAATTTATTAAATTTATAATAAATATAAATATTTTTAAATATTAATTTACTTTTTAATCAATTTGAAATAAAATGCATTACTGTATATAAATATAATATTTAAAATCTAGATATTTTTAGAATAAACATTTAAATAACACATTTAATCCATATAAAAATTTGTCTTACATTTAAATTATTTTGTATAAAAACTTAAATATAAATATAATCAATTAAATGAATATATTCAAAAAACATATAAAGTATATACTGCATATATTTGTTTATTAACTATAAATAACTTTAGATTTCAATAGAAAATTTTATATTTTATTTATAAATAATACTTGATGTTTGTTGCATAATATTGATAAAACTAAATTAAATTAAATATATTTTGCTAAAAACTACTTTTGCCTAAAATCTTTTAAATATATTAAAAATTTTATAATACTTTAATACTTATAATAAAATTGTAATATAAATTATAACTTATTTATAATATATTTTTATTATAATATAATACGTTAATAATATAATGTAAAATTTAGAAAATATATATTAAATATTAACAAAAATACTATTAAAAAACTGTAAAGATATTATGCAAATCAATTCTAAATAATTTATATTAACTATAAATTGTTTTATAAATTTTAAATATATATTATTGACTTTTTTAGATAAACAATTTTCTAATTTTGTTTACAACTTTATAAAAATATATTTTTTTCATATGCAAAAAAATAAATTATATAAAAATGTACTTTATATTGTAAATTGTATTAAGTTTTATAAATTATGTAAAATATTTTTTAAAAGTTTAAGATTTGATGACAAAATTTTATAATAGAAAAAATAAATGTACCAAATAAATAAGTAATATAAATAAATATTATGCACAAATAAACACTATATTTTATATTAAACTACTTATTTAGTCATTATTTTACATTAACACTAATTTTTATAGTAATCATTATAATAGTGAATCTCTATTAATTAAAGAGCCAAAAATGAGTGCATTAAACAATTTATGTCATAACAATTTAATTGAATAAAATGTATGAATATTTTTCATTTTAAATTAAAATCTYTTTAAGTGATTTATTTTAACATAAATTTTTATAATAAAAACACATTATTTTTTATTGAATCTAAAAATAATAATAATAATAATAAATTATTAAAATACACGCATACTTTCCTATAGCTCACACATCTAATAGTTTAAAAAGATTAAAACCCTAATTTGGATTATAATTTATTTCTTATACAATATTTAATCATTAATAATCAATGTTTTATATGTTTAAAAAATGGGAATCGGTTTAATATTTTTTCTATTTTTATTATTCAATAATTCAGACAAATTTAATCATTTAACTTTTTTATTTTAATAATACAGTTATAATCTACTATACAAATAACATAGTATTGCAAAAATATTTTTGATTACATTCATATTTAGTAAACATAGATAATCTTTAAGTCTAATAATAATACAAAACAAAAATTATATTACAAAATATACTGATTATTTTAATAGAAAAAATAAAATAAAATAGATTATATCTTCTATCTAAATAATACTGTATAACATTTTTACGTAACATTTATTTTTAGTTTTATCATAAAATTTAATATCTAACKATAGTATTTAGTATCAACTTATATATATGTTATTACATTGATGTTATTATATATATATATATATATATATATATATATATATATAAGTAAACCAAGAGGTAATCTTTTCACAAAAGTCTAAACCCATGCGATCTGTAAATAAAATATATATTTTGTTTTATATATTTATTTTATATTTTCATTTAACAAATAACAGATTAACAAAAAAGAGACAAAAGTTTAGTTTGCTTAATATTTTATTATTAAGTTTTTAATGAAAAAATATGTAGATAAAGTATTTTGCTGTGTATATGATTATAAATATACTGTATATTATTATCATATTTTGTTTATTAAATCTAAATTATGAATGTAAAGTACTGTTGAAATTATAATATAGAAATTAACAGCCGGTAGGCCAGTCCTTGACATTTAATGTCAATAAATTTAATAACAAAACAAAAAAAATTTATTTTTCTTAATTAAAAATTTTCGCAATACTATGAGTAAACAGTGACTTATAATAAAATATACTAAAAACAATACATACAATATATTCAATATCAAGATTTATTTTTGATTATAATTATTTTTATGTCTGTAATTATTTTATATAAGCTTAATAAGTGTTATAAAAAATGAATATTAATGAAAAAATGTTTTTTTGTATAAAATAGTGACAAAAATATTTTTATACAATTGATTATTTTATCACACACACACAGAATAATAATAATAATAATTAATAATAATTTTTATAAAAAACACATTTTTATTATAAAAATAGTAACCCATTGATTAAGTACTATTATAGTACTGTATTGTTAAAATTATATTATAAGCTAACAATAATTAATCTACATGTTTTTATTTTATTCAACTGAAATTATTTACTAAAAAATACTAGTAATTAATTTATTGCATTTAGATATATAGTATATATCATAGCTGGTGACCACGAAAATTAATAATTAATGTTTTTACGTGAATACTACTATAATTATACTATAAAAACAATTTTATGTATACTTTTGGGAAAAGTTTGTGTGTATTTGTTATTTGAAAACAATTGTTACAAAAATAAACTCTACAGTAATATAACTTTAATTATTATTATAAACTTAAAATGAATGAATAGATAGTAATACTGTCAGTGAATTCAATTGATATAATGGATTCACCAAATAAATAATTACTATAACACTATAATACTGTGTTATATTAATTCAGTCCATAGTCTATCACTAAAGTGTACAACTATTACCTATATTTCATTACAATACACAAACAATTTCATCAAATGAAAAATAATGTATTAAACACTTGATTGGGAATCACTTTTCGACATTTAGAGCATTGAATAGCATTTCGAGACAATTAGTTTAATTAAAAAAAATTGTTTTTAGTATTTATAATATCATATAATAATAGTAAAGCAAAAGTGTAACATATTTTAACACCTGTGCGTATATTAAATTTTTTGTTTCTCAGTTATGCTAGTTTTAATTATACAGTTTTTGTTTTGTTTTTTAGAATTAATATTATTTGCTTTTACTTAATTAAATCAAAAATAAGATATATATTTATATATAATTAATATTATAGAATAAATTAATGTAAAAAATAAAATCGATAGTAATAAATTAACTGCATTGCCTATTAATATATAATTTTATAGCACATAAATAAACAGAAATTGTTTACACATTTATAAATGTTATAAAAATAACTAATGTAAACAATAATAATTAATTTTAAAAAAATAATTAAATCATATATTGAAATCGGTTTGCAAGTGATCCTGATTTTAAAAATGTTTTATCAAAATAACAAAAAATATTTTTTTCATAAATAAAAAAGCATCAAAAATAACAAAATGTTAATTTAAAAATGATCATTTTTGGATAGTTTTATATTAAAACAGACATTAAATAAAATGTTAATTTAAAATTAGTTAATCATGATAAATATTAATTGATTTATTATATTTACAAATTTGTAATTATTTTTATAAATAAGTAAATAATGTTTTTAAATAACATCTTATTATGTTATCTTTTATAACAATTTGGTTATAAATTTTCTTTTTATCAAAATTTGGATTATTTATTGTTCAAAAAATATTCTTAAATATTATTTAGTGTGACTATTAAATTCCCGTATTTTCCCGAATCCAATCCCTATAAGAGGGAACACTGGCAAAAACATCAGGATATCCGAGACCACAGGGAATACCAAACGATACGACACCAATTTGTCCGTCACTACTAACCAATGGTCCTCCGGAGTCGCCCTTAAAAATGTTTTTAAAAAAATTTATATAAAATTAATAAATATATTAATAGATAAATTATAAATTATAAATTCTTACACTACAAGCTCCCTCTCCTTTAGGACTAATTGTACAAACGTTTGTCTGATCGATATGAGTTCCTCTGAGTGTACGTTTACATTGGTCTAAACTAATTGTTGTGACCACTAATTTTTGCAATAGTTTTGGATCGGTTTTTTGTGGATATGCTATATAACCCCAACCAGTAAGCCAGGCACGAGTACCGGCTGATACCGGATTATCAGCCAATTTAATTGCTCGGATACTATCTGTATATTTTATAGGCACTGTTACCTTTACAACACCAATATCATTGGTGTGCTCGGCTTTGCTATAATCTTTATGTATAATAAATTGTGCCGCTTTATAGCTAACTCCTTTATCACTTATACCGGCCGTTCCCGCCACAATATAAATCTGATTAATATTTTTGCTAATAGTTTAAAAATTAAACAATTAATAAAATTTATAATAAAATAGTTTTAATTTTTTGATAATATTTACTTATAAAGACAATGAGCGGCTGTTAGTATCCAATTGTTACTAATAATTGATCCACCACAAAATTGACTATTACCTTGACTATAACGGAATGCAATTTGATAGGGAAACTGATCGATATTAGCATCGGTACCACCAATTATACGACTGTCCAATGGTATCGATTCATTTAATTGTATATTAAGCGCAACTAACAATATAATCAAATAATTATATTCATTTATTTTAGTAAACATTTTTACTAACTTAAAGTAAATTTTGTTAAATTTTATTATAATATATAATAAAACAATTAGCAATGAAACACTTAATTTTATAAAATTATGTTAATATTTTAGGTATTGTGTTCATAATAATAAAGTAATGATATATATTTAATTCAATATTAAATAATAATAATAGGAATTCTGATATAATTAAATTAATAATACATTTACATTATAAATTATTATATTTGTATAAAATAAAAAGTTTAGTAAAGTACTAATGTTTTGGTCACCATTGATTAGGAAAATTATTTGAATAAATACCACAATAACTATTTGCTGATATAATTTTAAATAATTTAAGTTTTAGTAAACATCAATTGCGTTATAAATGACTAACAATTTTATAAAATTATTTAGTTTTAAATTACTTTATTAAAAACCTGTACAATACATTTTTGTATAACTAATAAAATTAACTGAGAATCTTAATCTAAAAATAATAATATTATTATTTTAATTTTGTTTTAAAATATTTTTTAAAACTTTCCCTAAATTGAATATTTTATATATCAAATTAAAAAAAATAAGTTATTTATTTAAAATAATATATATATTGTATGTAAATATTTAGTTGTGCTTTTTTGTACATAATTATCAAATTTTATTTAAAATATAAAAAATATATAAATTATACTTGTATTTCTGTATAAATTTACAGTATAACTTATTTTCTATTATATCAATAATGAATTTTTCAAATGAATTTTTTATTTATTTATTAATTATATAGTAAAGTAATTGCTTAATTTAATAATATAACAATTAATATGTTACGTTCATGAACTTCATATTATAAATTTATTATATAAAATCTAATATCACTAAACTTATAAAAATTCAATCTATTATGTAGTATATCATTAAAACAAAAATTGCTAATCATATAAATATCGTTAAAGCAAATAAAAAACATTTTTAAATTGAAAAATTACAAATTAATTTTTAATGATTAATTAAAAAGAAAATTTATTCAGTGAAAATTCAATAATAGTTAACTAATAGTCAAATTAAATATAAATTTTATTTGATAAACATTTTAATATACTATATCAGATATCAAATATGATTTAAAATGTAAATAAATATTTACTACAATTATTAACTACAAGTATACTAATAATAATTTACAAACAATCAATAGTATACTATAATTATAACCAAATTGAACAGTTGTATGATATATTATATATTATAAATTATATAAAATAAAAGTAACAATACTAATACTAATACTAATATTTCAAATATACTGTAGTAGTAATAAAAACTTGATGTATAAAATTTTGTGGCACTACCTATCAGCCATTATAGATAATTAAATATGAAAAAATTTATCCAAAATAAACTAGTAATGTAATGAATAATATAGCTGCTAGTTAGAATTAAAATAAATAATCTATCTATAATTACCATGTACAAATTTTTAAAAATGTAATTCAATTTTCTAAAATCTCTATGATCTTTATTTTTAATTAATTAACATACAGGGTACTTAATTTATTTGAGCAAATTTCATTTTATACTTATTATTGGTATTATTAATTAAATAAAATTATCTTATTTTATTTTTATTAATATTTCAAATTAATTTATATTTTAGAAAATTAATATTTTGTTGTTTAAAAAGTATAAAAAATAGATAACTTCAATTTTTTAAAAACTTAAAACTTTTGGTCAATAAGTCCGTATTTCTATACAGTTTTCAATTAAACATGGTAATTTTAATAAAATGTATTTAAAAAAGTACTAATCTAAAACAGTTAACTTTTGTATGTTTGCAACAAATTTATTTAAATGCCTAAAAAAGTACTAAAATATTAAATAACAGTAAACTTTTTTAACGTTTAAAAAATAAAAGTCAATAAAAATATTTATTATATAAAAATGTTAAATCATTCTTTTATTAAAAAAATTGTATGATTAGAAAATATGTTAAAATTTTTGTAAAAATATCTTATTATTTAATCTTGAAATTTCGCCAATAAAATCATAATTTTAAAATAAAGGTTATAATTTAAAAAATACACTTTTAATAAAAGTATAAATATATACACATATTACATCAATAATCATAATAAAAATCTAATAAATTAAAATTAATTAATAATATGTTATCAAATCAATAACTATTATGTTATTAGCTAATAGTTTAGTAATATTGTTGATAACAATAGCTGTCGATTGTGTATCACTACAATCACGTGTCATCGGTGGTACCGGAGCTTCAATTACTGAATTTCCTTATCAGATATCATTACGTTATGTTGAAGATAATTCACATTTTTGTAGCGGAGCTATTATCAGCCATCACTGGATACTTACGGCTGCACACTGTGTTTACGAGTAATTAAATAAATATATATATATATATTAAAAATGTTAAAAATTAAACTACTTAACAATAGATATTTTTTAATTTATTGTTATCGTTTTGAATATTTCCTATAGTATGACAACTGCCGACTTTTACATAGTAGCGGGAACTGCCTATTTGGACAAGGGTGGAAGTAGCTATGATGTCGACCAGTTTATTTTGCACCAGGACTTCGACAAAGTTAGTCTACAAAATAATGATATAGCATTGGTTAGGGTCGTCCAGAAAATTAGATTTAACGACAAAAAACAACCGGTAGAGTTGGCTGACAAACCCGTATCCGATGGTTCGGATGCCTGGTTGACTGGTTGGGGTTATGTAACTTCTCCACCAAAGTTTATAACACCAAATCAATTGCAAAAAGTAGTCGTTCAGACAGTCAGTTTAAACGATTGTCGTAATATACTTAGTTGGCTAACAGTACACAATGGCACTGTATGTACATTTGCTGGTAAAGGAAAGGGTACCTGTCAAGTAGGCATTGATAAAAAATATATTTAATTTAATTTACACACAATTTAAAGATATTGTTAATATCATTTAATAGGGTGATTCCGGTGGTCCATTGGTAAGTGGGAGACAAATAGGTATAGTTTCGTGGAATATTCCCTGTGCTGATGGTTATCCCGATGTCTATACAAGTGTACCGTATTATCGTTCATGGATTAGAGCTAATGCAGGAATTTAATTAAGTAGTGCATAGAAATTGAATAAACTTATTGTATAAAGCATTATTAAATTTAATAATATTATTATATTTATGTTACTTATTTATATACCAGTAAATTAATTATAACAAATAAAATTTTATGCTAAATCTGATATTATATATATACTGTATATAATAAAAATAAACTAAAAATACTGTTAATCTAATATGATATTTTTATCAATGAATTGTTAAAGTTTTTAACATATATAAAAAATATCCTATTTATTGCGTTTACTAATAATAATACATGTAGAAAAAATTAATTATTTTATTGAAACTCAGAACTATTGCTTATACAGTAGTTTTTGATATTTTTGGTCTAAAAAATATAATCTTTTAATATTTAAATGGATTTATAAGCACCAGGATTTTGATAATATTAACTTAGATAATAATGATATAGCATTGGTTAGGGTCGTCAAGAAAATTAGATTTAATGACAAAAACCAACYGATCGAGTTGGCTGACAAACCCGTATCCGACGGCTCGGATGCCTTACTCGGATGGTTGGGGTTATATAACTTCTCCATCAAAGTTTATAATACCAAATCAATTTAAAAAAGTAATCGTCCAAACAATCAGTTTAGAGGACTGTTGGATTACAGTACACAATGGCACTGTCTGTACATTTGCTGGTAAAGGAAATGGCACCAGTCAAGTAGGCATACCTTATTAAATACAGTATAATTAATTTAATTTAAAGATAGTTTATTCAATAGTATTAATATTACATAATAGGATGATTCCGGTGGTCCACTGATAAGTGGTAGACAAATATGTATAGTTTCGTGAAATATTTTCAGTGCTGATGGCTATCCCGATGTCTATACAAGTGTACCGTATTATCGTTCAGGGATTAGAGGAAATGCAAGAATTTAATTAAGTAATGCATATACTTKTAAAATGTATAAATTTAAGATTATTTTATATTTATTAACTGAAATAATTTCAATTAATAAATATAAAATAATCTTAAATTTATACATTTTACAATTATTGTATATTAATATATTTTTATTCGTTATTTATTAATAAATCAGATTTTTAATAATTAATAATCTGATAATAGAGTTGTTTGCTTTAAATTAACAAAAAATATATTTATGTTTATTTACAGGATTTTGCAACATGTTTGAAATTTATTATAAAAATAATTAAGTACCCCGGTAGTTAAATAGATTTCAAATAAAATATTTTAATATATAGTTTCGTTAAAAAATATTTAATTTTTGTTTATTGCTAATTTTTTAATTTAATTAAAATTTATTATACAGGTATATGTAATTTAATAATATAATCTAAAAATTAACAAAAATAATGAAAAAATAAATAATTAAATTTTTGATTTTTGTCGAATCCACGAACGATATGCCGCAACACTCGTATAAATATCGGGATTACCGTTACCGCAGGGACGGGGACCGGCAGATAACACACCAATTAGATTATCATTAACTGCTAGTGGACCACCAGAATCACCCTTTATTACAATTTTAATAAAAATATACAAAATATTATATATTATTTGGAAATTATATTAAACTAAAAAATAATAATAATAATAATAATAATAATAATAATAATAATAATAATAATAATAATAATAATAATAATAATAATAATAATAATAATAATAATAATAATAATAATACAGCACAAGTTCCCGCATTGCCACTATCGGCACAAACATTGTTTTTGGACAGTCGTAGTGAACTATAAATTCTTTGACATTCTTGTAAACTAATGATTTTTGATAACACTCCTTGCAATGTAAGTGCCGGTGTATTACTCTGGGCTGAGTAGGCACCCCAACCTGTACTCCAAGCTTGAGTGCCATCACGTACAGGTGCATTGACTAATCTAATTGGCCTAATGGTGTCACTGTATTTAAACGGTTGATCCAAACGAAGCAGTGCTATATCGTTGTTTAAGATATTACCGGACGGGCCATACTTTTCATGTTGTATTACTTGAATAGCCCTACGGGTGACACCACCGGATCGAAACTGTGTCCGACCCGCTGTTACGTGTATATTGTTTTGAGGTTTTCTAATAACAAACATAACATAATATAATAATTTTACACTAATTAAAAATCAACACAAATAATATAATTACTTATAAATACAATGAGATGCAGTGAGAACCCAATTAGGACTTATGATAGATCCGCCACAATATACAAATTCAGTACTACTTGTAAACACCTGTATTAACACTTGATATGGAAATTTGCTGATATCTACGGGATTCCCGCCCACAATCTTCGGCTCAATTTCTATCCCCGAACAGCAATACTGTCCAATAAAATAATTTAAACAAATAATTACTGCAAAAACAGTTATCGATGTATTAAAAAACATATTAAATATACTAATAAAATACTGTACAATACCACAAGTTTTTTTCAAATAATAACAATTATGATTTCAATCAAATCAAATAACAAACACTTATATAAGGTATCAAATCATATGAAAAGCATATTAATTAGTTTACAAATTGCATGATTAACAAAAAAAATAGTTTATGAAAATGATTTTTAGTAATAATGTTAATAATTATTATGTRTAAAATTACGTAGATTTTACTTAGTTCATTTTATCATTTAATAATATTGCATAGTAATAATGTTTAATTTATTCAAAATTTTACCAAGTAAATTTTTAAATATAAATCATTAAAGTGATTTTCTTTATGTAGATTATAGATGCTTAATTATTTTTCAGATTAAAATGCTAATAATTATTTAATTGATTTGTCATTAATTATTTTTATTTAAATTAACTGTTTATAATAATAATTAAAAATTAGTTAAATTGATAACATATAAATAAAATAAAATGTTATTACAAAACCGATTAAATTGAAATTATTTAACTATTTTGATCCTAATGCCAACAAATAAATTGATACTAAATACATTATTATATTATATAAAATATTTATATTAATAAATAATAAAACAATTAATTTATAATAAGTTTAAGTCTGAATAGTAAAAAATTTTAAATGTAATCATTACATTGAATAATACAAAAATTTTTATATTATTATTTTTAAAAACTTCTCAATAGTTGGCGCACTATATACAGTATAAGCTATAAATAAAACAAATGTATAAATAAAACAAATCTTTAAAACAAAACAACTTAAAAATCTTAATAAAATAATATTATTAGTTTTTATACGATCATAAAAAAGTCGAAATTATTTCACTTTTACTAATTGATGTTTAAGTCCCTTAAGGTTACAAAAAAAAATCAAATAGAAATAACAATTTTTAATTAATTCATTTGTCATTATTAATGCTTATATTTTATTAGTTTGTTTTTAATAACAATTATTTAAACATTAATTAATTTTAATAGTTTTCAACAACAACACAAAAATTCAAATTATAGTATTTTTTTGATCTAAACAAATCTAAATTCAAAATTTTAAAGTTTAAATTTTGATATTTTTGCTGCCATTTTATTTATATTTAACAATATATATGTTGTTTTTGATTCCTTATAAATTATCTGAATTTTAAATTATATTTAAAAATTATTTAAAATAAATTTTATTAACAAAATTGTTTAATTAGTTATTATTATCAAATTTATAATTTTAAAATAATAATTATTTAAATTAACTAATATTATAAATATTTTTAAAACAAATTTAGATTTTATTTATTTACTACTATTATTTAATATAAAAATTTTTGAAAACATTTTATATTATTAAATATTTATATAAATAACGACTAAATTTAAATAGATCTTATATTTAAATTGTTAATTTATTAATTCAATTAATAAATATAAACTATATTCCAGTATTATCTCTGATCCACGATCGATACGATGAGACATTCATATAAATATCGGGATTACCGTTACCGCAGGGACGGGGACCGGTAGATAACACACCAATTAGATTACCATTAACTGCTAGTGGACCACCAGAATCACCCTGGATGTTTGTTATTTCAATTAAAATAACAAACATAAATAAATACAATATAGTTAGATATATGATATATAATATTAATATGTATACCTAGTTTACACCCACACATACACACAAAAAATTATAATCAATACTTACACCACACGTTCCTTTGTAACCATTTCCGGCACAAACATTATTTTCTGATAATTCTAATTCTGGATATATTTGTTTGCATTCATCCAAACTGATGGTCTTCTCATACAAAAATTGTAATCTATTTGATTGGTCATTACTATAGGGTGAATATGCGCCCCAACCGCTAACATAGGCATAGGTTCCCAAAGCAATCTGTTTGTCAAACAGTAAAACGGGTCGAATTTTGTCAGTAGTCTTGAATGGATGTGAAACATGTATGAGTGCCATATCGGCAACAATTTTTAAATCATGTTTATAATCATCATTTATAATGACTTTATCTGCCTGTCTGGTTACACCACCGTCGAAAAACATTGTGTGTCCAGCAATCACTTTAACATTGTCTTTTGGTTTACTACCGGTGTCCACCCAATCATCCACACATACAGTGTATATAGAATAGATATTAATTAATAATTCAAAATTATCAAAACAAAACAAAATTTATTAATAAAAAAACTGTGTTATTATATTAGATGCATACTTATAGAAACAATGGGCGGCAGTTAGTATCCAATTTGGACTAATGAGAGATCCGCCGCAATAACTATAATATCCATTATAGTGTACTTGGATTAGTACCTGAAATGTAAATTTACTGATATCTGCATCATTGCCACCAATAATCTTGGGCTGAATTTCTACTATACTGTCCTATAAAAAAATTAAGACAAATAACTGCAAATATAGTTACTATAATTTTTCTTAACATATTGTATAGAAAGTGTTTTATTATAAACTATTATATAATTTAAAACAAATTTTATTCAATAAATATGAATTTGTGTAACTTTAATATCGGTCTACACTATAAATAATTTCAATGAGTCAATTGAACGGTACTTTTATAGTTAAAATAATACATTATTAGTTATTTTTATATACTGTACTATCATATATTGAAAAACTACGAACAGAGTGATAATTAATAATTATGGATTATTTTTGATGATAACAAATATTTAATTAAATTTATATTAATTGGCTTATAAGCAATAATTGCTAAACTGATAAAATTACAAAATCATTTAATTTACAAAAATATAATGATTTTTATTTATTATTATTTGCCTTACAATTACTTAAATTAAACTTTTAAAATTTTTAATTTGTTAAGTTAAATTAAACATTATTTTAGTTATAAAATTTTTTTTACCAATTTAGTCAGATACAGTTGACCACAAATAGTTTGTAAAATAAAAATTTTTAAGATAATTACTAATAATACTAATGATAATAGTAATACAAATAAAATAAAATAAATTTGTTCACCTATACTAAAAATTAAATATATTAAATTTTTATATTAAATAAATGTTTTAATATTATTTCTTAATAATAGGAAAAATTTATTAAGTTTAGCATTCTCAACTGTTTTTTCATTGTAATAGTGTTATAATTGTCATTATATAAAATAAACTAAAATTAATAGTAAACAGTGATTATTGTAAATAAGTCATGTATGGTATTGTATGACTCAGTATAACAAAATAATTACATTCATAAACATATAAATAATATAACTCATAATTAACACAAATAAATAATTTAATGTTTTTATTTTTAAACGTTTTTATTAATATTTTCAACATTTAATTAAATGTTTATTATTATTATTTTTTATTTAAATCCGACATTTTATTTTTAAGATATAAAAKAAAATTTTTCTAAAAACATCTAAAATTATTTTTGATAATTTATAAAAATCTGAGATAAAAATTTCAAAATTCGAAAAAAAATTTTGACAGACATATAGAATTCAGAAACGTACTCATTTCAGTAGATCGTGATATATTAAAAATAATTTATAATAATAATTGTAAAATTTATATTTTCTGTAATAAAAAACTAAATATTCATTAATAAAATAAAAAATTATTCATTAAAATTTATAAATAAAAATTTTACAAAAAATAGTAATTTTAATATACAATTAAATGTAAATACAGTATTTAATATAAGTTATAGTAAACAATTTGACATTTTTATCATCATTAATGATTGTGATATAATATTTATTTAAGCAATAATAGAACAAAATAAAAGTATAATATATAAAAAATTATATTATTTTATTTATAATTTTTAGACAAAATAACCATTTGTTTTAAGTCTAATAAAAAACTATTAGTTTGTTTTACATGAAATTCAGTCATTATTTTTTGTCAATTTTTTTGTTATTTATTTTCTAATGACTTAATAGACTCTGACTTTGAAGTGATGTTTCGTCAGCCGATTGATACAATTCCGGGCTATTGTTGTCTTGACTACACTTATCGTCGTTGTTGTCATCATTATTATCGGTGTGATTGTTGTTATCCTTAATGATTATCGGCAATACATTGTCTTTAAACTGGCCTTTAATGTTGCCGTTTGGCCTATAATTTGCCACAACAATCAACTTTCCTCCGCGTGTGTGAGCCTTTCCAATACCAAACTCTTTGGTATTTTTCCACACAATTTGTGTGAAATGATCTGTTAAATTGACCAAAAATTTTATTATATACTGTATTTTATTGTATGTAATGTATGTGTGGGTGAGTGAGTGAGTGAGTGAGTGACAAAGCTATTAAATAGTTTAGAACAATGTTATAGTAAAAGTCAATTTATATTTAGAGAAATATATATATATATATATATATATTSTGTATAACGTTATATATTGTATTTATAAAATAACTTTCAAAAAATGTGAAACTAGTTTTTAAGAGAATAATTTCTATATGAAATAGATTTCAAAAAGTGTGTTATATATAACTATGGCTTTTGGTTAGATATAAATTGATATAACAAAAATTATTTAAAATAGCACCGGTATATTAGCATTTTTTAAAGTTATATATAAAGTATACCCGAAATATTGTTATTTATTTTTAGTTTTATTATACATTTTATTTTAAATATTTCTAATTGATTTTATTGTCTTAAATATAACTTAAAATAATACCTATTTTTATGTTAATATCAATATTATAAATATAAATTTATTTTATGTATTTTCCAAGTATACACTTATTTTATCATAAATATAGATACAGTACATATTTTTGGTATCTATTGTTAATTAAAACTAATATTTGATTTACTAAATATAACTATGAATTTATTTTATTTTATGATTATTTTAGTCCAAATATGATTTTATGATTTGTTTAAAAGGGTTATAATCCTAACATAAAAGTATGTCAAAGTAGCCGCTGGTGCGGACACTTACCCAAACATGTGTATAAAAATAGGACACTGACTGACCATTAGGACAGTCACTCCACAAACACACACATATTACTATACTTTGTTTAAACTTATTTTCATTGATTATTGTAATACTTTATAATTTATATTATTTCAATAAAAGTTACAGTTTTTATAATATCAAAATTACGACTGCAATTATTTAAAAGTTTTTTGTTTAATAATTTATAATATATTTTCAAGCAACATTATATATACTTTTAAGAAATTCATATAAATTATTTTTCCATTATGTTTATTATATATATATATATATATATATATATATATATATATATATAGTTGTTTATTTTATATATAAATTTTATTTTATTCAAACAAAATTATTTTATTTAATATCTATGTTTTAAAAACCGGTCTCACCTATTTTTAAATATATATATATATATATATATATCATTTCAATTTGAACTATAAGAACATCTGCCAAAAAATCTATTGAAAATTATAACTTTAAAAAGTTATATAAAAAATACAATTGTGTATTCTAGCGTATATAAATAATTGAACATGTACAATTATTGAACAAATAATTTAAGTTTATATAACGTGCCTAAAACTAACCCCACGTAATAAAATATAATAAATACAATAAAACATAAAATTGAAAACTTTTCTATAAAGTTTTGATATCGATTTTTATTTTTAATTTGTTTTTTTTAAATGATTCATTTTATATTTTTATCTTTTATTTTAAAAAATATCTTATATTCTACACATTATAAATAAAATTGTTGAACTATTTCTAATAAAATAAAAACAGAAATTACTATATATTATATTAAAATAATTTAATAAGTTTTGACTAAATAATTTACGATAATTATTATATTTAAATTATAAACAAATAATTTAGATATACTATAAAATAAACAAATGGTGACAAACATAAGTGTAGATTAATAAACAATATTTATGTTTAGATATATTGTATGTTATTTAATATTCATAACACAATATTACATCTTTAAGTCTAATGTCATAATTACTAACTCTAGACTAATATTGTAATCTAAAAATATTTTTATTACTATAAGTGCTCCCATAAGTAAAAATATTTATAAGTTTGAAAATAGGTTTAGTAAATAATAAAAATAGTTTATATGTCTATTTTATTAGATTTCACTCTAAGCATAAATCATATTTTAAGTATAGTTACAGTATATAAAAACTAGTACTGTATATACCAGTGATTAACATTAAGTGTTATCATGATAACTTTGTGATACATATATAACATAACTAATTTAACAGATATTTAATAGTAATTTTCATAATTTATAACAAACAATGAGTAAGTTAAACAAACACTTACTCATTTAATATGTACTAGCTTATTTGTACAATTTTGTTTTATAAATTTAATGTTAATCACTGGTATATACCAATGTATTTGTGAAACTAAAAACCACTGCATAGCTAAATATGTTTATCTCATATATGATATTATATATAAATAAAATTGACTTTCATATTATACATTATTAGTCACAGCAAACAAATAATCAAAAACAACAACAAAATGCATAAATAATATATAGAACAGAATATTCTGAGTCATTCACGAATTTCTATGAATTACAGGGAAAATACATTTAGATTTTTTTATTGATCAATAAAATATAAGACATACAAACAATTGATTATTTAACTACTGGGGTTCATATCAATAGACAAGACAGTTATTAGACAGCAATAAAATAAGAGGATCAATAGAAAAGGAGACAGTTAGATTTAATTTACTAAGCAATTGAGCACATGTAGCTCAATATGAAATTGCTAAACATTGTTATTAAAGTCTACACACACATACATTTACTTTTATCTACTTACTTGCTAATGTATGCATTATTGATGGATCAATGTTAAAGTTATACAATGCAATCTCGGAGTACCAAAGTTTCACAATACTTTCACCTAATTGTTTGGCCAAATAGTTAGACAGTTAACAAACTTATATACTTAAGCAACAACAAAAATATATACAAATAATATAAGATTATATACTATGTACACATTATATATAAATATACTGTTACTGTGATTGTTATATTATCAGTAAATATTAATATATTAAGTTTACTATCACACTAACAAACTCAGTCATATTAATAGACTATTGCATTGGCAATACTTTAACGAAAATACAAAATAAATATATACCATATGTTGCTATAAATATTGTCATTAATATAATTGTCAAAATACATTATATAAACATTACTATACTATCCTTATCGTAAATATAACTAACTATCTAATGCTAGTATAACGTCTACAATGATTGATAATAAATAATAACTGATAACCTGGTGGATCAAAATCTGGATGACAGGTCCATTTGCACATTAGATTTTCGCCTATTTCCTGATGGTTACGGTATTTGAAAGTATCGGTGTGAGCCAAATAGTTGGCCCATTCCTGTGCCATAGTAACCAAATCATAGGACAGGGTCAATGCGGGAACGTCGTGTTTTACACGAAACCGATTGTGCCAACAGAGTGTTTCACTAACAAATGTATTGTCCATTATCTGTTGTTCCCGATCTATATAATAGTCGCGCCGTACGGTCACTGGACGGCCCATTAATAACTATAGAAATTATTAAAATATAAAAAGTAGAAAAAAATTGAAATTGTAAAAATCTTTAAGATAAACTAATGTCATCACATTATTATTATTAATTATTCAGTATATTATAATTATAATATTAATATATTAAGTAAGCTTACTTTTAATTAATTTTTTAAAAGTAATAATTTTCATTATTTATAGATTAAATACATTATTTTAGTAAAACTAACAAATTTATAAATTATTATCTTTTTGCTAAAAATATTTTTCATTCAAAGTTAATGCTAGATATTAAAAAAGCAATAAATTAAATATTTTTATATATATGTTGAAATATCTAAACAAATATATTTTGTAAAAATAATATCAATAAAATTTATCATATAATAATAAAATACAGTATATTGATAAACATACAATACATATAGGATTTAAGTTTATATTTAAGTCAATCAATCAAAACAAAAAAACAAATATTTCATATAAAAAATAAGTTTTAAAATTTCAATACAATTTAATAAATTTGAATAAAATATTATTTGCAAAAATATTTAGTTGTTTAATCATTTATTTTACTTATGCATAACTTATTGATTTATGCTATAATTTTATAAATTAAATTTATATATAATATATAGATATATTGTGCACAGATATATAGAAAATATTGATTTTATATATAAAAGATATTTCATATACCGTTTAAATATTATATATATTTGTTTATCTCATCATAATTTAATAAACATTTTTACTAATAGATTATTAATGAAAAAAATCATAAGACATACCTTATAGACGGCTGAGGTATTGAGCTTAACGTCCTGTCCTTCACTGGATGCTGAAGAACGAGACGGCGATGAGTTCAGTGAGTAGTGACTACTGTATTGATGGTGTTGTTGTCGTTGCTGTTGATGACTATGATTGCTATGAGTGCTGACACTGTCTAACATGGGATGCGATTGACGACTATCATGTAAATGTCTGTTAGGTGTCGAATGTATGGACATTGTCTCCATGAGCTCAAACTCAGGAGAATTGGATCGGTTTGTAGTGTGTTGTGATGTCAACGACGGAGCACTAGTTATGACCATTTTGGGTGCCGTCGGTACCAATGGACGTGATTTTTGTTTGTATTTAAATTTTCGGCGAATAAAATCCATAGTAAAGTAATTATTATTATTATTATTCACACAAAATATACAGAAAATGTTTGTTTTTTAGTTTATTTATCAACAAATTTTTTGTTTCAATCTATTAATTATAATTATATTTAATAGTATTTATTATTATTATTATTGTCTATGAAGTTGTCTTTGTTGTCAAACCAATCTCTATGAAGTAAACCATTAAATTTCTTGACGACAACTATCTGCACAAAATATATCAAATTTAATGTAATTATAATAAATTATTTATATTAAATGTATTGTAAAATATGATACAATACTGTATTATTTTGATTGTAAAAAAATAATAATAACATATATTTTTATGATTAATATAATTAATAATCATATTATTATATTTAAAAAATGTTTTATTTGAAATTATAAAATTATTTTCATTGGAAATAATTATCTAGTATAATTTATTTAAAAGAATAATTAGAAAAATATAAAATAAACATGGTAAATTATATATTTAGTAACTTAAATTCAGAATAATACTAACTTAATATGATTTACAGATTACAACTATTAACAAAATTATGTATTCAATTCAAAATAAATATTGTAATATTATCTAATAATGATATATAAATTAAATATAAAGTTCAATATAAATACTAAAATTTATTTTCTCATCTTATTATTTGCTCAAACAGTTTTGCTCCTAAGGCAGTCTCTCTCTCTCTCTCTCTCTCTCTCTCTCTCTCTCTCTCTCTCTCTCACACACACACACACACTGTTAACTTAAATGTAAGTTTTGTATAACTGTTTCATTAAACATAAATATAATATAAATATTATTATTTTTTAGAGTTCAGACAATTGTAAAGTAAAGAAAGTTCCCTAATAAATTCTCTCTAAATTTCACGAAAAATATTTTATTTTCTCTCTCTTTTATTATATATATATTAAAAATATAACAATAGTAATTCAATAAATTTACAAATATTATTTTTCCAAATACCAATCGATATACAATTTTATATAATATATTTTTTACAAACATTATAATGTGAATTAGGGTTCAATAGATGTTAGCACATGAAAACAGATTTCTTAAGAATTTCCAGAAATCAGGGAATTGCATATAAAACGATCTAATTTGCCTAAACTTTAATTATTTTAAACATATCATACAGTTATGTCAAATACATGTGCACACAAATTGAAATATTATAAATAAGTTTTTTTAGTACATTTATTTCATTATTTTGAAATTTATTTTTTATATTTGTACTATATATGCGAGTTTATGAGTGCGAGAGAGAGAGAGAGAGAGAGAGAATTTAAATAATCTATTTTTAATTCAATATAATTTTTAAATTTTAACCCACAGTTATTTTTAATACAATGAGTAGGCGATGTAAACACATAAATATCATTACATAAAATAAACAAATTATTAATATTTATATATTTTGTATTTTTGCTAATTGATTGGTTTTAATATTAATATTTATAGACTTTATAGACACTGACACAAACAAATACTTTATTAAACTATATTTTTGTTTGATTTTATAAAATTTGATTATTATTTTGAAAACATAACAAACAAATATTGTTATAATTATTTCTCTACCCATTGATTGTGATGAMKGAAACAATTAGATAAAAATTCTTAATTCTTATATAAAAGCCATGAAGTTTTTGTACTCAAMAYAMTATTAATGAAATAAAAAACAAGTTAATTAGTGAGTGAGTGAGTGAGTAAGTGAGTGAGTGAGTGAGTGAGTGAGTGAGTGAGTGAGTGAGTGAGTGAGTGAGTGAGTGAGTGAGTGAGTGAGTGAGTGAGTGAGTGAGTGAGTGAGTGAGTGAGTGAGTGAGTGAGTGAGTGAGTGAGTGAGTGAGTGAGTGAGTGAGTGAGTGAGTGAGTGAGTGAGTGAGTGAGTGAGTGAGTGAGTGAGTGAGTGAGTGAGAGAGTGAGTGAGTGAGTGAGTGAGTGAGTGAGTGAGTGAGTGAGTGAGTGAGTGAGTGAGTGAGTGAGTGAGTGAGTGAGTGAGTGAGTGAGTGAGTGAGTGAGTGAGTGAGTGAGTGAGTGTGAGTGAGTGAGTGAGTGAGTGAGTGAGTGAGTGAGTGAGTGAGTGAGTGAGTGTAAGAGAGAGAGAGAGAGAGAGAGAGAGAGAGAGAGAGAGAGAGAGAAGACTAATAARACAATAATTAGTWTAAAACAACACTTAATTTAATGTAAGAAAWTTTTTTGATATATTCTCTTTGAGACTTCAATTGAGTATTCAATTACTGTAACGTATTTTTATTGTTTTCGGTAAAACAATATTATTTTAATGACTACATTAACAACAAATATTACACTAAAAAAATAAATTTAAAAAACCAAACAATTAAGTATATGTTGTTATTCGTAAATTTCATTTTCAGTAAAAATTTATTAAATAATTAGTTTTGTTTTTAGGTTTAAACTTTTGTTTTGTTATATTAACGTTACACATAAAATAAATTTAGTAAACTTTAATTTTATTATCTTAATTATTATTTATATTTGAAAATTCAAAATATTTGTCATTTGGGAGTTCACTCAAATATTTTTATAGACTCTATTGTATAGTTATATACTGTAGTTTAATATTAAATTAACTAAATATTAAAATGTCAAAATAAAATAAGAAATTAAATTTATATGAAAATAAAAAAATATATAAATTATAAAATACTGTCGAAAAAAATAATATGATAAATAACAACTATTTTTAATAGACATTAATAATAAATCTAATAAAAGTGCAATTATTAAATAAAATTTAGATAAATAATTTTATTTATAAATGTTTATAAAAAACTAATATTGTATATGTTATGATATTTGTGGTATTATTATTAAATTAATAAAAGAAATAATCATTTTTATTATAACTAATGTCTTCTTTAAGTTATAAACTATACAATCATTATAATGGTTATGAAATGATATTTTCATGGATTATCTGTTTAAATCATTTAATGGCTATGTTTTATCCTAAAAATAATAACATTTTACTGTAGAATAAATAGTATTATTATTATGTAATTTATGTTGTTATTCATAGATTTACAGTAAAAACAATATTAATAAAAATGTTAAGCTTATAGTTTATTACAAACTATATAATACTGTCTATTATTTTTATGTTATCAAAATTTAAAATAATTATACTGTTTAGAATCCTAAAATATATTTTATTTAAATAAAATTATAAACAATGTATAAAATAAAGTATATTAGTAGTTACGACATAAGGGTGACGGAAGGGGAAAGCACAGTGCTTTCCCCCATATAACAGTATGACGGAGAATAGGTGACGGAGATCACGTGACTCCACCTAACCTAACCTAAGTGTACTACACCAATGACGTCACCACTACCTCTACCTGAACCTTACCTACCCGAACTGACCAATTACCCGAACTGACCAACTACCCGAACCTTACCTACCCGAACTGACCAACTTACCGAACTGACCAATTACCCGAACCTTACCTACCCGAACTGACCAACTTACCGAACTGACCAATTACCCGAACCTAACCCAACCTAAGTGTATATCAATGACGTCACCACTACCTTTAACCGAACCCAACCTAACCTGACCAACTAACCGATCTGACCACCTACCCGATCTGACCAACTTACCGATCTGACCAACTTACCATACTGGTCAACCTTCCGATGTATTAGCGGAGAGGGGATAGCGGAAATCATATGACCTAACATGAGTGTAGATGTAAACAAAATAAATATAAATACATTTATTTTTAAAATAATATTTATAATTTATTTGCATTTTATTTATTTACAAAAGCGTTCATTAAATATTTTCTCTCTAAAATTTTTATCTAATACATATGATATATTTTCTTCAATTAGTTTACACTTATATTCATGAATACGTCTGTTAAAAACTATCCAATGCCAGTTAGATATACGAGCCTGTCTTGAAGCATATGACCAAACATACATAGTCTTTATCTGTATTTTGTCATCAAATCTAACTTTCTTCATATTTATTTGTTTATTAAGTAATCAAAGTATTTAAACATAAACTCTTCATATAATTCATTCAATGCTTTTCTAGTATAAACACCAGTCAATATCATTTTCCCTTTTCTAGTGAGAGTTATATGTCTTTTATTACCACAATTGATCCTCAAATGTGGAAATATTTCCAACTCATAATTACTGCTCCAATTAAATTGATTCATCAGTTTCTCTACATTCAAGTCGTTTTTCAGGTTATGTGACGCAGCAATGTTAGTCACACGTAAGTTATGTAATTTGATATCATATCCGAGTTTTTGTATTATGCGAGCAGTCTTTCGTAATGCTATTCGACCATCATTTTTTGATTTTGCACCCACACATACTAGTTTACCAGAGTCGTATATCATAACCGTGGCATTAGGGTTACGATACCGTTTAATTACTCTCACAAATGGGTAATTGTGATATACACAATTACAACAGTTGTTACACAATTTTCTTAAATCAATAAAACCAATCATATCAAAGAGATCAGCAGTCATCGAAACATTAGTTATCACAGGCATATTGATAATGCAAATTGTATTACTATAATAAATGTTGATGTAGTTATAAACTCATAAACTATTGCATCAACTATTACAAAAACAGTTGAAACAAGTTGTTTAACAACTATTGCTTCAATTATTGCAACATCTGTTGCAATAAGTAGTTTAACTACTATTGCAACAACAAATAGTGTATTACACTATCGTAAATCCTGTTTACTCTATAAAATATTAACTTATAAAAGCAAAGTGTATACACTATTATTGTATTAGTGTTTATTAGTTTTGTTATAACTGATTATTATTGTAAATTAAATTTTTCATCATCAAAATGGTTGGCAAAACATTGTTTCAAAAATCCATTTTCACCAAATCTGATGGTGAAAACAAATTTGACA